GCCCCAAGCCGGAGTTGGACTGGTTGCAAACCTCAGCCCAGTGTTCTGCCCCGGATACCTCCCGATGGGATCATAGACTCTCTGACACTTGAGAGTCCCTTTTGGGCCCTGGTTGTCTTGAAAAGTGTCTTAGTACAGTACCTGTTGGTCATTCGTGCACGTCACGCCGATCCGTTCTTGGAGCGTCACCTGCTTTACCCAAACTGCCACCGACAACGCAAGAGGCCAATGGGACAAACAACCCCGTTGAGGAGCGGGGCCTTGAACAATGCGAGCTGGAGGCTGAAGCGGGAGGCCAGTAATTGGTTTAGCATGAGTGAGTAACAAGAGCTGAGGATGTAGCATATCGGTATAAGCCATACGGAAGAAAAACACGAACCACATCACCTCCATCCACTGTTCTCAAGGGATTGAGCATCGATTCTCGTATTTACACGCAGCAGAATGAGCGCTCCTGTAGGTGTAAGGTATCAAAATACCTAATGATCTCATCACCACCTGAAGGATACACATTGAAATGCCCCTCGTCTTAGAGTTTGTTGTTTTATAGATGTTTATCGGCAGCGACCTTGTCCTCGGACAAGCCCGGCAGTATGATCCCGCCCAACAAAACAAGAGAACAATACTTGCTGGTATTCATCCGACAGGGCCGTGACAGATTCCTAAAACGTGAGTGTTGAGTCTCGAAACAGAAAATTGATCAAGTTGTCATGGCCTCCTCCAGCTGTCACCGTCTGTCCGCCACCTGGTGTTCTGCTCAGGGGCTATCAGAGGTGCGGCTGAGATGGGTGTAACCAGCCTCCTCGTTGCTCAAAAACAAATGAATATGCCTACCAGGGTTGCGCTTCACAATCTTTTCCGGTCAGACTCGACAGTTTCCGAATGCCTGTCTGAATATGACAAGTCGGACGAGATCATGTCTACCAAAGAGATTTTCAAGCACTCCTCGTTGCTCCCTCCCGGCGAGATCCGGCTGCTGTCACTGGTTCCTTCTTCGTCAACGCTCAACTTCCGCCTCATCACAACCCCACTTTCCTCTCCGGTTCCGTACCTCGCTCTCTCTTACGTCTGGGGAACACCCAAAACAGCGTCCGACTCATCTGCGCCATCAATCTCGGTAGACAACCAACCCTTCATTGTCACCCCAAATCTGCACTCGGCGCTCACCTCGCTTTTGACTCCTGAGCTCCAGTCCGGTCTGCCAATATGGGTAGATGCGGTCTGCATCAACCAAGTGGACAACGTCGAGAAAGAAGGCCAGATTAAACAGATGGATCAGGTCTACCGCAACTCTGAAAGGGTTATTGTCCACCTTGGCGACAGTCCCAATCCCGACACGGCAAGAGCGGTGCAGCAGCTGAGAAGACTGGGAAAGAAGGTGTGGGATGCTGACGCGGTCATCCTGCGGGAGCAGGATATGCAGCATTGGCCCAATTTCGACCACCTCGATGATGAACCTGAGGAAAAAAGGAGGCGAACTGCGGTTAGAGACAAGATCTTCAAAATGATCAAGCAAGAGAGGGGTGGAATAACCTGGCCGCGCCCCAAGATTCCTGCGTCGGCAGCGTTGGATTTGTTCCATCGGCCTTGGTTCGGCCGGGCTTGGGTTATTCAGGAGCTTGTCATGGCACCTGACCATGAGCGAGGTGATGGCGGCTGCGTGTTTGCTGTTGGGGCGGAGAGGATTAGATGGGAGCATCTCTGGGCTGCGCATCTCTTTTTGGTCTTGTGGTTCATCTTGGAAGCAAGGTCGATCGGAAACGCAAAGACTTATCTCGGGAAACTGATTGCTTTTGGCGTCTATGTCAGAAGAATTGGCATGATTCCGAGAGCCTTCAGCGCCAGGGCGGCGCAAACACTGGGTCTGAGGAAGAAGTACTTGCAAGGAGAGCTTGGCCTTCGCTTGAAGGACTTGCTTCTGCAGCTCTATGTTGGAGATTCCGGAGGCTTGTTAGGGTGTAGATATCCCCAGGACAAGGTCAATGCATTGAGAGGGATGTCCAGTGATGGAGAAATGCTTGACAGGTTTATGTCACCAGGGGCGGATTGGGTAGACGTCTACACTTCACTAGCCAGGTATTTGTACGAAGATGGGGATCTAGGCTTTCTTGGTCTGTGTCGGCAGCGAAATCCCAGACTACCTTCTTGGGTCCCGGACTGGTCGCAACAACAACGTCCCCCGTGGCTGGGCTACAGCGGCGACAAGGGAATACCGCTCTACAATGCCGGGGGTGACACCAGAGCTGAGGTGCTTGCTAGGGGTGAAGATGGCCGCGTACTCGTACTCAAAGGTTACATCGTGGACACAATCCAAGATGTTGGATCTTTGTGGGTTGCTGACCTCGCCGACGATTTCAACTGGGAGTCGGCCAAGTTGCGTATCGATGATATTGACCGGTTCCTATCTCTCAGCGAGAAGTACACACCCCAGACGGCCAGGTGGCGTATAATGTCGGCCGACAAGGAACTGAACGATGTGATGCATCAACGGCGAGCCACCCAGGTGTCCCAAGAATCATTCGCGCTGTTGGAAAGCGCAACAAAACTATACGACCCCGGAGCTGGTTCATTTGGGGCTTGGTACCTTACATACCGCAATGTTCTGATGTCACTTTATGGAAGCCGAGCTTTTATTTCGAATAAAGGGTATGTCGGGCTGTGCCCGGGCACAGCGGATCTGGAAGACACGATTTTCATTCCCAGCGGGAGTCATTGCCCTTACGCCATCCGAAAGCAACCCGCCCCAGCCTCCGTCTCCGACGCGGAAGAAAGATGGATATTGCTGGGTGAGGCATACGTCCATGGCATCATGGATGGGGAACTTGAACTGGGAAAGCCTACATCAGGCATCACCGCAAGCATGTTCTCACTGGCGTAATTGGATTTGGTCTTCATTGCCATCATCATGGTAGTGCCCGAACGCCGTTAAATCAAAAGCCAGCCCATCCTAGTAGCCCAAACGCCTCCAATTAATGCATCTCACCCTCGAGTTCTCGGCCAACGTGCAGCCCTAGTCTCTGATCGTTCATATCCAAACCTGGTCATCGGCCCTGTTTGCCTCCAAGTACTCCAAAACTTCCCCATAATCCCGACAAACATGCTTCGCATCCCACCCATCGCTCCCTGTAAAGTCCTCTGGAAACGTTGTGTGCTGCCCCTCCAGTGCAACATCACCGCAGCACATTATGCTCTGTCTCAGGTAATCAAAACAATGATTCAAATGCCACGCTCCCTCCTCTGGAAGCATGTCCAATCTGTTGGACTCGTAGGCTGCTACCACCACGGCAATGGTGTGGAGGCAGTGGATCTGATGGGTTACCGAGGTGGTGAAGGTTGACGATGGATACTCTTTCAGGGGGTGCGGGAGATTGTCAAATGAATCTTGGCCGCGGGAGGAGGTTTTGTTGACGGTCACGTAGCCGAGTCCGCCTGAGACTGACTGTCAGTATGGAAACAAAGAGAGCAACAGGTTGAGTACGCATACGAGGAACGATTCCCAGCCACTTCTTCCTGACGGCCTCGGTGAAAAAATCAGAGCTGTTGTCTGGGACGAAAAGAGGGTCGGGTTGGAAGGTTGTTATTTGTTGAGAGACTGTGCACAATCGAAACTTAGCACGCAACGGCCTGGGTGTCTGTCTTGTCAGAATCAGGGGAGGCATACAATATGGCGCAAACCCGGTGATATCACCCCCTATTTCACCCTTTGCCCCTTCATTGTTTTGTTTCCCTGGCAGGATGGAGTATTCCGGCCACCGCCTCTCAGCAACCAACACCAGAATCACCACCAGCATGACTGTGTCGAGAAGTGATCTGATGGACATGATAGTCTTCCACATCCATCTCCTCTTCTTTCTCGGTTGATTTGACCGGCATTGACATGATGTGGCAACATGTGCATGTTGTCGCCCCTCTGTATCAATAGCCCAAGACTTTTCCTCATGATCGTCGTTCATGAGCGCGGCTCTGGAGTTGTCGCTGCGCGCGGTTTTGGGATGAAACGTCGAATTCGTCATCGTGGTGGTGGTCGTCGTTGTTGGGAAGATCGGTATAATACCGCGGTGAGGGTAGTGGCTGCATCATGGTTCGTTTTGATGCTGGCAGAAAGTGGGGAGTAGCAGGTGTGGTATCGTCAAAAAGTTCAAGAAATAAGAATTGAGAAAGAATAAAAGAAGCATTCTGCCTTTTGAGGATCTTTCAATCGGGTTGTCGATCAGGGGACCTGTCTCGGTCTGAGAGGGGTGGGCCAGCTCGGATGGTTCGTGTGTTCTTCCAAACGTGCAGCGTTTCAAAAACCGCCACCTGTAGCCAGACCTTGCCTGCGAGGTCGATTTCATGGTGCACATTTACGCAAAAAGATTCCGTTACCGATGTGCAGAGACTTGTCGTGATCTTCAAGCTATCCAACCAAATGGGATCGAGAAAGGCGAAAGGATCGTGAGGCTTGCGTTTCTCACAGTTGCTTGCGAGGGTTTCTTCGGTAGGGTCGCAATGTTGAGTCAAAAGAGGTTTTGCATCACCGGCTCACCGGCCTACGCAGACTTGTAAGATGTCATTTTATTGTAGTGGTTGAACAAATTGGGAGAGGTCGTCTGTCAGACCTCCTGGTGGAGCCGACCGGAGCCGACCGGAGCCCTTGAAGGTCGGCCCTGGGTCGGCCCCGGGCCGGTCCCTCGGAACAAACCCGGTTGGTAGGTACCACAACGTCGTCGGATCATGGACCCATGGGGTACGAAACGAAAATATATCGACTCATTTCTCTTTTACTTATCCCAACTATAATATACTGCAACAATCTTCATCTCATCGGATCCAACAGCTACCAAAACCAAAGCTGCGCTTGTGCGCGGTTACGCGTAGAGGGCCTTCAGGTAATGCCACCTCAGATCTTCCCCCTCAAAGAGTTGAGGATAAGACCGACTTCATCAAGAAGCGTGTCCTGCTTCTCTACAACTTCAATCATCCCCAAATCAGCGTCAACGGTGATCGTGAAACAGGACTCCTCATCGTCTTCGGAGATCTCCTCCCGTGCAGCAAGGTACTGGGTCACAATGGCAGCGCACCTCGCTGTCAACGGTGTTGATGATGCTGCGTGCGCCCAGTTGCTCATCATAACCTTGCGATGCCAGCGCCTTGCAAACAGAGTAGCTGAAGGGAATCTGCAGCTTGATGTTTCCGACAGGGCGGTAGAGCTTCAAGTCGTCGCACAGCTTGACTGGGCGGGCCAGCTTCCGTCCCAAACGGTCCATTTCCTTGCATGCCACGGCTGCTTGCTCGGTAGGTGAAAAGGTGAGGAAGGGTATCACCGATGTGATGCGGCCAGTCAAGGGTGCCTGCGTGATGCTGTTAGACTACATGAGCTTCAAACCTGACGAGGGAACAACCCACGCCAAACTTCCCGATAGCTTCTTTCTTGATCATGGCCGACAGCTCCTTCCCGAGCGCTCTCGCCTGATGTGATGCCCTCTTGTCAAGGCCAACAGTGTTGGTGAATAACTCACGGTAGTGAGTCTTGCAAAAGGAAAGGATGGTGTCGTCAAACGCATTGGTTGCGAGGATCCAGATGGTCTTGGAGCAATCCACGATCTGCTGGTTCCGACGGTCGAGGTACAGACCTGCAGATATTAAAATAAGTTTTTGTCTAATAGGTAGGCGTCAAAATTCCTTCTTCTTACCGCTTTGGAAGGGAAGTAGCAGCGCTTCTTGCACGTTCGGCTGTGTTTTTTCAAACTCATCGAGAAACACAATGGACCGCTGGCTTTTATGCTCGTCGAGGAAGTTGTTGACAACTGAGCTCTGGTCATAGCCTGCAAATGGAAAGAAGGGACCAAAGAGATCCATCGAGGTGCGCAAATTGGTGCAATCAACTGTTTGGAGATCCAAAGACAGAAGCTTTCCCATGTTCTGCGCTAGCTCAGTCTTCCCATGGCCGCTAGGTCCTGCGAACAGCAAAATTATCGGTCGATCAGCCCCCAAGGCTAGTTGGCTGTACACTCAAGATGCCAGGGTCATGCTTCACCATGTTCACGAGTGGTGTGGGTAGTAGGTAGGCCACCAACTTACGCCATGAAGATCTCCACCAGCGACTGGCACGCCTGGGTTTGGCCCACAAGGAAGTAATGGACCCCCAACAGCCCGGTGGCCGAATGCTTCTTTGCGATAGCTTGATTGGCGCCAGAGAGCGGCTCGGTTATTGAGGCCCGGTGCAGAGCGTATCGCAGAGTGAAGCAAGAGTTCAACGCGTCCGTGAGCAATCGGCGAACAGGACCCAAGACCCATCCAGTCTTGGCCTGCTTGAAGACTGCAAGCTCAGCATCGGAAGGGCCGGCCTCGGGAAGGTCTCGGTCGATGGGCAAATAAAATGGTGGAGGGACAGAGTCGATAGATGCTCCAAGACTCAGAAGGGTGGCCACCATCACAGGCCCATCGGCCTTGGGGGACAAACAGCGAACCATAGCGTAGACCAACAACGAAACTTCTCGGTACTCAGTGTTGACCTCTCCACCGTAAGACGCCCACATTCTGATCATCTCGGCACTGCCACTCTCGACAACGAAGAAAAATGCAGGAATGTCATCGACGGTCCCGCAGATCTCATGCTTGAGCTTCAGCGACTGGAATTCCGTCTGGTGAGGGCTCAAGAGCGATCGAATTCTGTCGCAAGTGTCTCCTCTTTGGATGGCGACAACGATATCTCGAAGGTTGAACACGCCACTAGTGCTGCTGTACCAGTACGAAAATGAAGCATAGTCTTCGTCCTTGTCTGATGCGCGCTTTTCGACCCGAGGAAGGATGAGTGCCGAGTCCCACTGTTGCTTTTTGGAAGCAGTAGACTTGGTGTTTTTCTTCATTGTGAGGAAGAGCCAAAAACGTGAGAATGACGGTGGTCTGCGGTCTGGGGTTGTGATGTCTAAAACTGCGAGGAAATTCTTGTGTTCTATCAAGAATGTGCTGAGCAAAGCTTTGAATTTTTCAATAACTCAACTCGACGAGCAACGAAAGATTCCCTCTTTCGCTTTCAAGATATCTGCCTCCATTGTATGCAGGGTGCCTCGAGAAGATGTTATCGGCCGGTCATTGCATTGTTTATCCATCTGTTCGCCTTGCAATGTTGACTGGAAAGAGATGCACTGCCCGTTTGTTTAGTATTGCCCATTGGGCATGAGAACAGAACCATCGTGAGACATTCCTGTGTTTGCCTGCAGCCACAGGATTCCAGATACATGGAAGTGAGTTATGGTAGGCGGGTTCCCGGAAGTAGTGGCAGGCCTCACTGCATCTGGGACTGTGGGCCTCACTTGGGCAGCCAATGGCAACAGCTGTGTGTTGGTGCGGCGGGGATAACTGAAATGAATGGAGGAGGGAGTGTTCTGGGTGCACAGGATGTCTGGCAGGTGGGGAGGAGCAAACATGGGAAAACGAGATGTTGTTGAAATTCAGTTTAGCCCCTTTTTTGTCGGCAGGAGATCGCTGCTGAGGCACGAGCCAGAACTGCAAGCTTCCAGCACTTTTTGAGGAGCTCAATTACCGAACAAAACAACATTCTAGGTAATTGGTGATAATAATCAGTAACAGACCAGACACTTGACTGTCTCTTTCGGTGGCTTAATCCACGACGATGTCTTGGTTGTAAACGAGAAGCAGTCGCCAAACCACATGTGGGGACATTTTCACATGTTTTTTGACTGACATCCTGGATGACGTCAACTATCCAAGTAACACCGGGGGTTCAGTGCAGCACCAGGACCATCAGAAAGATGGGTCAGGATTAAACAAAAAAGAAGAATCCTTCTGGCACAGAGGTGCAGGACAGGGTCCAACCAGGAAGACATCGTCCAGCACTCCATCTTGGGACAAACAGAAACCCTTTACCCCTTAAACACATTGTCACATCACCGCATTCTCACACTACCACGTTCTCACATTACCACAATAACACAGTACCACATCTAACATTCTCGCCTTCACATTTTGCGGCAAAAACGGCCTCCGACTCCCCCCATCCCGCCTCTCCGACCTCCTCTTCCACCCAGTACTCCTCCAGCCTCCAAATCCACTCCCTCATGTACCGATTTCACCCCTCGGTAAGATCGGGACCAAGGCTACCCCGATCGTCAACAGATCCTGACTCAAGTCCGCGACCTATGGAATCGTTACGGTCTCGGCTCTCGAACGAAATTCAGTACCAAAGTGGAGGACATGTACCAGGATAAGAAAGGGAGGTGCATCATTCTCCGAAATCCAATCTGGAACATGCTGTTGACGCTGAACATCTTTGGGCAGGAGTTTACCGACACGCCGATGGTGAACTCGGACATTATGGAGAAGCTGAGGTCGAATAAGGCGGAGTGGGTGAGGTGTGATATTGAGCAGTTTACCGAAAAAAGGGGGTGAAGGTTAATCGGAGAAAAAGAAGGGTATCGAGCCTGGTGGTCAAGGCAAGCAGGATATCATTGAGGGCGATATTGTTGCGATGGCAACAGGGTTTGGGAGACCACAGCTTTGTCGGCTTTTTCCTGCCAGGCCCATGCTTCCAAACGCCCTATGGCCCCGCCCAACTGGTATCTCCAGACATTCCCACCCAACCACCCCAGCATATGCATCAACTGCACGTACATGAACGCGATTGAGACGGTCGGCAATTGGCACATCGGCATCTACACGGGGATTCTGCTCGAGTTTCTGGTGGATCCGTTGACCAGACCGAGTCCGTTCTGGATGAAGCGTTGGATCGACATGACGAGACAACGCAAGGCTGCATCCCCAGCTGGGCCATTCGAGTTCTTTACTTATCTCGAGCTTGTCTGGTGGCTCGTCTTTTGCGTGGCGTTCAATCCCTTCCGCTGGAAGTGGGCATTGTTCGTGTTCTTTGGCCTTGGCTATGCACTTCCAGCATGGGTGGTTCAGAGGACAGTACAAGAAACAGGATAGGCCAGGGCCCAAGAACAGATCAAGGGCGTGATGCCGGCGTTAGCATTTGAGCCATGTTTTGAGTTGATGAATAGATACGACGGACACGACGCGCAAAATGATCGATGGCTGTTTGAATAGACCTGGGTATAGAGTGTATATTATTGACCAAATAAAATCCCTTCACTTCCTGTTTCTTCCGCGGCCCTTTTCCAGCATCTTCAACTTCTTTTGGTATCTTTCACCCATGTCAGCACCACCACCGCCGCCGCCGCCACGCGGGCCATCCACGGTATCGATGCCTCTCTTTCGGCTCTTTTCCAATAGCGCCTTGGTGCCACCACCGGAGCTCTTGCCGCGCGTCAACTGGCTGATTCTGTCCAGCCCTTCGCTCAACCCTCTCCATTCCTCACCACCATAGTTCATCCGGCGGCCCTCGGTCAAACCCCTCTTCTTGCGGTCCTTCTTGCTCTCCTTGGGCAGACGGACAAAGTTCCGTTCTTCGTACTCGCGTCTCTCATCCTCCTTGGCGCGCTCAGAAGCAGTCTTGATCTTGCGACCACCTTGCATAATCGTGGTACCAATACTGGGTTGGGCCATTGGGATAGATGACATTTCGTCTTGAATGAACTCGTCGAGGGTGGCCGACTTCATAGGCTTCTCCTTTTTCTCGCGCCTGTCGAACGTGGGCATCGAGGTTGCTGAAATCTTTGGTGGGCGGTACACTCCGGACTTGTCTCCCTCCTTGCTCGCGTATTTCGCACCAGCCGGGCGAGTGATTGCGGAGAGGTTGGCGCGGGCCTGGTAAGCGGCAGAAGCGCGAGCGTGGAGTTCATTGACCTCGTCCTCTCCTTCATTGTCGCTGCCAGCTTCCGACTCGGACTCGACATTGGCAGCCGCTGCCTCCTCTGCCGCCCTTGTACTCCTTTCCGCGTCATCGGCAGCTCGGAGCACCTTGTCAATCTGGTATCTCAGCTTGTCCTCGAGTGGCCGGGCGCCCTTCTCGAGGTAAAGTCGAAGTTCGACGAGTTTGGTGACTACGAGGTCATCGAGGTTCTGTTCCTCTTCCTGGTCCTTGGTTCCACCATTTCTCGCCTGGCGCAACTTCAGAAGAATTAAGAAAACGAGATTCTGGAGGTAGGAGAGGAGCAGCTCGTTCTTCACGTCGAGGAGGGAGATGCCGTCTTTTGGTAGTTCGAAGTTTGTGAGTTTTGGCGCAGCTTCGAGAGTGGTCGATATCGACTTGGTAAGAGCATCCAGCAGTGCTGGAAGGGTTGCTGGTGCCGCCATTATTGCTGTGGGAGGCAGTAGATGGATGGGTGCAGAACAGACGAATTGGATGAACAAAATCTTTTGCGACTCTGAGGCCCCACCTCGAGACTTTTTTGTGGGGCCGCTGGCTCTCTGACCCCGGTAACAAAGACACAGACGGCTTATCGATTTGCCTTATCTCCATCCGAGGATTCTCCGACTCGCAACTGCCATGCAGTACCAAGACCGACCTGACGAACAAGGCAGCCGTTCACGACCACCCCAAGCTGCTGTTGGCCAGCTGTTCTGACTTGTCGGAAGCTTCGAAAGCTGCGACACCATTTTTCTTTTTTTTTCTTTTTTAGACTTGCCCACCTTTCAATGCCTCCGATGACCCTCCCATGATTTCCCAACTATTCTGCATGAGACATTCTTTGTTATAAGGCTGAACCCGCGGACGGGTGGCAGACGGCTCGTTTCCCACTTCCAGTCACAGTACGTTCGCCAAGTTCACTTTCCCCTGATCGCGAAGCCCAAACCCACCCAGACTGCCCCAAACCTAGCGCTGCACGGTGACGACTTCAGCCCCTTGCGCCGTTGCTATCAGAACCGGTTGTTGTTTTCTTTTTCTTTGCCTTTCTATTCCTAACTCGAGCAGCCACAGATTACACATACGAAACCACAATGCAACTACGAAGCCACGCGCCCTCAGGGGCAACGCTCTTGATCTCCTTACTCGCCCTTCCCCAACTCACATCAGCTTTCTACCTTCCAGGTGTTGCGCCGACCTCATACAAGCAGGATGACGCCGTACCACTCTACGTCAACGCGATTCGACCAGTCGGCGATGCAGATTCAGTATTACACTCAGTATTATCATGGGACTACTACCACCCAACATTTCAGTTCTGCGCGCCAGAAGGGGGAGGGCAACCTGTGGGTGAGAGCTTGGGAAGCATCTTGTTTGGAGACAGAATCAAAACTTCGGCCTTCGAGCTCAAGATGAAGCACAACGAAACCTGCAAGAAGCAGTGCGAGGTGACATACGGAAAGAACGCGGCCCAGTTCATAAACCAGCAGATTCAAGAAGGTGTCAGTCTCAACTGGCTGGTGGATGGGCTTCCGGCAGGCCAGAAGACAATCGATGTCTTGTCCGACACTGAGTTTACGAACCCCGGTTTCCTGTTGGGCGAGCAGCTAGACGATGGCCGAATCAAGTTCAACAACCACTACGACATCGTTATCGAGTATCACGAGGTCAACGGAAACAACGGCCAGTACCGTGTTGTCGGCGTCATTGTCCAGCCCGAGTCGAGGAAGTACACTGGCGAGATCGGCCCGGACACTTGCAACACAGCACCGGACATCGTCGAGCTGAGCGAGACAGGCGACACCAAAGTGCGGTTCACCTACAGCGTATACTGGATCGAGTCTACGACTGCTTGGGCCACCAGATGGGACAAGTACCTCCATGTGTACGACCCCAAGATTCAGTGGTTCTCCCTCATCAACTCGTCTGTTATTGTCATCTTCCTCGTCCTAACTGTCATGTCCGTCTTGGTCCGGGCTCTGAAGAAGGACATTGCGCGGTACAACCGTTTGGATCAGATCAACCTCGATGACCTGTCTGGAACTTCTGTGCTGGAAGATGGCGTGCAGGAGGACTCAGGCTGGAAGCTCGTCCATGGCGACGTCTTCCGCAATCCTTCCCACCCACTCCTCCTCTCCGTATTCTTGGGCAACGGCACCCAGCTCTTCGTCATGGCTGGCTTCACCATTGCCTTTGCCCTGCTAGGCTTCCTCTCCCCGTCCAACCGCGGTTCTCTCGGCACCATCATGGTCCTCCTTTACACGGTTTTGGGCTTTGTCGGTGGCTACACCTCTGCTCGCATGTACAAGTCGCTCCATGGCGAGAAGTGGAAGCTCAACATCATCCTGACTCCTCTCTTGGTGCCTGGGATCGTCTTCGCCGTCTTCTTTCTGCTCGACCTCTTCCTGTGGGCCGAGGAGTCATCGGGCGCCGTGCCATTTACCACCATGCTCGTGCTCATCTTCATTTGGTTCCTCATCAGTGTTCCCCTTTCGTTCGCTGGCTCCTGGCTTGCCTTCCGCGCACCCGCGATCGAACCTCCTGTGCGCACCAACCAGATTCCTCGCCAGATCCCGCCAGTCACCACATATCTCAAGCCCATTCCCAGCATGCTTCTCGTTGGTCTGCTTCCCTTTGGCGCCATCTTCGTGGAGCTTTACTTTATTATGACGTCGATCTGGTTCAGCCGGATCTACTACATGTTTGGGTTCTTGTTTCTGTGCTACGGCTTGATGATCATCACTTGCGCCGCCGTCACCGTGCTGCTGGTTTACTTCTTGCTATGCGCTGAGAACTACAACTGGCAGTGGAGGGCTTTCTTGGCTGCTGGTACAAGCGGTGGGTATATCTTCCTCAACGCCCTCATCTACTGGGTTACCAAGCTGTCTTTGAGCGGGTTTGCGGGAAGTGTGTTGTACATTGGGTACAGCGCCTTGATTTCCTTTTTGTTCTTCATCCTGACTGGTGAGTTTCCCTCGGGTACCCCTTTCCACCATCGTCACCAATGCTGACACGATGTAGGCACCATCGGATATTTTGCCAGCTGGCTGTTTGTGCGCAAGATTTACTCTTCCATCAAGATTGACTAGACTGGGTTCATACTGGATATCGAAGGGGCGGCGGATAAAGGGTGGAAGACGGTTTAGCGGGCGGCATTATTTGTGTTTTTTTTTTGTTTTTTTCGGTGACAATGGAAAGAGAAAAGCAACAGGAGAAATGGAAGAAACGGTTTGGATTTTCCTGCCTCAAGATCATTTTGACTAGCAGTTAGGTTCTGTTTGTACTACTATTGTTTTTTGCGGGGTGTGTTAGGCCTGGGGGTTGGGGTTGTGGACGGATGAGCAGTTGGCGAAAGACGTTGTTTCAATTGTGTTGACTTTTTTTTGTATCATCACATCATTCAATAACTATCGGGTATCATTTTGTGTTGCCAAAAGGATCTGTCCATACTATTCGGTATCATCTCTCCTCATTTGGCTTGATATTCCAAAGTCCAACAGCTGAGCTAGCAAATCAAATTACAAAAGTCGCAAGGGTATAGTTATGAAATAAGACTTCTAGTCCTCATCCTCGTCGTCGTCATCCTCGTCCAAAAAGGTAAACTGCTTAGGTGCCGCTCTGGCAGGTTGACCACCCGCTTGCCCAGGCGCAAGAACGCTACCCCTGCGATCCATGCCACCCTCCTGTTGCTGCTGCTGCTGTCTGGCCAGCTCGCGCTCCCTCGCCATGCGCTCTCTCTCCTCGCGCATTCTGCGATCTTGCTCCTCCCTCTCTTGTCTGGCGCGCTCCTCGGCGTCCTTGCGGTCCTGCTCCTCCTGCTTGATGCGCCGCTCCTCCTCTTCTGGGTCGTAGTTCTTGGGGTCGATGCCGCGGTTGATGAGGTCTTGGTATTGAGCTAGGGCGCCGCTTCGGATGCGATCGATAGTCGGGAAGGTGAAGAAGGGTGCATTTTCGAGCGGGTTGACGGCGGGCTTGAGGTGGACGGGCAGCTCGGTGGCGCCTGTCTGGGACTGGGAGGGGACTTGGGAGACGAACGAATCTTGAACACCTGGCGCCGGAGTCGAAGCTGCTGTTCCCTGCCCGCTACCACCACCACCACCACCTCCACCTATTGAGGTTGCGAAACTGGCATTGGGTCCTGTAGCAGCTTGGTCGTCGGGGGTGGTGGGGGCGGCGGTTGAGAGATCGACGCCGTTTGTGACGCCTGGTGGGGGGAGGGTGTTGCGACTTATGCGCCGGGCGTAGTCGAGGAGTTGCTGCGTGGTAAAGGGGTGTTTCTCTTCTTTGGCTGGGGAGAACTTGGTCGGGGCGACTGCGACGAGCTCCTTGCGCATTTCCCAGAGGGCGCTGATGGTTTGTTTTGTTTGGGCATCGAGGGCTTCGGTCTCTTGCTTTAGCTGCCTGATGCGGGCAACGTTTCTTTGGTGAACCTCGAGCTCCTCCAGACCGAGAAAGAGTTCGCGCTCAGCCTTGACGACGTCATTGGCGGCCTTCTCGGAGGGCGTGAACTTTGTCATCGAGTCGATGAGCACGGCGAGCGCCTTTTCAACGCGCTCGAAGGAGGCGTCGAGCTTTTTGTCCATTTTGATGTTTTTTTGATGGCAGAGATTCGCGAAGAAAGTAGCGATCCGAGGTGCTGAGTCGAAGTCGTGGTATGGAAAGTAGATTGCAAAGAAACAGCCACGTCCGGAGATTTTATTTTGGTCTGCAAATGTCACCGAATTCACTTGACCCTTGCGCTGGAGCTTGGTGGGTTGTGTAAGAGCGGCTTACAGCGGGGATCTTCAAGGGGACAGGTACCCGCACGTGAAAGCTTGGCGCGCTCTGGGCTGAGTTCGTGCCTCAGGCCAACAAGCCGGACCCGGCTGTATCCGGCAAAGAATCTCGCGCAACACCACCAAATCCAACAGCCGATTCGACCTTGTTTCGACAGCCATTGAAGCACCACCTCGTTCCTTTTTTGCTGCGGTAGTCAAGATGCCTTTTCCTGTGAGTGCCCCAGTGCTCGCCCAACCAATTCGCACACGTTTAGCCCACAGCAGGGCTTTTCCAGCAAGCCCAAACAAACCTAAGCATCTTTGCTAACGACGTCATGTTCAAGACTCCTGTTCGCCGTGCGGCCTACCCCGAGTACAAGAGCCCCTATGGCCCTAAGTAAGCCACGACCGATACCAGCCTCTCCCCACGATGTTCAGATCCTCCCGACAGTAATCATGCATTGGAGGACGCCCGACCAGCCATGCCGAAGAAGCGAAGATTTATCTGCGTCAGATCAGGCGCTGACTCTATGTTCCCAGGTACCAATTCCAGCCCCATGTTGGCACCATCACCGCCAAGACTGTGACCAACCTGTAAGTCGCAAATCATTATAGGAGGCTTCTCTGGAGGGGGGGCGGTGGTTCAGAGGGCGATTTGGAAGGATATGGTTGGATGGGCGGTGATGTTTGGCTTCTCCCTCAAAGCTCAAGAAGGGATAATGGACTTAGGGTAGCGGATTTTTTTGTTTGGAGTTGGAGATATTGTCTTGTTGGACAGGAGATCAGATGCTGAGCAAAATGATACTAACCCGTTACAGTGGTGTCAAGGCCGGCCTTTTCGGCGGCGTTGCCCTGTTCACTGTCATTTTCTTCACCTCCGGCGTTCCCAAGGTCTACAACGATGTTCTCGGCGTACGTTCCCGCCCCTTCAACAGACGTCTTGAACCACTACTTACTAACGGGCACAGAACATCCCTGTCGTTGGTGCTTCTCTCCAAAACTTCTTCACCAAGAAGGTCCACCCCGCCGACAACGTGAGTTACCTGATTCCCTGGTGACCTTTTCATGTTTCTGACCTTTCTAGCCGTTCTAAATCAATTTTTGGAATCGTATGACGGGCTGTGGTTTTGGCGCTGGGTGTAGCGGGTTTAATGGGCATTTTGACGCCGCCTCCTGTGATTTCGAGGCTTGTAAAAATGAAAAAATTCTATAGACATCATTCATCAAAAATTCCCAGGCTCAAATATCCATCTCTACGAACTGGAAGGTAGGGATCTGTTTTCTACCGTGAAGTGAGTCTCTGTGGTGCATCTCACTCTCACTCTTCAACGCACGGACCCTGTGGGCCAGGGGACAGTTGTAAGATGGCCAAAAGAGAGGCTTCTAATTTCTCAACACATCAACCCTTGAACAAGCACATGCTCGCAGCAAACACCTTGTCGATGTCATGGTTGGCTCTTTACAAGATCTACTTCTGGCTTTTGTCAATGATGCGCAGAGAAATCTGAAGGATGCTTTCGATATTTGGGCTCAGAGCTTACGCGCCCAAGCTCTGGTGACAGTCATTCTTACATCAACATCTCTAGCATGGATCATCTGCCCACCAGTAAGGACTTCAGCATCGCCTTCACAAATAAAATCGCCATGGGTCTCATATGCTCTCGTCAGCACTTCATTATTTCTGCTCAGCCTATCTGGTGGAGCTTGGACGCTCCTGGTCAATCGCTATGTTCCAGAACCGTATCTTGTAAGTCGGGTTAGCCAGCCCCTGATGATCTGGGGTGCTAACGTGTCATAGGACGAGTTCTTCCATATACCCCAAGCACAAGTATACTGCGAAGGGAGATACCGGCAGTGGGATGACAAGATCACTACCCCTCCCGGCCTGTACGGTTTTTACCTATTGCCCCTTTTCCTCATTTCATGCCCGCTAATTCAGGGGTGACTATCAGCTACCTCTTTTCCGTGATATACAACAAGATAACAACGCTCACATGTGAAACCTCGACCTTGCGTTTCCACAATCTCTCGGTTGTTCTAGTAATTGTTGCTGCTGCAGCGCAATGCCGCAATCTGATCGAAAGGAGGCAGGCTGAGCGGGTCGGCAAGGTTGCTTCAACAAACCTGTCCCTATACTCGTTTCACACGGCCATCAACACCGCCTTGATGCCAGTTGTCTTTTTCTTCTCGGGTCTCTACTACACTGATCCCCTGTCGACCTTGGCGGTGCTTCTCTCTTACCGACACCATCTGCAACGAGTCGGACCGGAGCGACCAGGTCTTCTGAGTGATGTGTGGACTGTCATCCTGGGTGTGGCTGCCCTCTTCATGCGCCAGACCAATGTCTTCTGGGTTGTCGTCTATATGGGCGGCTTGGAGGCTGTTTACACTCTGCGGTCTGTCAAGCCAGGTGCTCAAGAGTTTCTCACTACACTTCATGACCCGCCACTGAGCAACTCAGGGCCTGATGGTAAGTTTTCTTGTCAGTACGTTGATGCGGTTATGCATAGGCTGACTTTTTAGACTGGTTCTTTTGTCTCCTCACCATTGCTGTAACTTCTCTCTGCAACCCGGTCAAGGTCCTGCGCCAGATATGGCCTCACCTTACTATTCTCGGTCTATTCGCTGGCTTTGTAGCCTGGAACGAAGGCGTTGTCCTTGGTAGGTTCACCTTTGCTTTGTTCTTCTCACGGGCCGCTACTAACGTTGCTTCAGGGGATAAATCTAACCACATCGCAACCATTCACCTCTCTCAGATGCTCTACATCTGGCCTTTCTTCGCCTTCTTTTCCCTGCCCCTATTCGTCCCTTCCATTCTTGGGTTCATCACACGCCCTCTGCAAACTATCCACTCACTCATTCTCCGCCCCAACGCCCTGTTCACCATCCCCTGGGCCTTCCTCACCGCCCTCCTATCCGCAGCAGTAGTCAGGTACAACACCATCATCCACCCCTTCACCCTCGCAGACAACAGGCACTACATGTTCTACATCTTCCGGTACACCATCCTCCGCTCCCCGCTCATCCGCCTCCTGCTGGTGATCCCCTACACCGTAGCAAGATGGCTCGTATGGGGAAGCCTGTCCACCAGCACCCCATCAACAACCCAGCCCTCAGGGCCAAAACCACGGACTGCTCCTGCCCAGCCAAAGGCAGCTCCTGAGAGCGATGGGCAATTGACCCTGCTCGACTCCCCCTCTTCAGTCTCAGACATCACCCCCACCACATCAACGGCCATCCTCTGGCTTCTGACCACCGCCCTCTCTCTGGTTACCGCCCCGCTAGTTGAACCCAGGTATTTTATTCTGCCCTGGGTATTCTACCGGCTGCTGGTGCCTTCCTGGTCTTTTGCCTCCGTTGGCATCGGCAAAAGGATCGATCTGCGGCTCGTTCTCGAGACGACCTGGTTTGTGGGTGTCAATGCGGTGACCATGTACCTGTTTCTGTTTAGGCCCTATGTATGGAAGGATAGTGAGGGGAATGTACTCGATTCGGGGAGATTGCAGAGGTTTATGTGGTAGAGGGGGTTGCGGCTATGGGTGTGGGTAGATTTGGGGACTGGCGTCAGCAGGTAGTAAACAACACAGGTTAAGCCTCTCTTTGATTGGTGGTAGTGATGCTGAGTGTGAAGAACACAACAACTCCATTGTATTTTTCTCCAAAATACTCCCATATGCAGACATCTACCTGCTGTCCTATTCTGCGGGCTTCGTCCTCCCAATATGGCCCATGCTACGCCAACTGTAGTTTCTTCCCTTTTTTTTTGAGACCTCTTATACCCGAGGCAGTCGCGCCACCCAGTCCTGTTCCTTGTTGGTAATGTAGTTATGTATATGTATAACTTCCCATGATTCCGTGACCGCCCATCAATGTTTACCCAATAACCCAATCATACAACCCAACGCCATGTCAATAAAAAAAGAATAATCCCAAAAAAAATGCCAAGTTTCAACCTCATGTCATGCTGTTGACTCAACATCACAGGCTTAGCCTGTCCAACGAGAGCCTATCCCCACTCCGGACCCTTCGTACAACACCCAGTTTGAAGAACTTTTCTTCCCCTGTGGCGGTTCTTCCACCAATATACAGCTTCTCTGTCCCTAGTGCATCTCGAAACCCTTCACTGCTGCTGTCGCTTCCTCGCCTTCTTCCTCCCGAGTGCGGAATGGGTATGCCAGCGGTATGGTGATGTCGTGGGGAGTGCAGTGGCAGCTGTCCAATCACCCCTGTTCGGGAGGCAGATGTTGACGTCGAAGGCGAAGTAGCCTGTGATTGCGCGGCCGTGGCCGAGGCGGATATCGATCGTGGCGTGGCGGTAGACGATGATCCTATTCCTGAGGAAGCCTGAGTGGTGTGCTTATTTGGTTGTTGTGCTGATAGGGCCGAGGGCGGCTGTTGACGGAATGCGGCAAAGAAGGTGGACAGGAAAAAGGGGCGTTGGGAAGACATGGTGGTCGGCTATGCGGTGATGGAGAAGGGGGTGAGAAGACCCCTATCACTTGTTTTATCGCAGTCTTGGTGTTTGGTGTTGGCGTAGCTGGAGCGATGATAACCTATTCTTTCCTCGCACTCCCGTGTGGATTGATTGTTTTACAGGTCTTCGGTCGAAATATGGGTCCTGATCCTTCTTCTTGATGCTTGGACTCGCGCTCGGTCGAAGTCTAAATCCGTGCGGCGAGAAAATACCGTCGATGTCCGTCCTGTTGGGCTGTGAAGTTGCCCCTATCGATGACTGGCTTCGAATGTTTGACTCGTGGAAATGGCCAGTGGGCGCTCGGTCATGTCGGTACAGGGTGTGTAGGCAAGTCGCTGGACGAAGAACAGATAAATGTAAGGCGACGAATGAGTCGTAGGGTTCCTGCGCGAAAAAATCGAAAGTCGGTGAAGTGAAGTCGTGGGTGGTGGCACAAGATGTATGAAATCGCAGCCGCTTGTTCCCGTGCGTGGGATGTCGTTCTGACGTCGAGTCGACGCCCAAAGATGGTGGGCTGTGGCAGGGCTGCCCTTTGCTCGTGTTTCTTGGCGTTTGTTCCGCTTAGCTATTCTCGGCCATTCCCGGGACTGGCGGACCAATGGAATGGCTGCCAATGCCGAGCTCAGAATCGTGGGGCAGGCAGTGGGCCTCAACGCGCTATCCACTGTGGGCCTGGCAATTGACCGCCTGTTGATTGGCTCAGAACGGCTATCCTTTGTGCGGGGGAACCGGGGCACTGACAGCACAACTTCGGGCTTCTTAATTCCAGTGGACTTTGCAGGTGACAGCTCAGCGAGTTACCTGGTGATCTGGAAAGTAAATGCAGACCATGGGAGGGGTCGGGTGCCCTAAAAATGCAACAACATAAACAATTCTTGGATATCGTCATGCCCGACTGGTGTGTCGAGCCGGTCGGCCGGCGGAGCTTCATCCTCATCTCCGACGTCCCAACCACCAACGACTCTGAGCTAGACGGGGGATGAAGCGATATATCAGTCATTTCCAAGAGAGTCCTCTATCTGATTCTCAGCAGTCGATGACCACATTCTGCAGTTACTAAAAGGGCAATCCTGATTCCACCAACACTACCACCAATCCCAGGCTATCTAAGGGTCTCGGCACCTTGAACCTATGCAGTGTGGCAGCATTGGCAACCAAATTTTAACAAGATGTGTGAGAAGTGGAGGGCAAGTTGTGGTCTCCCTGAAACTTAAAAGTCAATAACAAACAATTGTCGGTCAAGAATCCATCAAACCCAAGGGCAGCTTGATGCCCACGTGCTAGCCCTCGATACCTTGGCCGGTAAGGGCCAAGGCCGATATTGATAATACCTTCCTCTCTATTACTTGATAGCCGAAGTGTCCATTTGACTTGAACTCATGTGTTCAACATCAGCATCAACAACGACACATAATATCGGGCATGTTTGTCCCCATTCTCGCTACCTATAATTATCAACCTCTGTCTTCACGCATCTCTAGTATCTTTGGATAGGCCCTATGTATGACGACTGTGAACAAGACGTTGTATAGAGAGTGAAACCATCTTCGGCCGTACAAGGTCCCCAGACCAGAAGATCTTTTCACGATACACCATAATGCTACACACATCTCACAAGCCACATCCTTGAACAGTAATGTGACAACAAGATCACACCAATTGCGGTCATACTAATAAAACAAGCTTGTACAACCTAGAGCTATGACATCGAGAGCTGCAAAAACTTTCATAAGCACACTCTGGACAGAATAACTGCCACTGTAAGCTAGATAAAATGTATTATAATTGTTGACTTATACCTTTTGAAAAAAAAATAGGCCTCGAGAAAGAACCAACAACCCTCAAACCATAATCAGAACGCCCATTAACTACCTTCCAAGGCCTATTACTTACCTGTTGGGGCGTCTTCCAGATACTATTCCGTTGACTTACTTTTGCGGTGCCAAGTATTTTGTCCACAACGTGATAAGGTTACCTTACCTGATGGGCGAATTTGAAGTAGCCCAGTCATCTCACCCAGACACTTTGAGCAGAGATCATTAGTCCCTGACATTTGTCTAAGTGAATCTCGAAAGCTGTCTGTATCTCCAACCTGAAAAAGTACCTTGCAACAACATGTAGCCAACAAGTATAGAATGACCTCGCTGGATACTATCTGCCTAGGTCTGTGGATTTTGCGTGATAGGCCTGGACATGAGAAAACAGCCAAGAAGGTCTAAGAGGTGTCAAGGGATAATTGAACGTTCTGAAACTATGTCCTGGGGCTTGTGTTTGGTGTTTGGTGTAGCGATGTGTCATTCTGGTCTGGACATGTGATGGTATGACCTACTTAGGGGTCTATTGTGCTTCGTAACTCCCAGATGCGCCCTCTCTGTGTGTGGTACAATGTAAAGCACTGCCCAGCCCTCGGGCTTTAGTCATCTATTTTCAGACAAGTCAGGTATCGGCCACATCCTGCGACAGTATTCTGTCTGGTCTTTCTGTGTGGTGTGCGCCAGCATGAGCCTCTCCGTAGACATTCAGGCATCAAGTTGATAGAACACAGGCCAAGGCTACGGTCAACGGTGCCGTGTTGCAGGGCTGGTTCTGAGCTTCAGGTTGAAACTCTACGACACCAGGCGTCCAGGACCGGAAGCACGAGGCTGCCATGGCCTGAGCAGGCAGGTGGGTAAGGTGATGAGATCCATTTTCAGTATAAGAGAGGCCAGCACCGTCCTCCTCATCAGCATTGGAATCTGTCTCTATCATCAACTCAAATATCGATATCAACAATCCACTCCTTCACAGGACTTCTGGCAAGTCCAAAAAACATTCTCTTCATTTGATCATCTCACTTTGGGGAAGCACTCCTTTTCAAACAGTCTTGAAATTCAACCTCTGGAAGGTTTGTTTGCTTCACGTTCTCTTTTGAATCCTTAATCGGCTTCTGGCAAGCCTCGAACACTCCCTCCAACATCTGTCTTAACGTACCTTACATTTCCTCAGCCGTCTCTCTCAGGTTGACCTTCTCGAAGAGCCCCGGTCAAGCAAAATTCAATCTAACAGACCTATTGAAAATGAAGCACACCATTGCCCTCATTTCCATTATCGGTCCAGCCAGCGCTGCTCGTCTCCCCAAGCCAACATCCGAAACAGCCATTTCACACAGCAATAAGAACAACAAGATCAGCGCTTCTCTTGGAAACGTAGCCGGAGGCGTAGCCAGCGGTGGAATTCTCCTCGTTATCGAGCATCTTCTCAACCAGGGCGATGAACAAGAGATCCGGCCAACTGTAAACGCTGCGCAAGCCCCTCAAAAGCGAAGTGTACGGCGGAGAATCCGATTCAACCGCAAGCGCCCATCTCGCCGTCTGAATCCTGCCCCAGATTCTCCAAAGGTTGATAACGCAGCTAAAGTTGACAGGACAGAAAAGGTTGACGACACAGCAGAGGTTGACGACAGAGGCGGAAAGACTGACGGGTTCGCCAAAGAAGTGGCAAAGGATGTTCTTAGTGATGAGATTGTGAATCGCATCGAGGATGTAGTCGACGTCGTCAAGGGCAAGATTTTTCGGCAGTGATGAGGGTGATGCTGTCGACGATGCTCTGGAGGATTCCCCAGTGCAGAAACGAGATCTTCTCTCTCTATCCGCTCTGTGTGAAATTCCTCCAAGACAAGGGGCTCATTCCGGACACGACTCTGGAGGACGACAACGATGAAAATGCAGCGGATAAGCTCGACGCACGCAAGAGGAGCTCGGAGATGGCGCCAATCGCAACCTGATTCGGGCGCGGGCTCCCCGTTTTGGTCGTACTGGTAGACCCTCTCGTGATGGCCAGGTGGTAAGGAGCTGTCTGGGGGCTCTTCTGTCGGCTCTTCCTCGGGAGGTTCTTCCATTGGCACTGCCGCTGAAGGCTTTGCTGGTACTGTTGCAGGTGGTGTTGCCACTGGTGGTATACTTCTCGGATTAGAGAAGGCCATCAGCGAGGGAGATCAGGTCTCGGCAGCGACTGTTCCATTGCCTGCAGAGCCCTCTGACGAAGCGGTTGCGGCATAAACGACACAAGGGGAGCTGGTACCAATCCATAGGTACTTACCGGAGCGGAAAACCAGGGGTAAAGGGATGGATATATCATATCAGAGAACACTCGTTTCATTGTTAGACCCTTATTTGATTTTTCAAGACATTCAATTATGGATAGCAATAGAACCTAGAACACGGCTTGTTGTTTTTATCGAGCAAAATGTAGAATTCCCAACAGGCGACTATGTTTCGCAACTCCCATCCACAAATTCACACTTCTTCCACGACTTGCTTCATACATCATCAAACACCCCAAAATATGCCGACAGCCAAATTCAAACCCGTCCCTTCAGCAATCCCGCCAACACCTCCCTCAACTCCGTCTCCCCCCTCCGAATCTCTCCACCCGGCGTCGGCTCCGGATTCAAAAACAGGATCCCCCCCTCCAAGAAGCTCTGGTTCATCTCCGTATACTCCCTCGCAACATGCTCAGAAAACATCTGCCGGTAATAATCCAACAGCCCCTCCTGAGGAATGACTCTCATATCCACCTCTTTCCCCAGCAACTCCTCAAAGATCTTCTTCACATCATTCGAGCTGTAGCTCTGGCCCTGAAGCTCAAAGATGTAAGGATTGCTCTTGGGGGGGGCAGTAGACAACAGCTCTTGAGCGCACGTCTTGCCAATATCCCTCACGGCAATGTGCGGGAAGGGAAAATCGGCCGGGGAGATGGTAGAGTAGAAGAAGGGCTTGTCCGAGAGGAGATTGGGGAGTTCGGAGGCCCAGTTTTCCATGAACCAGCAGCAGCGGACAAAGACCTTTTGGATGGAGGCGGGCAGGGTGGAGATGGTGGTTTCAGCGGCGTGATTTGCTTTTAATTCACCCTGGTCACATTTTGCGTTAGCATTCTATGAACGGGAAGGGAAAGGGTAATATTACGGTTCCAGAGGAGTACTGGGCCCCCATTGTGCTCATCAGGACGATCTTCTTGATGGTCGAGGACTTGAGGATGGCGGTTTTCAAGTTCTCGGTTTGTCGTTTGGCGTGCTCAAAGACATCGGCGTCGGTATACGTGTTAGGGGTTGTGTGGAAAAGCAGGTCGCTGGGAGGAAGTTCGAGGGAAGGGTCGTCAATGTCGCCTTGGAGGGCTGTAAATTGGGAGTGGGACAGTAAATCTTCCGGGACCTTGGATAAGTCGCGGTATATGCCGTGTATCTTGACTGAGGGATCAGAAAGAGAGAGCAGAGCCCGAATGGTGGCGAGGGAGGTCTTGCAAGAGGCGGGGATGATGGTAATGGTCGGCATTTTGATTACCTGAACGTCGTTGTTGGTGCTCGTGTTGGTGGGTGGATGGTAAAAGTGCTGCTGTTGTAGTCCTCGTCGTGGACAGAGCGGATGGACCTCTATTACTACTGATCAATGAGATCCTTATAGATGTGTGGTTCATGAATATTCCACCTTGTCAGCCGTGGCTTTCCCGATTCGTCAACGCCGACGTCAATGTCGACGTACGCGTGCATTGCCAAGATCTCTTCATCTTTGTCGCTGGTGCCTACCAGATCGCAATCTCGCCTAAGAATCGTTGCTATTGACGCCTCGCCGGCCTGTAGTCGTCACGGAATGCGATCTTGAAGCCAATCGACTTGATAGTGTTTTGTAATCAACATTTATTCAGCAGTGTCTAGTAAGCAGACTTGTGTAAGCAGCGTCACAATTAGGGGATGCCAAGCAGCGCCTTCTTTCAGCCCTGAGGCTGCCAGTCCAGACTATGCCGCCCTTGGTATTCCAAGGCCCAGCCCTGCAACTAGAACCCGTCACCAGAGTCGGTACCACCACGCAAAGCTGGCGTAGGTATCGGTGTCGGAGGCCGCGGGTTCCAGCATGCGTGACCATACGCGTCCCGACCGCTTCACTGAATCAATGAGGGTTCAGCCTCTGTTCAGAAAACGGGTGATTTCCCCAGCTCCATCCGTTTTAGCAACCCATGTAGAGTCAAAAAGACCTCCTTTCCTCTTGTTGAACCCATATACACGGAGTGAGTATGTACAGAAACAGTTTGCCCTCGCAGTAATGTTGAATTTAGTCCCATTTTGATTTCCCTGAATCAATACCGCCAGATAGCATCCGCCATCGCTACCACCTGCGCCATCTCCCTGACATCATGGACCCTCACCACGTCCGCTCCTCCCTGAACAGCAGCCGCAACTGTCGCGGCTGTGCCCCATATTCTCTCCTTCGGCGTCGGTACGCCTGTCACCCTCCCAATGAAGCTCTTCCTGCTGGACCCGACAAGCCACGGCAGACCTTGCAACCCAGGCCAGAACCTGAGCTCATCCAAGTGCCTCAGCACATCGACATTTTGCCAGCCAACCTTGGCGAAGCCTAACCCAGGGTCAAGCACGATCCTCCACCGTCTAACACCAGCCGTCTCGGCAGCCGCTACCCTCTCCACCAGTTCCTTAGCAATCCCGCCGATGAGCCCTCCTTCAGAATCAGGGTACTCAGCAAGATTGTTCATCGTCGCCGGTGTCCCCCTCATGTGCATCAGACAGATGGTTGTCCCCAACCTCGCAACAGTAGGCAACATCTCCGGGTCCATGCTTCCACCAGAGACATCGTTCACAATATCAGCGCCGGCGGCAACGGCAGCCTCGGCGACAGATGCTCGGTAGGTGTCCACACTAATGAGCACCGGCCTATCTGAGAAATGAGAGCGGATGAGCTTGATAGCCGGGAGCACTCGGTTGAGCTCTTCCTCTACTGAAACCTCGGGGCAGTTGGGGGCGGTGGACTGCCCGCCAACGTCAATCATGGTGGCGCCTGCGTCCAAGAAGGATCGTATGTTGGAGATCAAAGTTTGCTCCTCAAGGGATGTGTTTTGGCCGCCATCAGAAAAGGAGTCAGGGGTCATGTTGAGGATGCCCATGACGTGTGTTTTCCGGGCTGGATTGAGAGCCATGATGGGGGGGTGGTGTGCTGACAACGGGGTCATAGTGGTGATAGGAGTAGTAGAAGAAGGTAGGGCATCAAGTAAGTCCCGGGTTAGGGTCCATGGTCGGTCGGGGTCCAGAGGTTTGTCGGGGATAAGTCTAGGGAACCGTTGTAAGTCAAGGGTTCGTGCCAAGATAAAACGGTCAAAACAGGACTTACTCAGCAAGAGGCTTCAAGACAAACTCCCTTTCGGGGATTCCAATGTGAGGAATTGTGAGGCGCTCATGGTTGAACTTGATGTTGTCATAGAGAAGGATATCGAGGTCAATGTTACGCGGGCCCTTGTCAATGATCTTTTTGCGACCAAGGGAGTTCTCGATATCTTGGAGAGCATCCAGAAGGGCAAGTGGCTCAAGAGTTGTCTCAACCTGAGGTTTTCTTTTAGTTGCGGCTCTGATTGGTATAACGGGGGTCGGAGACCAGACGTACCTCACAGGCACCATTGACGAATCTATCCTGGTCTAGCACATACATGGGCTCCGTCTCCCACAGGCTGCTTGTGCGCTTGACCTTGATGCCCCGCGCATCCAGCTCGGCGCAGGCCTTTTCTATCCAGCCAATACGATCCCCCAAGTTGCTTCCCAGGGCGATATATGCCAGCCGCTTCCGCGCCGGATCTGGGGGAGGTGGGCTAGCCATCTTGGCAGGCAGGTTTATTTCCTTGGGCTTAAAGCTGCGCGGGAGAGAATATTTTTTGAAGCCGAACGAATCTGTTAGAGACGGTGCTGTCTGGGAAAATTGCCGCTGTCCAATCCTGCTTAGGCGCAGGTTCTGGCAGGAATGGCATACATGTCTGGTACTAGGTAAACTTTGTCGGGGTTGTCTCAATGACCCTGCGGCGATACGTGTGAAGCTCTTCATATTCTGCCGCAGTGAAGTCACCGACCGAAGTCGAGAAGTGGCTCTGTGAGTTGCTCCAGACCCGACCTTCGGAGTCTCCACCGAAAGAAATGCGGAAAGGGTTAGGGTTGAAGGCGCGGTTGACCTTATCCGTTTAAGGATTCTCAGCTGTGTCATTGGAACAACAGCCAACAGGCGGATGTGGTGGTGTCTCGGGTTCAACTCCGGGTCATGCACTTGATTACCAGCGCGCCGGGCCTGAAGGTTTCCGACGCCCCCTAGATGGAATTCCAGGAGGCGGCGAACAGAGGAACCAGCAAGAGGGACTCGGGAACATCCGATGTCATCGAAGGCGAGCCAGACATGTGGGAACCATCACCTGTTGACTGTGACCGTGAAACTCTCCTACGTGCAACCGTCGCCGTTGAAACGTCTGGCCTGGTCGTTGTTGATCAAGGTTTTTCGAGTGTCAATGTTCGCTATAATAAAATTAACCATGCCTTGGCTTGCCGAGTGACTTGAGAATCACAGTTTCAACGAGGACAAACCGAACCGATGCCTCGGTCTGTCTTTGACCTCCGCAGTTCGGTCGCGCAGCCGAGTACCCCAGCGTTCCCATGATCGCCTAATAAAGCTTAGCGTAGGGGCGCGGGCAACCTCGGCACGGCGGTGATCGTGGCCAAGGCTCCGCGTACCCCGGATTCCAAGATGCGTGTGCCTCCACAGATCCAACTGATTGATAACTGGCCTTCTTCCTCGTGCTTCGTCTTGTGTCTTTTTTGTTTTTCAGCAGCGAGATTTTTAACCTTTTTCTTTTTCACCAACACTTATTCTACCATTTCCCGTTTTGGAGTATTCACATCAGTCATCATGGCCTCTCCTCGTAAGTTCACCTCGAACCTGAATCACCCCGCGCGCACCGGCTCTCCCCTTGGCGCATTCGAACGACCAACTGGGCGCTAACGTGAGGTTTTCACTTTGTAGAGCAGATCCGCACCGACATCACCGATCTCTTCGGGATCAAGCACCCCATCCTCCTCGCCGGCATGAACGTCGCCGCTGGCCCCAAGCTGGCGGCGGCTGTCACCAATGCCGGCGGTATGGGTGTCCTCGGTGGTATCAGCTACACCCCCGAGATGCTCAGGGAGCAGATCGATGAGATCAAGAAGCACCTTAACGACAAGAAGGCTCCCTTCGGTGTCGATCTCCTTCTTCCCCAGGTTGGCGGCAACGCCCGCAAGACCAAGTAAGACCATTCCCCAGACGCCGACAGACCATTCATTCCTCTTCTCTTTTGCTGACCCTTTGCGCTTTTCCAGCTACGATTACACCAAGGGCAAGCTTGACGAGCTGATTGACATCATCATCGAGTCCGGCGCCAAGCTCTTCGTTTCCGCCGTCGGTGTCCCCCCCAAGCACGTCGTCGAGAAGCTCCACAAGAACGGCATCCTCTACATGAACATGATCGGCCACCCCAAGCACGTCAAGAAGTGCCTTGACCTCGGTGTCGATATCATCTGCGCTCAGGGTGGCGAGGGTGGCGGCCACACCGGTGACACCCCCACCACCGTCCTCATCCCCACCGTTGCTCAGCTCGTCAAGGGCCACAAGTCCCCATTGACTGGCAAGCCCGTCCAGGTTGTTGCCGCCGGTGGTATCTGGAACGGTCAGCTCCTCGCCTCTGCGCTCATGATGGGCGCCAGCGGTGTCTGGGTTGGTACCCGTTTCGTCCTCTCCAAGGAGGCTGGTGCCCCCAAGGCCCACAAGGAGGCCGTCCGCACCTCGGGCTTCGATGACAACATCCGCACCACCATCTTCACCGGTCGCCCCATGCGTGTCCGCGCCAACCCCTACATTGTTAACTGGGAGGAGGACCGTGTTTCCGAGTTGAAGCAGTGCCTCGCCAAGGGCAAGATCCCCCACGAGGTCGACCTCGATAAGCTCATGGCTGGTGAGGTCCCATCGATTGCCGACCTCAAGAAGATCGGCCTCGTTGCTGCCTCCACCCCCGACAACGCCGAGGTTGATGTTGATGACCTTCTTGACTCCCTCATGCCCCACCTTATGGGCAAGTGCGCCGCCGTTGTCAACGAGGAGAAGTCAGCCAAGGAGATCGTTGACGAGTTTGTCAACGATGCCGTTGCCGTCATCAAGAGGGGCAACGCCCAGCTCGTCAGCTTGCCCAAGCTATAGAGTGTGGGAGGATATGATGGATTGGCTTTCTTGACTGTACTATAGCGTCGTTTCTGCACATATAATGACATTTCACGATTTGAATACTCCACGTCTATGTTCACTCAATTGTTTTGGCCTGATTTTTTACGTTCGAAAGTCGATTGCAAACTGTTCGCAGAATTCCTTACAGGCTCGGCTTGGAGCTCCACCCACTTCGGACCCCTGCCGAGACCGATCAACCAAAAGCCAATAGAGTCTCGGTCGGGGGAATGTGGGGCCGGCCGCGATTCTGGGTCGGTGTCCGGCCCACGACCCAACAGCAAAACTCGGCAAGGACAAATGGCGGTTTTGAGAAGTTGGTGGGAAACAGGCGGCCATGCACCTCACGAAGCGGCAGCTATGCACTTCTCACAAGCACCACGATTTTCTCATTGGTCAGGCTGTCGTCGACCCCAACTTTGGAGGGCACAGGAGGGCACAGCTTTGACCCCGGGTTTACCCACATATGTTTCTTTGTCGATTCTCTCAAACTTACAAAAGTCTCTCTAGCCATGGTAAAGACCCGACCACCTTCTAACCCCAACCTCAGGCCATCTGATGGGGTCTTATGCCGGCGTCACACAAGGTGTCTATGGCTGGGGATGGACATTAGATGCTCCCTTTCTTTTGGCTGGCACCCGTCCCCCCAAGTCCTGTTGTATCCTTTGTTTACAATTCTTGCAGATCATCACCGTCATCGTCTCATACCAAGAGCCTCATATGACCATCATGGCCGGCCTCTCAGCCACGACCGCAGCCCGCAGCCCGCATCTGTTTTGTTCCTGCACGTTCCCTGGACCAGAGTGTACCCGCCGTTGGAACTGAGAATAGCCAGCTATAGACTACCACTTTGCTTGAACCTGGCGGGCCAGGTGATGCTGACGCTGTATATTAGCTGATCTCATCCTACAGGTTTCAAATCTCTCCGTCTCTCTCTCTCTCTCTCTCTCCTTTTTTTTTTTTTTACTTCACTATCCGTTGTTGAAGACGTCAACAACTTCCTTTCCTTTCTACCTCTTCGCGTTTCTTCACAGCCCTAGAGGCTTTACTTTTCATTCCTTTGCACTTCCGTGCCAGTCGTTCCTTGACTTTGCCTTTCAAAAAATCAGGGGCAGGTTCCCGATTTACTTACGTTCCTTTTCAGTTCAGACAAAATGAGAGGCTTCGGTGCAGGTGGTGATGGTGGGATGGTGGGCATGGTTCTCAAAGTTGCGCCTGTCGTGTGCTCCTTTTTCGCTTTTGTTTTTTTGGCCGTTGCCTTGTCGGCAGGAAGCTCACCGAATTATATTGAAGGGTTGAGTGTGATTAACGTATGTCAAACTGTACCCCTATCTCTTCCTTTTTCCCCCCCTGAATAAGGTTACTGACCAAACACCCCCAAGTTCAACATGTCTACCTTTGGCAAAAACCTCATCAAGGCCCCCAACGTCCAAGAAGCCGCCCAAGGCGGCTGCGACAAAGCCGACAACGCCGTCACGGACGCGGGCAACGCTCTCGGCAACGTAGCCGGTGGTCTCGCCGGTGCTTTCGGCGGCAAGAAGGCCGAAGAAGACGCCAAAAAGGCCCTCAACGGCGCCTCGGACAAAGTCGGCGACGGCGTCGGCGCAGCCTGCGAAAAGGGTGCTGAAATCGCCGACAAGGCCGTCCGGCTCGGCCAGGACCTCGTCGACAAGGCCCTCGGCAGCGTCGCCAAAGCCATCGGCCTCAAGGAGTACTACTCCATCCACATCGGCGCCATGTGCGAAGGCATGTACGCGCCCCTCTTCTCCGACCCGGCCGCGGAGCCGAACGTGGAAAAGTGCACCAAAAAGTTCGTCGTCGAGCAGACCGACCTCTCCAAATCCCTCGACGCCTCCCTCAACGTCGGCCCCTTCAAGTTCAAGCTCAGCGACGTCGGCCTGATCGACACCATCCAGGACGCCCTGGACCTCATCCCCCGCGCCCTCGCGGCGATGGGCTTCTTCTTCCTCACCTCCGTCGTCTTCCTCGCCCTGGCGTTCCTAGGCTCGACCGCCGCCCTCGCCTCCGCCTTCGTCCCCGCCCTCGCCGCCCGCGAGACAGCCCTCATCCTGCCGACCCTCGTCTGCCTCGGAATCGGCTGGTTCCTCGCCGGGATCGGCACCCTCGGTCTCACCGCCGCCGCCGAAAAGATCAAAAACGCCGTCAACGAAGACGGCGCCAAGTTCGGCCTCTCGGCCGCGACCTCTCCAGGCCTCTACTTCCTCATCTGGGCCGCCGCCGTCCTCTCCACCCTCGGGTTCGCCACGCTCGCCTACGCCTGGTACAAGTCCCGCCACGTCAGCGGCGACCGCTCAGAGACAGACTCCGACCTCGACGAGCAAAAGCACGTTGCCAGAGGCCAGTACCCCATCATGCAGGGGAACTACCCGCCTTCTGAGCGGGGGAGCTACTACGGCGCCCAGGACGGACAGGACCAGATGCAGCAGGTGGATTTTGGCGGGCAGCCCCAGGGGCAGATGCGCCAGCAGGATGACACGTATCTCGGTCAGCCGGTGAACGACGGGAGGCCGAGCAAAGAGTATTACCAGCAGCAGCAGTAGAGCCCCTCAGAGAGACGGCTGGAGCTGTCTGAGCTCGTCCTTTCGTTATCTATCAACCGTCATTCGCCACTATGCATCGTCACCGGAGTTGGGGGAATTTAGGGGGTTTTAAGCATCTAATTTGCACTTTGGCTTGAAGCTGTACAACAACAGGCGTTCAGGGGAGCACTTCAGAGATCATCTTCCGTCATCACAGTCGTTATCGTCTACGCACACCTGCCAGTCATTCACTCACCATATAATAAAAATGTAATACCAGTAGAAAATACAGAATGTCGTTATTTGCGCGCATCAAGCTCGCTGATACCGGGTGGGTGTGCAACAGATATAATAAAAACGTACTTGTATTACAACCAACACCCGGTCACCCGCCATGTCATTTTTGCCAGGAAACCCTAGGATCATAACTACTCATAACAACAAAACAGGGGAACGCATTCGTGGATTCAACGTCCCTCCTCATCCCAATAGTCCCCAAAAGAAAACACAACCCGGGAATAACAACAATAGCATATCGAAAACTACTGAGAAAAAAGCAGTCTCGCACAATCCCATGATCCCATTAAAAGAAAAAGTGGCAGTCTTTGTACCGTCCAGCCATTCCATGCCCCGTCCCGCGCCATAAAAGTTTGCCACAGGTTTGATCGGATTTCTGTTTTTTTGTCACTCATCTGGCTCAACAAGGCAGAGCAAGCGCGAATGATTGTCGAAGGAAGCCTTGCTCACTTAAGCAGCGATCAAAGGCTCCTCCTCACCGGCCTTGGTAGGGGGAGCAATAGGCTCCGACTTGATGTCCTCCTTGGGAGCGACGGGGAAGTCAGTCGGCTTGAGCTCGGATTTGTGGCCATTCTCCTGACCAACAGCACCCTTGATCAAGGACTGAGCCTTGGCGGTGTAGTCGCCCATGTACTGCTTGGTAACCTGGGTGGCTTGCTCGGTGTTCTTCTGGACCAAGGAGCGGATCTGCTCGGTCTGGTCATTGATAATCTCACCAGCGTGCTGGATCTGGCTGTCGATAAGCTCCTGGTTGGTGGTGTAAATGAGAGGGGCGAAGAAGATGACGGAGGTGGCGATGAGAGCAAGACCCCAGTACGGAACAACCTTGACCAAGTAGTACGAGATGAAGGCGCCGAGGGCAATCTAGCGGGACGAGTTAGCAAATAGCTCCGAGTCTACAGCTCCGAGAGCCGAAAATATAAGCTCAATCGCCAAGGGGAACTTACAGCAGCGGAAGCCCAGATGTTCTCAGCGAAAAGGATGCGTTGGGACTCGATCACACCAAAGTTGATAAGTTCGTTGACGTCGCCAATAACGGCATCAAGTGTCTCTCGAGGAACAGTGTAGTACTTGCGAGGGCGGAGCTGGGTAGCAAAGCCATTGTTCAAAATGGCTTTTCCGGCGATCTCGGCGGCAATGGTAACACCGAGGGCCATCCATGTGAGCTTGAGACCCCATCGGAGCACATCCAGGTATCTAACCGAGAAGATGAACGAGACGATTGTGAGGTAGGCAATTCCAGAGGCGCCTAAGAGCCTTCATCAGTACAGCTTTATATCTCGTTGGTGAGTCCCACTTGAACGTACGAGGATTCTTCCATGACAACAGCTCCGAGAAGAAGGAGTGGTAATGAGTCAAGGGCTGGCCAGTAGCCGCGGTGTACGAAGGAGCGCGGCGAGAGTTGGCCAAGTTGGAAAGCTCATCCGTGGTTCTCGCGCCCTCGGCCTTGATGTTCTGAGCTACAGGGCCTGCAAGAAAAGTCGACGTCAGCATTTGCATGTGAGGATTAGGTGATGTGCAGCTTATCGTACCGCTGGTAACATTGTTGTAGGTGGCAGCAAGGTCTGCAGCAGCTATCGTCAGTTTAGGTCACAGGTGGAGAGGTATCGGCTGTCGTGGAGCTGTGAAATACCGGAGCTCGTGTTAGCTGGGTATCTTTGGGCGGGCTGATTAAGGCAACAGAAGAAAAGGAAGAGCTTCGTACGAACCTTACTGTTCTTGAGGGCATCCACGCTGGCATTCCCGTTCGCATGTCCGTTCGAAATGTCGGCCATTTTTGATGGATATGATGTCGTTGGGCGGGGATTATTGGTAGTTTGGCAGCTGTCGAGAGACAAATTCTGGGAGTCGGGAACTGTTGGAGGGGAGCTTTCGACTGGCAGGCGGCGGAGAAAACCCACAAGTGGTTGTGTGCGCTGAGGAAGTCGGTAGGAGGTGTAGAGTACAACAAAGCTGTTGGTGAGTGGTGTAATTTCTTTGTGGCAGAATGATGTCTTTTGGATTGGGGATTCCGGGAGACGATTTGAGGATGGCCAGATGAATTTAGAGGAAGAGGGAAAGCCAAGGTGGAGGAATGACGCGAGTGGGAGGAGCTTGAGACACCAGGGCTTGCTTCCAAGTTGCTGCCTCTTCGCACACGGTGCACCGACTGATCCGTCCCGATGCTCTCTGATAGCAGACACACTAGAGCTTGGATATGATAGCATAGAGGGGCACTGCAGGCAGTTTTGGCACAGCTCTGCCCCACCAATTCTTCTTCCCCTTCAAACAGTCGGCGGCACGCAAGCACCACCTCAAGATGATGAGATCATTGCCAGCAGCCTCCCTCCAAAAACAGGATAGCCCGCCAGCCTATCAACAACGAGCTTCCCGATCTCCCACATTCGTTCAATTTTGCACTGTCGGTATCTTTCTTCAGCTACCTGCGGTCACACAACAGATAATGATATTCCCTCCTGTCTTTGTTCTTTCTTCCTGTATTCCATCTTCCTCACCACTGCGATAAGCCCCTTGACTAAGAACAATTTTGCATCCAACTCTGGCGTAGCACCCTGACGTGCCTTGGCTCTCTCTCTTATCCCTTGTCCCCTGTCCCTCTCTTCGGTACGTGTCTCTTGGCCTGCTTGTGCCCTTCGCGTTCTAGCCCATAATGGATTTCACATGCTATTTTTTCCCACTTTGACGCGCCGTTTCGCCCCGGCAGCATCCTTGACTGCCCCTCAAAAATCCACTCTCTTCTTCTTGCTTCTTCCAGAACGTCCACACACCCCCAGCTCCGATAACCGATGACGTGGGTGAGAGCACACAAGCACACGACACCACTGACAACACCACACCAACTCAAACGACCCAAAAAATAAAAGAGGGATTTCCAGTGCAGCCAAGCGTCTCAGCCGGTTGCCTCCATCAACATCAAAACCTGCAACGTAACCTCGCTTTTCTTAAACCTGCTCACGTCAACGGGATCTTCAGCAAGAGAGAAGGGACTTGACGCAAGTGAATCAAGTTAGCTTTTCTTGTCTACTGCAGGGACGCTTGTGCATAACCCACTTTGGATGCACAGATCCACCTGTGAATAGCCTCACCACCTCCTGATATGGTCAAAGTCAACATTTGAGCATAAAGCAGTTTACACCGGAAGGCTTTCTTGAGAAACAAGTGGCCTGTGCATCTTCATCAGTAATTTTATGCTAGTGGTGCAGCATAGCCATCTACTTTCACGGGAAACAAAGCCCTCAGTTCCTCTTCTAATGCTTTCTGATTTAAGCAGTAGTGGGTACGCTATACACTATACTCAGGCTCATATACCTGTCATTCCCATCTCTACTCCCTTGATACCCCACCCTGCATTCACCGACTCCCCTCTGTTTGTGCAAACTCAACATACCACAACAGCAACCCACAACCCATAAACTACTGGTATCTCATATTGTTTCAATAAACACAACCTTCTCCGCCTCGCCTGTGGACAGCTATGGTTCTTAACCGCATATATGGCATATGCCCCTCCTGAAATCCACCGAAGCAGTAACACGAAACCATCAAATTATATGTGCCCAAAAGAGAAAACTTGCGCCCAAGCGCCTCCACATGAGGCGTAATAGAAGGAAAACCAAAAACACAACATAACCGCCTCCCCATGCCTTCTAGGTCATGGAGACATGCTCATTAGAATAAAGCCCAGCAATAGAAAATCATCAGCCATGAAACACCACCACTCTCAAAACAGCAAGCCAGCCAGTGTATCACACTCATCTTGGCCAGCTCACCTCCTCCAGCCCCAGAAACCGCCACCGCCCGTAGCATTGGTGGCGGCAGGCGCCGTGGCGGCCTTCTGAGGGGACTCGCCAGGAGCAGGCACAGACGTCGGTCCGGTCGTCCCAGTAAGCCGACCAAACATGCCCATAGCTGCTGCCGCTGGCCCCCCACCGTCTGCCGTGCTGTGGTTTCGCTGCAGCGCTGGTGGTGTCTCGCCCGGAGCCAGCCCAAAGGCCTTCCGGAGCTGCTCCAGCTTCTGCCTCGCCTCCTCGGCTTCCTGTTTGGCGACAGCTTCGGCCGTCTTCGCCGCCGCGAGCTCTAGCAGAAGGGCATCACTCTCGCTGGTTGGGATAGGCGGGGGTGGGGGAGGAGCCATGACGTTCAGGGTGGAACCGGCCGAGTCCCGGTTGGACTTCTTCTGCATCGTCATCGACGACGCTCGCTTGTTGTAGTTGGGCGGGTGGGATGGGGTGGACCTGCTGCGGCCCAGCTTGAGCTCGCGGAGACCACTTGTACCCGCTGCCGTACCAATCTGGGGGAACCACTCGGTACTGGTCGCGTTAGAGGCTGGCGTGTCGGACGCCCTGGTCCGCATGCTATGTATCTGCCGCTCGAGGCGCTGCTTCTCCTGGTGTAAAGTTCGGACATGTGTGTGGCTCTCCCTCAGTTGCTCCTTCAGAGAGGAGACCTCCTGCTCCGCTTCATGAATCTTGCGTTCGTGCTCTCGTGACCTGGACACCTCGTGGGATAACTGTTCTTTCGCCCGAGCCAGCTCGTCTCGAAGTTGTGATTTGGTCTGCGCCATGGACGACCGTCGGTTGACCACCGAGTCGCTGAAGCGAAGCTCGACGATATCGAGCAGGTCGGATAGCTCCTCCGAGGTGGGCTTGACTGTCTCGTCACCCTCTTCCGAGGTTGGCTCAGTCGAGGCATCTCGAATGGTGTCCTCGCTATCGACACTGGACGACAATGCCGCCGAATCCTCGGCGCCCGCCTTTTTGCGCAGGCCGTCCAGCAACGATCGTACTGCCTTTCTGTCCTCATCGCGGTCTTCCTTTTCCTTTTGTAGCTGGCTGGCCAACAAGGCATGGTTCCGTTGCAGTTCGCTAAGGGCTGTGAGCAAGTCTTCAATCTGGCTGTGAAGTTGCTTGTCCTCCTTGCTGTTATTGGCGCCGCTCGAGAAGACGGCGGGCGATGTCTTTTGCGGCGCGCCCGTCACGGTTGAATCGTCAGCGGAGCTGTCCCGCGAGACGGACGTTGCTTCGGTAGATACGGAGCTGAGGACGCTAGCGGCAGATGAAGTAGTGGACGAGCCAACCTCCATCGAGTTGAGGGTGGATGCCAGGCTCTGCTTCGACGTGCTTCGCCGAAGCATGCTCAACGGACGCGACACGGCGCCCAGGCCGGGATTGAGCGTGTTGGTAGTGGTGTTAGCAGTACTGGTGTTGCTGGATGCGGAGGCGGCTGCCGCAAACGTGGCAAATCGCGGTGTTGAAGAGGAAGCCCACAGGCGACCCAGAAAACGGGAGGCTGCGGTGGTAACATCCGACACCTGTTGCGCTGTTGCATCTGTGGCACGGGGATTGGCGCTTGGGCTAAGGTTAGCTTCTCTGTACCCCTGCTCCAAGGCTGCCAACCGGGCCTTGGTGACAATTTCAGAGAGCGCAGCAAAATCCTGGACAAACTCGTCGGCGTTGTAGTTGTAGCAGTCCCAGAGCCCGCGCGATAGGAGCAGATGCATCACGTCCTCGAGCTCGGTGCAGGCCAGGATGCGCGCCTGGTTCTTGCGCATGAGCGACAAGGCGACTCGCATGATGGTCTCTGACGCCCCCTCGGCAAAGATCACATCGTAGATGCGAAACAGCATGGGCAGGGGGCACGTTACGGCGAAGAAGGAGAGGAACCACTGTGAAACATAGGCGGGTTCGACTTGCAACTCGTCCAGATGCGTCGACAGAGTGGGCAGATGCTGGCGCAGCAGCTCTCTGAATTGGTAGATGCGGACATGCAGCCCTGACAGATCGGGAACGAAACAATGGCGCAGATCGTAGTTCTCCATCAACCTAGTTTTGAGTGCCTTAGTTAGTCCAAATACTCCGGACGAATCGGTACGATTCCTGTTCCCTTACCTGACCAGAACACAGAATGCCTGCTTGTCACTCATGTGCATGAGCAAGGGGCCGACCAGAAAGGCGAGCCCTTGGCAGTACCCAATCTTGGTGTCATAGAGACTGAAGCACTTGAGCACCCGACCGAGCATTCGTTGGCCATCGCCTTCGGGATCCCTAAACATGTCCACACCTGGAAAGCTTCGTCCAAGATCCTTGCTGATGACGCCCTCATAGGGGCTAGACTCGCCAGACAACCGTTCGAAAACCTCTTCCAGGGCACTGTCGCGGGCGCCGGCCATGCTCTGCCAGACAACACCCCGCAGCGGCGGTGGGATGCCCTTCCTGACCTTGTTGGACAACAGAGTCGGCAGGCGAGCAGCCGTTTGCTGAGGGTCTTTGACCAAGGCGAGGTAGAACTCAAGCTCAGTCATGGGCGTCGGCGGCAACGTCGAATACCGGAGGGCTGGAGGGGTCGGCCCGGTGACCATTTTCCGAAGCTGTGCCATCGAGGGAGGTCTCGGGTGGCTCTCTCGCAAGTGTTGCTGTCGCTCAATGATCTTGACCTTGATGCTCTTCGGATTGGTTGCGATTCTGTTGTTTTCTTGTTCCAGCCGAGCAAGCAGCGAGGCGGTGGACTGTAGAAAGAAAGTCTTGTGTTAGCCTCGAAAAAAACAGTGCAAAAAGAAATGTAGCTGTGATGAGACAGTAGGACGGCGTGGGACGGTGAGACAGTCCAAAGACACGGGAGAATTTGATCCTCGTTGCTCGGTGCAAGTCGCTCGTTTCCTGGGACTCTTTGTGATTCGGCTTTGCACCTACCGCTTGTGCGTTCTGTTTGTTTCTAGCCTCCATATCTTCTGTCGCCTGAAGTTTGTCCCAATCAACCGCGTCGGAGCCAGAACTCGACCTCGAATCATTGGCAACATCATCCGAGCGTCCCTCCTCAGCTTCGCCCAGCTCATCTTGCAAGCTGGGTCCCTTCTTCTTGCGAGTATCGGGTTCGAATATCTCCGATTCACTATCGTCATCGTCATCGTCCTCCTCGTTCAGTGTTTCGGCCATGGTCTTGCTCGGGGCGTACTCGGCATCATAGCGAGGAGGGATTGTGCTCGGCGGGACGGCTGTATTCACCGTCAGGGAAGGGGGTTCGGAAAGGCGAACTGTCACGAGCGAGTCGTGGTCTCGTGCCTTTTCCTGCATCTCGAGAGGGATCGGCTCGGAGGTGGTTCGCTCGTGGCCCGTCTCGTTCGTCGTCGGCGTAGTCGCCATGGCTGGCTTCATAATCTTCCGCGTGCTCGGCAGCCGCTGCTGCTCATCTCTCTCGATTCGGTCGAGCTCCATCCCGAAGCCTCGACCCTCCTGATCTCCCACAAGCCGGTGCAATTGTTCCAAGTTCCAAAAGACAGGAAGGAAATATTTGGCCAATTATCTAGCCCAAAACCGAAAAGAGTCGCTCAATGGTGCTGTCCCTGGTCCGCTCCGAGGAAAAGCGGCTCTTCCCTGTGAATATGCCCCCAAAATTTCCAGTTGGTGAATGGCCAACAACAAAAAAAAAAAAAAGGTACCAACTACCCCCAAGGCCTCGTTTGTTCGTTTCGTATGATTAGGAATTAGCGATTAGGTTCCTTTTCTCGGCTTTGCCGCCGTCTGGTCTCGGCTGTCCCTGGTTCCTCCCAAAGTTTTTTGTTTGTTCGGCCTTGCTTCTTGTTCCAGAAGAGTTCGGAGGCGGACGTCGGAGCTTGAATAGGGAAAGAATAGAGACTGAAGGGGGGCACGGTACGGCAGGGATGGCTTTGCAATGGGCGACAAGGCGGGAAGGCGAGACCGCGTGAGAAGTGAGAGAGTCGGTCGAGATCTTCAAGACTCCGAATTGGCCTGCTTCTTGGCACGCGACACTGTTGATGGGGCTCTAGCTGTTCTTTGAAGTTTCATCGAGGGGGCCGACGATGCTGAAACAGTACTGTGCGATCACAAGGTGACCCGCTCCCCACGCCTGCAACACTTGGTAAACACAGCAGCAGCGGAGCCTAAAGCTTCAGAAGCTTTCGCCAGAGAGGACCGGCACTACAAAGGAGCGACGAGATATGGCGAGTGGAGAGCAGCGATAACGACACGATGTGAGCTCGAGAGGGAGAGGCAGGAGCAGAGCAGCCGCTCACGATCGAATCGAAATGGGATCAACTGCGAACCGTGGTGGCCCGGCTCAGCTTGGCGAAGAGGCAAGACCCCGAACCCCTGGATTTCATGGATCAGTGCAAGATGATTGGATGCTTTCTTCTTCCCTGGTCCAGGCGCGCTCTCTCACTGGTCCAATGGGGAAGCGCGACAGCGGGGCATTATGAATTGGCTGCCATTTCATAAAGGGTGATTCCTCGATTGAGACCTTATCATCACCACTCACCAGTCAGGGGTTTTGTTGTCGTGCCATAATTGTGCCTCCCTATTGATGTGGCCCAAATTTATTTGGGCAGCACAGTTCTGTTGGAGAAGGGAGCTCCTGCTCCCGAACACAAAAGAAAAAATATCATCCAATGGCTGCCGTTGAGAACCGGTGAGCTACCAAACTGCTACCAATCAGAGTAGGCGGCTGGGAAAGGGAAGCTTTCATCCCGCTCATGCATGCATGCTGCAGGCGGACCAACTCGCATCTTTGGCTTCAAGACTCGCGATGTGCCAACTGCAGATTCCACCACTACTCTTCTTCCCCTCCGGCTGTCCCAAGGTACAGCCAAATATGAACAACGGGTCGCTGAAGGCCGCCGAGTAACAAGCCCAGTGCAGTCAAACGTCCCCGCAACCAAAAATTCGGGTTCCTCTTTGGTGGCCTTTGTTCATCGGACCTGGCCCTTGACCGCATTTGCCGCACAAGTCAAGAGTGTGGGAGGAGACGTAGTCTTGGGCTCAGACATTGGATGACATGTGTCATGTTCCCACGTTGCGTGACTGGATCTCGGAGACTATTCACAAGCAATGATGGTCCCAATGAGAGATCGCCGAGGCCTTTAAAAACAAATGTCCAATCTGGCCCCTCCACAGCAGTGGTCGGCAAGGTTGGCAAAAAATACCACCCATACTATTATATAGATCTATAACAGTCGAGTCATCGAACGCCCCTGCTTCTCATTGTCTATAACGTCCTGTCTTATGAATACGCACAGCCTATGATTACAGAAATACACATAACCAACCCACTCCTTTGTCCACTTCGCATTCCACCGTGTTCAAACTCCGCCAAAAGATCAGTTTTACTCCCATAACACCATTTGCAACTGGCGCTTTACACTATTGATCCAAGACATGATCGCAACAGAAAATAGGGAACACATGTGGAGAGGATCCGGACACGCAACCGTGGACACGCTGTCACGCTAATATATACCCCGGCCTGCTCTTTCTTTGACCCATGGTATAACTTTTCGCCTGGTACACGCCCCCCTCAACACCTATCACATCAAAATCGTACAGCTTTGGTTCCTAGCTCGCGTCACTGGCCAGCAGGCTGGGTTTGCAAAAGAGGGCCTGGGCTGTTGGCCATCTGAGGTGTCCTGTAAGCCGTTGGACCTGGAGCAGGGCTGCTGTGGTTCGAGCCAAATCCTGTAGCTTGGCCTGGGCCATGAGCTTGTGTTTGGGCTTGAGCCTGTGCTTGCGCTCGAGCATACGCATTAAGTTGCCCGTTGGGGATCGCGCCAGGAGCAGCAGGATTGAAACCCGGCCTCATAGCTGGTGACGCTTGAGAACCTGGTTGCTCTCTTTTAGGGTCGACACCAGGAAAGAGTGCCTGAAGCTTAGCATAGAGTTGCTTGAGTCCCTCAATTCTCTGAAGGCGATCGGCGCTTGGATCCAGCGGTCGTTCTAGTACATCGTCTGGAGAAGCCGGGGGTAATTTAAGCTTCAGGGTCGTACTAAGTGGTGGGGCTGTCAAGAAAGGAGCCGGGAAAACGGCAGTAGCTGGGTTTCTTTGGATGGATGATTGATACTGGAAGTTTACTTGAAGCCTCTTCATGCAGCTGGGCAACAACAGGTTAGATCAACTCCTTGCGGTCTGTCCAAGGGTAACATACTGGTTGTAGTCTTCCTTCACCAACCGTTCCTGCTCAGCATAATCTACTCCAGCTTCCGGAGCCGATTGTGCTTCCTTCTTCAATTCGAGCTGGGCGTTGGACAGCTGCATGGATTCGTAGAGCAGTTCCGTATTGATGTCGAAAAGAATCTTGACCCGCTCTTTGTCCTGCGGGTCTCCACCGGGACTTTGAGGCGTTGACAACCTCGAAGTACCATTTACTTGTTGACCCTGTCCATTAGCGGGAAAGGTTGGCGTTTGAGGCGTCATGGCTGCTGAGCCAGACTGCTGCTGCTGCGGTTGACCTTGGGGTGGCTGCTGCTGCTGCTGTGCTTGGGACGGCTGCTGTTGCTGCTGCTGTTGTTGCTGTGGTGTTGGCGGCTGCTGGGGCTGTTGTAACTGCTGGGATGGTGGCTGTGGAGTTTGAGATTGAACTTGAGCCTGAGGCTGGACTTGGGTTTGGACTTGTTGTTGTTGTTGCTGTGGTGGGAGAGGCTGGGATGGCTGACTCGATTGTTGAGATGGCGGTTGTCCCTGCTGTCCCTGTGGTGGATTCGTGGGCGTCTGACTCCGTGAGTTGCTCTGTATCTGCTGAGGAGTACCATATTGAGTTGGCTGGGAAGCCATTGAAGTAGCCGGTGTGTTTTGCGACGGGTTGAAAGGACGCTGAGGAGTTGAGGTGGGCATCCCGCCTGCATTCGGGCGGTTTGGATGCATACGCTGCATCATAGGTTGCTGTTGTTGCTGTTGCTGTTGCTGTTGCTGAAGACCAGCATTCAGCTGATACTGGTTCATCGGCCCGCCCATCATAAAGTTGGCTGGAAGCTGCGGCTGAGGGGCCGCTGAAGAAGGTATTCCAGCCCCGTACGGCGAGGACGTAAAGGGGGCCTGGTAAGCCACTGTCGCGTTACTGGCGTCAGTCTCCGTGGTGACATGAAGAGTGAATGGTAGGTTGGCAGTGTATGAGTGTGGGAGTGACACGGAATGGGCTTCGGATGTCGAGAGGCGTTGCGGCAACTGCCGAGCCATGGCTCTTAGGTCACCACGCGCGAAGGTCTCTGTCGGGTAGGACAAGGACGACAAGGAAACGGGCAGAGAAGGAAAGTTTGCCAGACTGACGGGTGGCTGGACGTCATACGTAGGAAAGGCATAAAAGGGGGGCTTACTCTGACCATTGGCACCAATGTGCGGCATGGCGGCATTCTGCATCATTCCTGCAGGACCAGCACCTCCCATCATGGCCGGGTTATTGTGACCTCCAGGAAACGGGCCGCCCTGACCTTGTTGTATGGGGAATTGTTGTTGCTGTTGTTGCTGCTGCTGCTGTTGCGCGTTATACATCATCTGCTGTTGCTGCTGCTGTTGTTGTTGTTGCTGCTGTCCCTGGTTTGGTGAAGGCTGCAATTGCGCGCCCTGCGGTGGGGCGCCGTTAAAGCCATACTGAGCTGAGTACATAACTTTCTATCAGGCTGAGGAGACTCGAGCCAAGAAACAGGGCAAGGCGACAGAGGAGACTTCCCGAGGGGGGTACGCCAGGGGAAACGTGAGCGGACTGGGCGGCGGATGGAACGGCGATAGACGTGTCGTGGACCAGATCAGTGGTTGCGGCTGCCGGTGTGGGGTAGGGCCATCAACATGAACTTCCAACTTTTGGTATCTTTCTCCGTTAACGACGGACTTGTGACAGCAAGTACCTGGGTCCCCAGTCCACCGAGATGTGTACGGCTGGGATGTGACGGCAGGTATGTCTCTAACGCAAAGCGCGGAGCCGACCGGGCAGCTCAGTCAGGATGAGATGGTATGTAATAACGAACGCGACCGAGAGCGGATGGGGATTGGGTGGGCAATCCGAGAGCTTCTCTGCGCGTCTGCCGCTGTGCCCCAACAATACCAAGAGGCAGCACCCAAGCAAAGACCAGCTGGCCAGTGGGGAGGCGCGGAATTGCTACGGGTAGACAGGCTATCAAACGTCTGAACCGCCAGACAAAGATGCGATGGACAGGACCGATATGGGATTCCAGGTTGGTCTATGCCCACCTGTGTGTCGCGATCCTTTTTGGGACGAGACTGATAGAGAGATCCCTCCTTAACCCCTGAGAGGTGGCACTGGGGGGGACAAGCAACCCGAGATAGGTAACGAGGGAAACCGGGGGATTGGGCAACTGTAGGGCCGACGCCAGAAAAAGGGGGGGCGCTGCCCGAAGCACAAAGGTTAAAGTAAAAATAAGTTTATGTAGGGCAAATGGCTGCTAGGAATGGCTGTTCTTTGCGTATCGGTCGCGCTGGGTGGCAGGCGGGCGTCCTGTGGGCGACGGGTGTTCGGAGAGGGGGAAACCTGAAAGTTTTGCGTGTTGCGAAATCACGGGACCCGAACCGCACACGGCAAGGGCCCCAAAAGTGTGGGTCCAGCCTTCAGACGACAGCCACGCTAATCCAGATTCGTCTCTTGTGCGACCCTAAATGTGGACACTTTCTGCATCCACCAAGACAGTCATCACCGAGAATGGCCCCACACTCCACCAGGACGGATGTACATAACTTGGACTTGAAGGTCGAGGTTGTGTGATCTGAGCTCGAAAGGCCGCAGATCTGGATGCTAAGAGTACTACTATCTTATGCTTGAGAATAACATATATGGATCATCTGGACGACCCTAATCGCCTCTCGAGTCTTGTCTTCGTAAGCAGGTGAATGCTGACCAAACAAGAGTTAGGTAGTTGATTTTGGCTTCATTTTAAACGTTCAAGTTGCATTACAAGCCAGCGAGGTAGGCATCGTGCCTGAGGGTGCTGGTACCCTGTAGCCTGCTGTTCATCGGTCTTGGTGGGTATATAGTGCCCTCTCACACCTCTCTCCTCATTGAATTGATCGTTTACAATTGTCATGTTTGATGAACCATTCTCTCCTGATGAGGATCATTGGATATACAAGTATGCATTTGGTGCTCCTCTGCGTTTTGTCCTTTCGTCCTTTATTTCCTTCCATACCGGGTCCCGTACTTGGACTTTCCTGAAACAACATCAAGGAAGTGATCCGCAATGATTTCATCTATACAACAGAATTAGCACATGTATGACCCTCAAATGGTAGGGGCTCAGCTCACCTGTCTTGGTCGAAGGATGCAATTCATCGTACCACAAGAAACCAGACAGGCCACCGAGAGCTGTCTGGTCGACACAGTCACCCCCAGTCGACGAGCAATGGCGGTAATAGCCCGTTACGTTGTAGGGAGCGTCCAAGAAGCTCTGTGGTTGGTTGTAAATGTCGACCAACAAGCTGTGAACATCGAAGAGGTCAAAAGTTGCCTTTGGCCAACGCGACTTGATGGCCACTTGAAATGGGACGCCGTAGTCAAAGATAGTGTTGACGTTTGTAGTGTATTGCTTGATCTTTTGGCCGTACTGTGTGACGTTGTAGTTCGTCTTGGTGTTCCAGAACTGGCTGTCTCCAGTCCCACCATTGTCCGGGTGTGCGTACAGCGGCGAGAGCTCAAGAGGGGCTTCATTCAGCAGAACGAACCGTCGGCCTCCCGTCTTGTAGATGGTATCAAAGACGGACCAGATGCAGTCCACGAAGTCGGAAATCGTGGTCCCGGGAGCTTGGGAGTCAGAAAGGAAGGCATCGAAACCGAGGTCGTTGGTTCCGATCCACAGGGCATACACCGTATTCTCGGGTGTCCGGTTAGGGAAGATGGACTTGAACTTGACATCTGCTGTGAAAGATGGGATCTCATCTTCTAGCACTGAAGGGAATGACCGGCCGATGAAAGCAAAATCACGCTCGACGATCTTGTTGGAACATGTCGCGCCGCTGACAGCATAGTCGATGAGCCTGGCACCAGCATCCTGGGCCGCAAACTGAGCCCATGTGAGACCACCGCTAGCCGTCGTGTTTGACACCGAGTGATACTGGCCCGGGGGAGGTGCTTGCCCGCCATTGTTGATGTAGTAGCCTAGACGGCCGTTGTCGGTATAACTGTCGCCAAAGGCGACCAGATTATCGAAGGACTTGCGGCCACGGCTGGCGGCCGCAATAGAGACAGAGGCGCCGGCGAGAATGATAGAAAACCGCATGGCTAGCCGTGGGATGACGTGTGCGCGAGAAGACAAAACAGTAACGCCAATAGAAACATCGACAACGGGGCCATGACAAGCATTTTATGTGCCCAGCAACCCTTCGCTGGGCAATCTATCGTCCCATTCACCCGGTACAGGGAATACTATTCCGCTGCAGGCTATATTGCTGTCCCACCTACGCGAGGAGACGGGGGTGACATCGGCTCGGGATGGGAGGTCCGGGAATGGCGGCCGGGCGACTAGTCCGGACCACCCGCATCGTGATGAGCAAGGGAAACGAGGATTCAACACCATTTCTCAGAAGTTCAAAGCGACAAGACCCGAGAATTTGTCAGCTAGCCTATGGGAATGCTGAGTCGGCACGGTGTTGGCCTGGTAACATGACACAACTTGCAAGTTGTGACGGGTGAGCTCAGTCTTGGGACTCGATTGAACTGAGGTGGGCGCACAGCAGGAGGGCGAAAAATGTGAAGTGAATTTTTGTTGGCGCTAGCATCTGAAGCAGTTCTAACAAAGCATAGAAGGCTGGGGTGATGCGTAGAGAATGGGTATGCTGATGGGAAGGCTCTGGGCGGGGGACAAGATCCCCGACTGCTGCTCATCATGAATTGGCCAATCATTGTCAAGGATTGCACCGGCTGAATGCTAACAACCGAAGACCTGATCAAATATTCATGTGTCGTCTGGCACTGTTATGGAGAGGAAAATCTGACAACTGGATCGGCAGACTTGCAAGAGTTGTAATCCATTTAATAATGTTTGATTGCAGTAATTCACTTGTTCTCGCTTTCTGGTATTTGGATGTGAGCGAGACTCATAATTGTGTGAGGGTTGGGGCTAGGGTTAGTTAGGGTGGGAAGAATCAAGGCTGGTGAAGCGATCATCAAATTGTTGTTGGAAATGTGACGAAATCAATGATGATCAGGAGATCGATTTATTTCACTCTGGCTCCTATTTCTGTTCCAAAACAGTTGCGTCGTCGTCAGCTTCAAAAATCACCTCTGTTGGGATGGTTTGTTTGGAGGGCCCGCCTTCCGGAACCGGGGCTGCAAGATATTTCGCCCTGACTCCTTGCCGTTAATGACTCCTCAACCTCACTTGAGCGCAACTCACTCGGAACGCACTATATAAGGACATTTGAAGATCAAAACTGTATTTACCTCATCATATTTGGTGATCAACACTCAAAATGTCGCCCTTCAACTTGGAAACTTGCGCTAGACCAAACATTTTGGCCCTCGAACCTTATCGCTGCGCACGAGAGTGAGATTCACCCCTTGGACTCATGAGCGCACTATCACTGACACCCAAAACAACAGCGACTACAAAGATGACGGCACCAACGTCCTTCTCGATGCCAACGAGAACGCCTATGGCCCCCCTCTCCCTCCGTCCATCACAGGCCTTATTCAGCCCCAATCCGGCCTCGGTCCTGTAATCGACCTCCCCGGCCTCAACCGCTACCCAGACCCTCACCAAGTCCCCCTCAAGCAGCTCCTCTGCAACCTCCGCCAAACCCACGTCCACACCCAAAAGAAGCTCTCGCCAGCCAACCTCTTCGTCGGCGTCGGCTCTGATGAAGCCATCGACGCCCTCATCCGCGCCTTCTGCCGCCCAGGTCAGGACAAGATTCTTGTCTGCCCGCCAACCTACGGGATGTACTCCGTCTCGGCCCAAGTAAACGACGTCTCCCTCGTCAAAATCCCCCTCCTCCCGGGTCCCGACTTCCAACTCGACGTCCCCTCCATCCTCTCCGCCCTCTCCTCCCCCGATGCAAGCACCATCAAGCTAGCCTACTTCTGCTCCCCGGGTAACCCAACCGGCTCCCTCCTCTCCAAATCCTCCATCGGGTCGATCCTCGCCCACCCAACCTGGAACGGCGTCGTGGTCGTCGACGAGGCCTACATCGACTTCGCGCCCGACTCGGCCTCCCTCGCCGAATGGGTCGTCGAGTTCCCCAACCTCGTCGTGATGCAGACCCTCTCCAAGGCGTTCGGGCTGGCGGGTATCCGTCTCGGTGCTGCCTTCACCTCCCCTGAAATTGCCAGGCTTCTCAACGCGCTCAAGGCTCCCTACAACGTCAACAACATCACCTCCGCGATCGCAGAGTACGCCCTCTCCCCCGCCGGCCTGGAGGTCATGAGGGCGAACAAGGCTGCTCTGCTGGAGCAGAGGGACAGGTTGCTGAGGGAGATGCCCACGATCCCCGGGGTGGGCAAGCTCATGGGCGGGACCAAGAGCAACTTTTTGCTGTACGAGATGCTCAACAAGGACGGGCAGCCGGACAATGCTGTTGCGCTGGCTGTGTACGAGGGTCTGGCGGAGACCAAGGGCGTGGTTGTCAGATTCAGGGGCAAGGAGCACGGGTGCTTGGGCTGCCTGAGGATCACGGTTGGCACCGAGGACGAGGTGACGAGGTTCTTGGAAGCCATCAAGAAGCAGCTTGAGCAGGTCCGGGGGGTGGATGCGCGAAGCGATGAAGAGGAGAAGGAGAAGGCTGCCAGTGCCGTTGTCGCGTAGGGTTGGACTACTTGAATGTTCCAAACTCGGATTGAACGTCACTGGAAAAAAACACACAAAATGAATCACCAGAGACCATCTAGTTTTATGTATCTGCATGTCTGTATGCTTTTCCCCTGCCTAATGCAACAGATTCCAAGATTTCCTCCAGGCCACATGTTTAATGTGGCCTGCAATGCTCAAAAGGTGAAATGTAAATACAACCAAGAAAGTAAGACACGCCATCACCCAACCACCCCAAAAGTCTACCACCACCCCTTCACGGGAACAGTCCTCCTTCTCAACGCACCCGAGGTTTGCGTCCCGGCCTTGGTCTGGGAGCCCGCCGCTGAGTCCGATTCAGATGTCGGTGTTGGTGCTGGACCTGAAGCCGTCTCAGAGTCACCCTTTACGGCATTCTGATCAGCAAACGCCCTCACAGTCTTGATTTCGCCCCCCTTCAACGGTGCTTCCGCGTCCAAAGCCAACAAGCCCTGAATCGTCTCCAGCGCGGACATCTCCTGGCCCAAGCCCGGGTTTCCATCAAAGGCACCGGTATACCACTTGTGGCTGCACTGGGTCCCGCTCGCACCGCCTGTGCAAGTCTTCGCAGCCGCCTCGACCGAAGTATGCCACAACTCTTCGATCGCCGGCTTGATACTCGGAACATACCTCGCGGCCGCATAGACAAATCTCGAAAAGTACGCCTTGAAGCTCCTCATGTCCTGGTTGCACTTGTCCACCTGCTCGCACGCGTGCTCGTACATGATGTTGGTGGCGTTCTCAAACGGGCTGAAAAAGCTCCTGCTCGCCTCCACCATCCTCTCCGTCCTCTCGGTCCACTTCTTGTCCTGGGTGACGTCGGCCATGACGGCAGCTCCGTAAATGTAGATGCTGGCAGAGTAAGAGAACGTGACCGGGTTGGTGTCCTTGCAGTCCTTGCTCGCATGGGCGCCGTCGTAGACGTTTCCAAACTTGTCAATCATGCCGATGGCTTCCGTCCAGTCCCAAACCTTTTCCGCCCAGTCACTGTACGTCTTGTTCCCGGTGGCGCGGGCCAGTCTGGCCGCAATCTGGAAGAAGCCGCCGTTGCTGACGGTGTTTTTGTAGTCGAGTCCGTTCGGGTTTGAGGCAAAGATCTGCCACAAAAGCCCACCCTGGCAAGCAGTGGTATTCCACCTGCCAGCCAGCGAGTCGAAAATGTTGGCACCCATATCCAACCACCCGGGAACATTCGGGTCTGGCTGGGGAAAGTTCCTCTCCGCGGCGGCCATGACAGACATTCCCCAGAATGCTTGATCGTCATTACCTTCTTGGCCGAAGTGAGTGGGGAGCATGTAGTCAAAGTCGGGGCCAACCTGATCCAAGAGTCCCCTTGCGATCAGCTTGTCGTAACTGTGGTCGCCCGTATAGTGAGAGTAGTCGAGCATGCTGCCCATCAGGGCACCGGCTTGCCACCAGTAGTAAGGCTGAGGAAGGTCAACAAATTTCTCAGGGGTGCCCGAGTAGTAAGACATGGCGTTGGCGGCGACGGTTTTGGCAACGCCCTTGATGGAGACTTTCGAGAAGTTAGCACTCCCGTCAGGGCAACGATCATGCAATACGTACGTGAATCAGAGATGTTGAGCTCTTTCGGCGCAACGGCAGATATGATCACTGCCGGGACCGCTACGGGTCTCACATACTTGACAAACCTCATGGTGAGTTTGTTGCTGGAGCCTTGTGGTGTTCTTTGAGTAGTTGCGTCTGTCCGAGGACCAGCGGATGATATCGAAAGGAAAGTGGCCGCACAGCAGATAAAAGCAAAAACCGAAGGCGAGCAAACTCGGCGAAAAGGTAACGTCTTGTTGCTATCGTCTGTGTTGAGAGTGGCGCGGTTGACGATTCAGCAAAGCACCGTGACAGCGGCAACAGCAAAGTACTCTCGAACGATTCTGTGTGTTTCCCCGGATGACCGAAATTCGTGGACTATTGTACGAAAGTGGTACAATAGAAAGTGAACAGAAAATGAATGGAGCAATAGCCTCGCGTTGCGGGCAATTGAAGTGAAAAGAACAATACCAAACGAAGGTTGGTGATCAACACCCACACACACTCGGTCGTCAGCAAGCTGTAGACAATATGAAAGGACAAGCTTGGGCTTGGAGAACAGGTGAAAAGGTCCAAACGGCCGGGACCTGTCAACTTTTAAAAAGAAGATCGGATGCAACAAACCATCTCACCGTTCAAGGTTGCATCCCTGCTGCAAGAAGAAGGAGTGACCCATCACCACGGCCGATCTCCTTCTTGCGGCGCCGAGCACGGCTTTGGGGGAGGTGTTGTCGTCTCCTGCGAGCCAATAGGGCATCTTGAACCCTGTCTCCCTGTCAATGGCAACCCCCACTGCGGGTAAGCCTTGCACCCCCTAGAATTATTTTAGCATGTTTCGTTTGCTTCGTGCACCGACTGGTGATTCCAAGACTGTGCACATGGAAGCTTGACCAGGTGCCGAGGTTTTGAAGGGTCCAGTATGTCTTTCAGAAGCGCGCGCGTTTGTGCGCTTGCTAGGCGAGAGGGCGGCAAGACCCAGGCACAGAGAAGGCTTGTCTAGGTGATTTCAAATATCAGTTTACGAGAGGGGTTTGCCTGTGGGTAAGTTATGCAAAGGGCACAGCAGAAAATGCTGCCTTCGAGAACCTTGATGCCCAGGGCACCTCAGCTGTGTTTGTGTGTTCCATTAACAATTATGTGGCAAGTGAAAGTTTGGCACTATCACCTAAAGGTGTACCAGTGTTACGGGCGTCCCCTTTCACCCTCTCATTGTCAGGAAAGTAGCTGATGGTCGGGAAACACAGGTGAATTGTCTGCCATGGTGGTGTTGAAGATGTTGAACCTGAAGTCGGAGCATTTTGATGCCAAGCTTACGATGCTCCTGCGGGGCAGCGGGTGATCAGGGGCTTTCAGTTGGACAGGCCGTTGATTGGCTGCCAGCTAACGCCACGTTTCTTAGGCTGGCGTTTCTCCAAATTCTGAAACACCACCTCCAGTGAAATCCGAACGGCTGGCCAACAGATCAGCGGCGCACGCTGTGGACAAAATAACTGACACTCCAAAAGTCCTGAACCATACCTCGAAAGTTAAAAGCTATCAGTGTTGATAGTATATTACACGTGCAACCAACTTGCAGTTCCAACCACCCTGTCCACGACGTGCCGCGCGACTGGGCGAGTCCTCTCTGAAGCTGACAGGTGCTGCCAAGTGGGTCATTCTCGCCTTGCATCTCCAGCTGAAGAGAGGTTGTTGAGATGGCTCAGGGTAAATAGAAAGACAGCTCTGTATCGAAGTAGGCGCATAAAAACCCGGAATATTTCCCGTCCCTATATGTTTCTGTACAACCTCGGAACTACATGCGACTCGAAAAAAGGGGTATCCGTACTTCTTTGAACCAAAAGTGAAATCGGGAAACAAAAACACCGTGCCGTGTATCTCCACCGGCCCCGATCCATAACCGGAGCACATAAAACCATCAAACGCCGTTTCCGCGCCCCTTTACATGAATGTCAGAACAAACAAAATAACAGCCCCAGATGAGACGCCCGACAACCAGCTAGCTCTCACCGGGTCCAGGCTAAAACCGGCGCCCTTGACAGGCGAGTTCGTCAACGATGCTGCTGGTGTCCCGTCAATGTCAATCGTGTTGGGTAACGGACCCGGTGTTGTCAAAGTCAACGCGCCCCATGTTACCTCGGGCGTTGTGAAAGTCTCCGTCCACACAGTCTGCGTCGGCCCCGTGATGGTGCCCTCCCAATGGTTGGCCCCGAAGGATGACGATCCTGTGCAGGTTGCGGCCGTTGTGCCGTCCAAGTTGCATTCAAGTTCGGCCGTTCTGTCACTCAGTTAGCCACTTTGATCTTTCGGATTCAGAAAACCATGGCTCGCAAACGGACAGTGTCCCAGGGGCCACGCCACCGTATTTCAAAGTCCCTGGCCCTTCCGTGAAGACAAAGGGAAGGTCGCCAGCAATCTGACAACTTGGCGCCTTCTCAGCACAAAAGACCGTGTAGGTTGTTGCGGATTGGTCCTGAACAGTCGATTAATCAAAATGCTCCATCTCAACCTGGATTTCTCAATCAAAATACGTACACTGCCAATGATGCTGCCGCGAAGAGCAGCCCAGTGAGCCTCCCCGTAGCCGGGTATGTAAACCGATACGGTGGATTGGCCGTGTGCACCAGTGATTGCTCGCGCTATCACAACCGTGGTGCAGATCCAGCAAGAGACTCGTCCTCCCCGGCGCCGTTCCTCTCGCCGAAATCTCATGATGTTTTGGAGGTGTGGCAGAGCGGTTACGCTTTCGATTTGGCAGCCATCGCAGCAACAGGGATATTCACAGAGAGAAATGGATTTTTTGGAAGGAAGAGAAGAGATGGGATTGTCACAACTCGATCTAGAACGGCAGGACAGTCATGCCCAGACCTGCGCTGTTTTGTCCGGACGATGGGAATTGCGTTCTTGGCGTTGGCGGCGCTCTTGGCGAGGGGGGGCTTCGCCAAGACATGCCTCTGAGTTTTTCGTGTCGTCCAGATATAGTCGCCAAGCCGCACATCACGATGCTGCTCTTCGGGCGGTGACTTGCTTCTGTTTAAGACGAGCGCATCTGCATTGAAGTCGTGTATCTGTCGTGAACACCACAGGGTTCTGCAAAATCCATGGCTTGCTGTAAGTGCGCGAACAGGTGGGTTCCAATGGGCGTTTGGCAGGGGTTACGACAACAGTCGGCTTCAGGCTACGGTAGCTCCGACACCGATCTGAATCCTAACAACATCAAACGATCACCCGATCATTTTTCCCATGTACCTTTTGGTTCTGGCACTTGTCGATCTGATATACCTCAGGGCAAAGCTGTAAACAAGGGTTGATTTTCTTGCCGTCGATCATCACCGCCAAAGCAACTTTGCTGCTGTTTAAAACACGGGATGCGCTGTCAATCAGTTCCCGTACCACATCCAGAGGCGGGATCGCTTGCTTTTTGCTTTGCTACCTCCTTCTCTTCTGGGACTCCCAACCGCAATTTCTGTAGACCAGATTTGTGGCTCGTCGTCACCAGCCATGTTTGAGGGTAGGCATGAAGTCATACAGGGATCATGTGTTGCTGACTGATGGCTTTCCCATTGAGCGGTTTGCCCGAAATCCGAACGATTTAGTACAAGTAATTTCAGCTTCAGGGAGGGACGCGTTTGGCAGGAATGATACCGAATACGGAGCAAGCTGTCTAAAAGATGTGGATATACGGTCTTAGTATCGTATTTCTATAGTCCTTCTTCCATCTTTGGTTTTTACGCGTCTTCTTGCTTTGTTTCGCCTGCATCTACTGAATTGAAGTCGTCACCATGGTTCGCGTTACTACTGCCTTGCTGGCCTCCGCCGGTCTCAGCACCATGGCCTCGGCTCAGGATGTCGGAGCGGCTACCACCTCAGTCACCTCTCTCTTCCTTCCCGGCTTCGACACGCAGACCATCTGGGCTTCTGTCATCACTGCCCAGCCCGCGGCGGCAACCTACTCACTCGCATGCCCTCCCGATGCCGATTCCAACGACTGTGGCCTTGGCACAGGCTTGACTATTGTCCAGGGGGAAAGCACCTTCTCTATTGACATGCGCGGAGAGTCTGTGTAAGTTCTGTTATGACCCTTCACCCCCTATACCGAACCTTTGCTTACATCGACTAGCACACAACAATACGGTTGCAATCTCGTGGGCAAAGAAGCCAAGTGCTCTGGCTCCATCATCAGCCCTGGCGGGACTGCTCTGTTCCAGCACGTTGCAGGTGACTACCAGAAGGAAATCCAAGCCGTAACAATCACGGCCGGCTTGGAGAAGTTGGATGTTGAGGCTGCCACTACCAGTGCCTCCGGCACTGGCGCTGTTGAGACAGGCACACAGACCACAACCCAGACAGAGGACGCTGCCGGCTCTACGAGCAGCAGCACAGCTGGTGTCCCCCAGATTACCCAGAATGCCATCATGATGGGTGCTGCTCTTGTCGGTGCCGGCGCGATGCTTCTCTAGGGGACTTGCCATGGAAACACAGATCTGTTCGCTGAGACGTTTGCGATGTCTCTGGTTGTGTAAGAACGAGGATGCATGTAAACATGACCGTCAATAATTAGAATGGCCACCCCGGCCTGCTATGCTATGCTCAAGGACGAAACCAACCGCACATGCTCAAGGATGAGAACAACCCCCTATGCTCAGCACCACCTACTGTCCAATCTGATAGGACATTCCATGGTAGACCCCTTTAACGGCAAACGACGACCTCAGCCTCTCTAAAACAACCGGTCCTCCCTCCCGTCCTGCCAACTAGTACAGTTGATACACCTTGCAGCCTGTTTTGTGAACCCCCGTTAGCCAACAACCTAACAACCTCCCCCCCCCCCCCCAAAAAAAAAAAAAAAAAAAAAAAAAAAAAAAAAGAGCTCAAGAGTAGACTCACCTTCTCATTAATATTCTTCCGACAATACCTGCACTTAACAGTACGTTTGATGATCGGATCCTTCGAAAAAAACTGATATGTCGCCGCCATCCCATACAAGCTCATCCCCACACCAATAAAATTAATCAACCTGTTCAAGAAAAAGCCATAAGCCATCACCACCGCCCCGTCCGCCTGCGCCTGCTTCAAAGTATTATACCCCCCCTCCCCCTTATAATTCGACCCCCCTTTCAACACGGCAAATTTCTCCTCCAGGTTCTTGTTCAGCGGCAACAACACCGAAATTGGCGGCAGCAAAATATCCGTCACGAGCGAGGTCACAAGGGCGGTGAACATGGACGCGATGATCAGACCGAACGCGATCTCGAGCACGTTTCCCTGGAAGGCAAAGTCGATGAAGCCGTGCAGGAAGCGATGGGCTTTGGCCCGCCCACGATCCAAGAGGTCATCGTCCTCGTCTCCGTCGTACGAGGCGCTGCGGCCTGGCGGGGGGGAATCGGTGTACGTTCCTTCTGTGGTGAGGCGGGGCATCGTGGATCTTTGGACCGTATATATATGTATATGCCGAGAAATGCAGGTTTTGGGAAAAATGAGGACTGTTGTTGAAAGTATCGTGAAGTGAGACAAGACGTTGGGTGTGAAACCCAAACGGGGGCCGCTCCTTCGACGTCACTGTTTCCTGATTGGGGCCACATAAGGGAGGTGCGGGGAGCAGAATCTTGGCAACTTCTGCCCCTCAAGATTGATGTTGATACGCTTTGCTTGACGATACACTACCACACACTTCATGACTGCGATCATGCGTTCAACCAAATGCCATGTTGCTATTACACATACACACCACAGTAGACCGACAATTTGCCACAAATAACAAGAGAAAGCTGCCACCCCGAAACGTCCCACATTTCCCAGCTTCACATAACTTGTGCTTAACCCGGTGCAACTCTGACTCCCATATAAACTGTGAACCATGTGATCCCCATTATGAACAAGAAAGCTAGGAACTCGAGCATTTCTCCCCGCTATCCTCAAATCTAATCGCTCATGTCGAAATCATCGCTTTCGTCATCCCCACCACCGCCACCTATCGAGTCATCCTCATCGCTGTCAATCACAATCGGCTTCTTCTTCACGGCTGCGGCACGACCAGGCCTGGCCTTGGGCCTGGCTGCGGGAGGACTATCTGGGGCATCTTCCATAGCCTCATCGCCCTCATCGTCGCTCAAGCCTTTTTGAGCTTTGGCCTTCTTAGCAGCATACGCCTTCGCAGCTGGTGAGAGATGTGGTGCCTTGGGCTTAGCAGCGGCTGTTTTGGCGGTCTTGGTAACAGCGGCCTTGGCCTTGGGAGCAGTTGCCTCATCCTTGTCCTTAGTGCTCTTGCTGCCGGCAGGACGTCCACGCTTCTTGGCCGGTGCTGGAACGACACTGAGAGGGGCCTTTGCCTTGGATGCTGCCTTGGGAGCAGGTTTGGCAGCGGGAACGTCGTCGTCTGATAGGAAATCATCCAAGTTATCCTCCTTGGTCTTCAGGGGGGATGACCTGGCGAGCGCCTCGTAATTGGTGTCGTCGTGGTCGTCCAAGTCGAGACTGGGCTTGGATGGCTTGGACTTCATCTTGGGGAGAACTGAAGTATCCCCACCTCCAGAATGGGACATGGCAAACAGACTAAGCCTGCCACCGCTGCTGCTCGAAGCTGGAGCTCCTATGCCCTTGACCATAGCACCGACATCACCGAGCTTCAAGCTGTCGTCACTATCCGAATCATCGCTGAGCTTATACATCGGCTTGGCCTTGGCTGCGGCTGCACGCTTGGCTGGTGGTTTCGCCTCAAAGTCGTCTTCAGAGTCATCATCACTGAGCTTGTAGGATGGCTTTGCTTTGGCCGCGGCCGCGCGCTTGACGGGCGGCTTCTCCTCCACTTCCTCGTCCGATTCGTTGTCGCTGAGCTTGTATGACGGCTTCGCCTTGGCTGCTGCTGCTGCCACGCGCTTGACGGGCGGCTTCTCGGCCACGGCCTCCTCGGGTTCTGAAGCCATATCCACATCTTCATCTACTGAAGGTTTACCCAAATCCATAAAGTCCTCGTCCGAGTCATCCGATACCACATACTTGGACTTCGCAGCAGCCGCGCGCTTGGTACGACCGTTGGTTGCTGTGGGAGCCTCCGACTCTTCCTTCACTTTAGTGTTGATGGGCATTGCCTTCTTACCCAAGAGGGCAAAATCGTCATCAGATATCCCACCGCCCGCTTCAACATCTGGCAAGGTTTTGTCAGCGACAGGCTTCGGCTTGGACTTTGCCTGAAACGCCTCGGCAAACCGCTGCTGGGTTTTCTCCGTCTTGATAGGCACAGGAGCAGCCTTGACGGCCTTGGCCCTAGATTTCTTCTCTGGCTCATAGGCGTCATCATCCTTCCGACGGCGGCCTCCTCCCTTCCCTACACCGAGCTTGTCCGACTTGCGGCGACCCATTCTGCGAATGCCGGTGGCGATCTCATCGTCCAGCTTCAGCTGCGTTTCCCACTCCTCTTGGAAAGCATCCAAATCCTTGACCCAAAGGTCCTTCTCGCTCAGAGCCTGCAGTTCATCATGCTCCGCCTTCTTGGCCGCAATCTGGTTTTTGAGTCTCTCAAGACGCTCGCTGGTGAAAGACCAGACAGGCATCGAAAGCAGGTAGTCGTAGTCACGAGCGCCTCCAGCGGTGTCGTCATCTTCGGCCTCTTCAGCAGCCATTTCCTCGTCAGGCGACTTGACCTTCTTATCCTCCTTGGGAGGGAATGCCTCATAGTCGCGGTCACGAAGCTCCTGCACCAAGACAGCCTTCTTCTTTCGGTTGACCACCATCTTGTTGTCGATGATTTCCGTGATGAAACGGTACTGGTTCTTGAGCTTCCGGTAATCGGCGTGGTACACCTTGAGCCAATGCTTCTTGCGCTCTGTGTACATCTTCAGGCGGTAGTGGTAGTATTCCTCCATGATCTCCTCCACATTGTCGTATTTTCTGATCTTGCCCTGAGTGTCAAAGGCCACCAAGTTGGTTGTGGAGACGGTAGTGGTAAGCTTGAACTTCTCCAACAGACCCTCCCTGAGGGCTGCCTCTCGGTGCTTCTCGTCCATGTCAATGATGAAATGGACCGTCTTGTGGTCGTTGAACTCCTTGTAATCCTTGATGAAGGTCGGTGTCTTGTCGTTCTGGATGATGTCCTCAAGCTTAGCCTTGAAGTCATCAGTCCACATGCGGATTGGCAATTCAGTAACGTGGATCTCGTTTGGGTTCTGCTCATCTTGCCTGATAATACCGTTGAAACGCCACTTGTTGGGCGCTTCCTGCTCCGGAGTTCCTTTCCAACCACGCCACCATGGTGCCATGGGGACGAAGGGCTTCTCCTCGGTATCGTCAGGGTCAAACCTTCCCATCCGGCGCCTCAGATTCTCCACTATGTGCATGGGGTGGTAGTTGGGAATCGAAGTACTCCAGCCGGTACCAATACCGTCGGCACCATTGACCAAGACCATTGGTAGGATCGGAGCATACACCTTGGGCTCGATCATGTTGCCGTCGTCGAACTGGTACTCGAGATTGGGCTCGTCAAGCTTGGAGAAGACCTTGCGCGCAAACGGGGACAGTCTCGTGTGAATGTAACGAGCGCTGGCAGAATCTTTTCCACCAGAGAGTCGGGAACCAAAGTTGCCGCTAGGTTCTAGGCAGTTGACGTTGTTCGAGCCGACAAAGGTCTGAGCTAGACCAATGATTGTCTGCTGCAGAGATTGTTCACCGTGATGGTAGGCGGCTTGCTCGGAAATATAACCGGCAAGTTCCACAACCTTCTGGTCGTTGACAAGATTGCGCTTGAAGGCAGAGTAAATGACCTTGCGCTGACCAGGCTTGAAGCCGTCGATCATGGACGGGATCGATCGGATGTTGTCAGCCATACTGAACAGAATGAATTCGTTCTGGAGGAACTGGGAGTAACTGATTCTCTGAGCCGTAGAGTCGAGGAAGGTTCCCGGAACAAAGTTGCCCAACCATTCTTTGCGAGCATCGGCCTTCTTTTTGCTGAAGATCATGTCAAGCATCTGAGACTCCTCTGGCTTGAGTGTCTCGAATTCTTTGAGATGGCGATCCAGATCAGTGAAGTAGACTTGGGCGTCTTCGTTCGAAGAACTACCCAACCCCTTCAAGTACTTGTACTTCCACTTCCGGAGTTCATTCTTGTTGTTCTCTTTCCACGTCTCATACTCGACGAGGTTGAAGAACGACTTGGGACGCAGAGGCTTCTTTGGGTTTGTGCCTTGCCACACCTTGACGACAGGGGTGATGAACTGCTGGAAGAAGTTGGGGATGCGCAGCAGCGAAGGAAACTGAACCTCAAGGAAGTTGATGAGCAAGCCCTTGATATGACTGCCGTCCAAATCCTGATCGGCCATGATCATCAAATGGCCGTATCGGAGACCCCTGGTATCGGTGTACACTTGCTTGTGCTTCAGACCCAGGAACTTTTTGATGTTTTCGATTTCCTTATTCTTCATGATCTGCTCGGTCGATGCGTCACGCACGTTCAGCATCTTTCCACGAAGAGGGAACACGCCGATGCGATCCGGATCCAGGACAGCGCGACCAGCAACGGCCAATGCTCTGGCAGAGTCACCTTCCGTCAAGATCAGGGTACACTCGTGGCCACGCTTGGTGCCCGCCAAGTTGGCGTCGACAAGCTTCTCGTTGCTCACACGAGCACGCTTGTTGCCGTCCGATTTTGCCAGCATCTTATCCGCTTTCCTTTCAGCAAACTCCATGATGTTGGCGATGACTTCAGACTTTTGGACCTTTTTGAGAAAGGCATCACTCAGGATACACTTGCTACCAAAGGCACTAACTTTGGTCGTCAGTTGCTCCTTGGTCTGGGAGGTGAAGGCAGGGTTGTCGACCAAACAGTTGATGAAGATGAAGATGTAGTTGCGGAAGTTGGCCGGCTTGAGACCATGGCCCTTCTTCTTCTTGTTGAGCTCCTTCAGAAGGGCTTCGGTGATTTGATCGGCAATGTAGTTGACGTGTGTACCACCCGACGTTGTGGCGATATTGTTGACGAAGGACACTTGTTGGAACGAACCATCTGACACAGTGAACCCCACCTGCCACGTTCTGCCCTTGTCCCTGACCTCCTCATACTCTACATTCGCAGCAGTAGGTTTCTCGCCTTCGGGAACAACGTCACCCCGCTCGGCAGCGATTGATTTGGCGTATAGCTGGCAATAGCCCTTGAACTTGGCGATCTTGAGTTGCTCCCCGTTCAGCCAGACTTTGACGCTGGCCATGGTGCCTGCCATGTCGTACACACGGCGGTACATGAGGGCTTCCAAGTCGTCATCAATGCCGTTCTCCATGCCAAATCTCTTGTAGTCCGGAAGGAAGGTCACTCTGACGAAGTCGTTGGTCTTGTTGGCTGTGATTTTGGGCTTTTCCATCTTGGACATGTTGTCGGTCCAGGTCTGCTTGTATCGCTTGCCGTTGACGCTATCCTGGCACTCCAGAGTGAACTTCAAACTGAAGATATTGGTAAGCTTCGCACCGTAACCGTTGCGACCACCGACCGTCTTCTTCTCATCATCGTCGTAGTTCGAACCGGTGAGAAGGTGACCAAAGATAAGCTCGGGGATATAGCAGCCCTCCTTCTGATGCATCTCAACCGGGATTCCCTTGCCGTTGTTCTCGACTGAAATCTCACCCGTCTCGCTATCGATGGTCACCTTGAGAAAGGTCATGGAGGCATCGCGCTGGCTGTTGTCCGCGGCGTTGACAAGGATTTCGTCAAAGATCTTGTAGAGACCAGGAACAAAGGATACAACACGATTCTCCATCAACTTTTCCGTCTTGTTGAAAACCCACATCTTTTGGTCGGTGCGTTCAACGGACCCGATATAGGTATCGGGGCGCTTGATGATGTGCTCGAGCTGCGTGAGCTTCTGGTATGTTTCGGTGGCGGATTTGGAGGACTTGGAGGCAGCTGCCAGGGCTGGCTCATCGTCGATCAGCATGCTGTCGTTCTCGATCTCAGCCAGTGGCTTGCCACTGGACTTCTTCGCCGGTGCCTTCTTCTGCTTCTTAGCCATCGGAGGAGTGCTGGAGAGAGGCCTATCGTCATCGCTATCATCGCTATCCGGCTTCGTTCTCTTCTTGGGCGCCGCCTTCGCCTTGCCGACCGTGAGCTTGGTTTGGACCATCTTGGCAGCTTTCGCGGCAGGCGCTTTCTTCGGCGCAGCCTTAGCTTTTGTTTTCTGTAGCAGATGTTGTTAGCTTTGCTGTTGCTTGCGCTTGTATTGGTAGAATAGCTCAGTATTCAGAGTTGCTGCTTCAACTGAGCGATCCTCTGCTGCCGCCGAGTTACCGCTGGGTAACCAGACTAGATGCAGTCTGCAAAACCAGTTCAAAGACGAAGGGAAGGGCACCAGGAAACATACGTACCACTTCTGGTGAGTATCCGTCAGACTCGCTCTGGGCAGTGTCAAAGACGGACTCCACGTCTGAATCCATGTTGGCGATGACCTGGGAGGCGCGTTCCTCAAGTCGCGCGTCGCAAAGTCTTTAGCGCAACGTGAAAAGGGGCGGCAGAGGGAGAGCAAAGGCTTTGTTCTTTGGTACATGCAAAATTCGAAGGTGGAAAAGGGTCGAAATAAGACGAAGTCTCGACACCACACGACGCAACAATGGCGAAAAAAAGAGATTCCGCGAGAGGCCTCGATCAAATCGCCCAGCGTTTGTCGTCGAGTCGAAGGGAGTAGGCAAAATGAGAAGGAATGGAGGGGTCGCGTCACAAGACAGAGTTAAGAGGGATTGTTGTGGCGAGTGTAGCCGGCCGCAGGTAAACAAAGTCGTCGTTGTGCGTGGTCTCAGTGGTGGGTGTACTGCGAGCCTGCTGTGCGTTGTGTTCAATATTTCGTAGGGCGAGTTTTCCTCGACTAGGGTCTTCAATGCCGTGTCCAGGCACCATACGCGAACGAGACGCGACTTCCTGCTGAAAGTGGGGTCGGGGCTTGTGGTGCCTCAGGCCTGGCAAAACAAGAATCAGTAGCCCCACTTCTGCCAAGTTTTAGGAGCACCCAAGTGTCTGGCAGGTGGTAGATGACAAGAGGCAACGGAGCCTTCCATCTAGTGACTAGCCAATCATTTTACACAATTCCTTTCACCCATCTAGGCACAAACCACGGGCAACCGAAGAACGAACGACATTCCATTTTTCAGTTCGACACTTCCTGGCATGATTCATCTTCCCGAGCTGGCCCTAGTGACCCAAAGGGCCTCAATGGAAGGAACTGCCAGAAGGCCCCAAAAGATGGATAGCCAGATGACCCTACCGTGGAGGCACCAACGAAAATTTGTGACTTCAGCGTCGACACATGATGCAGATGAATTTCCAGGTTCCCACCCACCTCACCTCAGTGGTCCCAGCTTCCGAGTTGTTTGCTCAGATTTGCAGTTCTTTGGCGAAATCCGGAATCGTACACGTCTCTTTTCTCCGCCTGATTCACTGCCAGTTCCTTGCTCGTCCACACAGACTGGTCCGACTGGTCCGACTTCCAGCTGCGACAAGCGAGTAGCGGTACGACCACCACCGGCATCCCGTTTTTGTGTGCTCTCTTGCAAAGCCCATGCTCCAAGGGACTCAAGAATTCAAGGCTACCCATCGGCTCTTTTCTACATATTGGATGGGTATCCCACCCCGCACAAAAATATCGAGTCTCGAGACGCTGGTTACATGTTGTATAGTTCAGTGCGCCCCTAGCCACGTTTGGTGAATTGTACTCGCCGCCGCCCATGCTAATTTAGATTGCTGTGGCCCAGCCTGGCAGTCCCCAGCCTGCCCAAAACCATTGCTAGCAATTGTTTGGATCGGGTCTCGAGAATGAACCCCACGGCAGCTACATGCTTTCCGCTTCGGTATGCCGGCGTCCGGTCGCCTCCATATCGCATCTGTTCCAGGACCAATCCGATCTAGGACTGCGGGCCCTGGCTTCTTCTATGGGGGACGAGGCTGTGGAGTTGTCTGTACCTCCTCGCAGACAGTCCTTTTCGATGTGGATCGAGACTCTCTACGCGTGACGAATGGGATGCTGTCGCGGCTCTGGATACCAGCAATGCTGTGGCACCTTGCGTCTGCTTGCAACATCCGGCGGATACAGGCTTCTCTTCCAATGCCCCGACGTGCTGCGTACAGCCGTGACAGTGACAGCTGGAGCTGTCTTACAACGGCGTGTAAAGGCTTTTGGAAGGGCACCCTTCTCGCTCGGTAACACGTCTAAGACCTCAACAGTATTTTACACATCTGAACTGTGATGCTCCCGGCTGGCAGACTGGCAGTCGGGGTCTCCTTGGACTGGACTGGGCATCAGTCTGCTTGTCCCTGATATCTCCCCAATGATGGTACTGTCTTCGAGTGGCTATGAACGCCAAGTTTGGCAGGGGGTGTCTCGAATACACTAACACCAGATTATGGGGGGCTCTGGTCGTCACTTGAACCGGTAGATTGTCTCGGCATATCCGGTCAATCTTTCAGTCTTGCAAACCGGCCTAGGTTGCTCTTAAATTGGGGGCGGGCCTTTCCACCACCCTCTGCCGGCGCGGCATTGCGAGAACTGTGATCGGCGAGGTCTGCTATGACTGCTGCGATAGGTTCACTTCTCCTGTCCGCCGGCGACTTCACTGGGCCTTCTTCGGGCTCTGTGCATCCGTTTGAGGCACCATACTGTCTGTGTTGGGCAGAACACTGTTGTGTATTGGCTCAGCGGGTGCTCACAGAAGTCGTCGCCGCGGGCTTTGAGCATGCCTAAGCGGCCGAGAGTCGAGGGCTCCATGTAGCCCTAAACATACGACAAGAAGCTGTCGCCTGAGTTTGGGCGAAATGGGGCCGCCCGATCTTCGTCAATGCCGAAGCAGGGTATACAGCACAGAGCTGGCCAGAGGATTGCACCTCTTTCTGGTTCTGCTCACTATCTGTCGCCAGCCTTTGCGCCACATCTTTTTTGAACTTCATCACTTCGCTGGCTGACTTTGACTCGTCCAGTTGACAGTATGTCAAATTTGGGCCGGCTCGCTCTCCCTTCCCTGTCCTAGCCACCTGAAGGGCGATAACAGAAGAAAATATTTTTGTTGAGAGGAAGGATGCCTGATCGCCAACGTGGACAGCAGGTCAGCAAAACACCTGTACTTCTTTCGGACACTTTTTCGGTGCAAACTTGTACAAGGTCAAGCTCGTGGGTTGGCAAGGCACAGTGCATTTGACAGATGCTCTTTTCCGCTGTATTGCGGCGAATCTCGGCGGAGAATATTGCGGAAAAGGATTTGCTCCTGTCTTTCTCTCGGGCTTCTCGAAGAGGCATGGAATATCACGGAATCGAGTTGCAATATGGCCATTTCGATTGGGAAAGTTATGGGTGCCTGGCAGCCCCTCTTGGTTCCTGGGCTGGGATGACTTCAAAGCAATCAATTTGACAGGCAATACGGTCGTCGGGGCGTCCCTCTAAAACAAGTCATCTGACGGCCAATTATTACGCATCAGCAGCAAGAGATCCAAATGCTGACGGGCTCTTCATCCCCTGAAACGAGCTATCAAAACACGTCCTAGCGACAGAGGTAAAGCGGCCACGTGTGTCGAGTCAGTTAATCACTTGGGATTGCGGTGCTAGATGAGACGACGATGATGCTCCCTATTTTCTCTTTGTTACACGCTCACATCGACGGAGTAGCCAAATAAGCCAACAATCTCAGCGGCAACCCTTCTGCAGCCATCCGACAGTCTCCCTCCTGCCCAGGGCTTCTCGAACAAGGCCTGTCCCTGCGAGAAGTTCATGGACCGCACTTGCCTCCCCAAACCTCTTTGTTCTGCCTTTGGCGGAACATGTAGACAACTTCCGGGGGCCTTTTGGTGTTGATATCCACTTGAGGCACAAACACCTCTGGGATGTGTTGTGTTAGCTTCACTCGACTCCAATCTTTCTCGCAGAGTGTCTGGAACCGCAAAAGTTTACGAGGGCTAATACCGAAAACCTTGTTCTTGGAAAGTGTGGCTATCTTACGGCTCTCTCAACAGTGTGTTCCCACAATCCTGCCGCATATCTGGACCTATGATCTCGTGCCGAACATAGCCCGACAGGAGACACAGTCACCAAAACCATAGTGGCACCCCAATCCAGCCGGTCTGCCTCGCCGTCTGGCTCTGGATGTTCCAGCTATTTCTCAGCGTGCTGCCATCGTTTGAACCATCATTCATCGGGCTATCGACCGCCTTTTCCCCGTCATTTCTCACATTTGGGCTCTTGCTCAGGTGAGCAAAGAGCGGTGGGAAGACCAAACAAACCCCTACTCGCCAGGAAGTCGAATCCCTGGATGCCCCGGACAAAGGAATCACATCGAGAACGCTGCGCGGACGAAATCTGTCTCTCGCGGCTGCATGACACTGCGTGCCGGTGGTCAAGAAAAGAAAGGCAACACCCGAGCTCCTTGTTGCTGTGTGCGAGCCTCAAGGGGTATTTACAGGCTTCCCAGCTTGCGAGGGTGCTCTGCGTGAGCTTTGTTGTTTGTAGCCTGAAAGGGAATGGGTTTCCAACATCAAGTCTCTCTCAGCCACAGACGCAAGCACTGTCTGACTTGGTGATTGTGTCCCCTCCAGTCGCTAGGCCTGCCACCCTTATTACCCCTCCCATCTCTCTCCCCAAGAGTTGCAGTGGTAGCGAGCGAGGCACGCGAGACATCTCCACAACATATCACCGCCATGGTATCAGTAGCCTCTCTTCTTAACCCGGAGCCTCCTCGGGCTCCGTTGCCAAGTTCTCGACCCAGTCAATTCGCTTCACCTTCAGCTCGTCCAGCTGTCGCCTTTACATCAGGACCATCACCCGACAGGCCGGGGACCAGGACAGCAAACATGCAAGACGATCCCAGACCAGCTCGACATGCAGTCAGAGGCATGGTCAACTATCCACCGTTCGAGGACCTGGATGCAACCTCGCTCCACGAGGTCCACAGGTTCCATGTGTCAGATCTGCGGGAGATTCAGAGCAACTGCCGCCGGATTCCTTACCACAGCCAAAAGAAAGACTTCTATCAGAAGACCGGGCGAGAAAGCTTCGAAGGTAAACCAACAAGAAGTCCGGACTGCATCGCGGGATACCTGTACTGACTTTGACAGTTTTCGAGTACTCTTTTAGACTTCCCAGGGACAGTCGCCTTCGATCAGACAACACTTACACCGTCATGTGGGATTACAATGTTGGCCTCGTGCGCATGACTCCATTCTTCAAGTGTCTTGAATACGGGAAGGTTTGTTTGTTCCGGTGCTCGGTCCTGGATGAGGAGGGAAATTTGCTGATTACATTAGACTACTCCTGCGAAAATGCTCAACCAGAACCCAGGGCTCAAGGACATTACGCACAGCATCACTGGGGGATCTATTATCGCCCAAGGTATGCTATGCACGAGAGATTACCTACGATAGATATGCTAATGCATGTCGCAGGCTACTGGATGCCATACTCTTGTGCCAAGGCTGTCTGTGCAACATTCTGTTACCAGATTGCAGGTGCCTTGATTCCCCTATTCGGCCCAAGTTTCCCCTCGGAGTGCATTCGGGAAGGTATGCCTGGCTACAAACACATGGTCATCGATCCCGACATCATTGCCAAAGCTAGGCTGGAGGCAAGGCGACTGCTACATCTTCCAACACCACGCAGTGGCCCTCTACTCAGTCCACGCATGTCTCGCAGCGTCAGTCCTCGACCATGTCCACGACCGCCCCGGCTGGCCGCCGAGCCCTACAGCAACCGGATAGACTACGATCGACCGATGCCTTTGAGTCCGCATAGTAACGCAGACCACGAATTCTATGCTGGATCGCCTGATATCTACAGTCGTAATACACCCACCGAATTCATGCCCGGCGGATATGGGACTGGTATCCGTCCACCACCAATGAACACTCCAACAAGATGGACTCCAGTAAACCTTCCACGGCCGTATCCATCGTATCGCTCTGATCCATCTACTGAACGGGAGCAGCGTCGCCCGCAGCATCAACACTATCACTATCCGCAACCGTGGACAAGGAACAACATTGAAGACAAGTCCTACGGATCTCGAGCCAATCCATGGCTCTCGGCAGTTCCACGTATTCCATCACTATACCCTCAACACGCCGTACGGTCCCCCACCATTCAAAATACTACTGCACGACCATACGAGCGTCCCGCGCATACGTTACCACCCATTCGAAGTCTCTATCAAAGCCTTGGTGCGAATAAACGGACATTTGATCAGATCGAGCGGCCTACAAGCAGTCACTCCACGCCCGCAACTGACCAAAGGCCGGATATTAGTCCTTACCCCAAACTCCGTGGTCTTCCTCCCGCCTCGCGATCCCTAAGCCCGAGTATGCAATCGGTTAGGCCGGCTTCGGAGGAGGATGCTGCGCTAACACTGATGCGACTTTGCGAAAAAACGAGCAAGCAGGAGGAGAAACAGGAGCGAGAGCAGAGACAAGATGATGCCATTCCGGAGAGTTCAGGTGTGGGACCAAAAGGCGAGAGCAATACTATTTCCAGCAGTCTGGTAACGACTATCGGCAGTCCTACGTGCAGCAGCGGCGGCCAGACAAGGGTATGGAGCGAGGATGCTGATTTGAAGATGGAGCACGCCAGCACACCGTCATCTCCACATGCTGGTGACGCCAATGTGACTTCCACACCCAATTCACTGGCCACCAGGTCCGTGTCCTCCTCCTCTGACGCCGACGACGAAGACAATGATGATTGCAACGACGATGTAAGTCCCAGGCGCAGGGGAGGGTCAAAGAGGAGGAGGGTTCTGAGCTGATGTGATGAAACTTGGCTGCTGCTCTCGATGTTCATTTTACGCTACACTGCCAGTATTCCTGGGGTTTTGCTCAAGTCATTATCCACTTCATTCTCATCTTCCACATGTCACTACTTCATTTTTACCTAAATAGCCAACACCACCTGCCACGTGGGTGGGATTTGGGGAGCCAGGTCTCGGGCTGGTTTTGTCGAGTATGGATTTCATGGTATGAGCAAAAGGTTGAGGGAAATTTCTGGTGTTTCGAGGCAATGGGACAAGAAAAGAAAAAGGAGGCGCTTCGGTTTGGGGGTTTTTTATCCACGAGGCGGTTGGCGAGCATTGATATTGGAATGTTACTGCTTGTTCTTTGCATATTTTACCTGAGTTCATGGCTATGCTTATCGGTCTTTTCTTGTTTTCTTTCCTTCGTTTTCATAATTCTTGAATATTTGGCATTGCTGCTGGGGAAGTTTTTTGGGTGAGGAACAGAAAACGAAAAGCTAGACGCCGCCGGGCAAACACGAAGAGGACTTTGGCCCGGTGTGTATGTGTGTGTGTATGTGTGTGTGTGTATGTGTGTGTGTGTATGTGTGTGTGTGTGTGTATGTGTGTGTGTGTGGGTGGGTGCTTCTTTTGACAATACCAATTAGATGGGGTTATCTAGCGAGTAGCGAAAGCAAACATACAAACAATCGATCGGTTCTCTTTCTCTGGCAGGTGACAAACATCAGGTAGAACGAATATTGCTTTTTGGACATTCAATTCAACCACCCTCCTAGGTCTGCAAATAGTCACCGTCATAACAAGCTATCAGGCTGTGCTGGAGGCTCAATGAGCAGGAACAAGGAAAATCTTGAACGACATTCCATGACGTGCATGACCTGACATGAGGCGCGTAGGTGTTTAACTGCGGTGGAACACCTGTTTGGAAACCCATCACATAGGTACCTTACCTTGACTCTTCTCATCGGGCCGGGCCGGGGGAGGGTAAAACCCAGAAGAACGATATCCAATGAAGTTCGGCACACAGAACGAATGATGGAACTTTGTGTTTCTGATGCGATGCTGATGAGTCACTGCAAAGGGGTTGGAGTTACATTTTGAACTTGGTTACAGTTGTTAAGAATGGAAGTGAATGGTTGGGGGGACGTGGGGTGAGATGGGGAGATGAGTTGATTAATCGGTTGTACAGATGTGAGATGCAGGTGCTGGGGTCTCACGACAGGATCTTGTAGGGTTATGCAGAGTTTAGTGTCTTGTACAAGTAGAAATAGGAAGTGATAGAGAAGAATGGAGGTGAGTGTCTACTTACCTCTGAAAATGTTGAGGGTACGAGCAGTTTGTCTTTTCAAGCTCTAAGCTCCTGCCTCAAGCTCTAAGTAAGGGAACTGCACAAGTTCTTCGTCCAGTTTTCTTGTCCGCTGTTCGACAGAGCCCACGCCCTCTCAAATTTCGGGTTGAAAACTGCCTGGCAGGGCAGCCAATGATTTGAAGAGATTATTTTTGACTCTTTTAGCCCTATAACAGTTTGTGAGATACGATTCTAGAAGTTTTGGGGTTTACTGGCAAGTTTTGTGCGGTGGTGTTGGAAGCCGTGGCATGTCAACACGAACTGGAAAAGGGGCGTTGCCAAGGTAACTTGCTCAAGTCCGGCATCGCTCCACTTTCATGATATTGCCATCAAACCGCCGAACATAGACAATTTGTGCATTGGAAAAATGAGGAATTCATGTGGTAGAAGAAGCCTTCAGTTTTTTCCATCCCTACAATTGTCATCAGTATATCTGATGGAAGCTTCATCGTGTGTTAGTGGCGCCGCCCCATGCGTCATCTTGAACTACCTTATTTTTAACAACTGGGGTATGGCATGGGAACACTATCGTCGAGAGCTGTGATTGCTTTAACAGGATTGCTATTTATTGGAATATCACTGCGACATGGCGAGTATCGCGGCACTGTTCGGCAGAAATACTCACCCCAGGCCTCAACTGGTGCGTTGACCGGATTTTGCGTCTCCATACTCCCAACGCCTCTTCTGTGTGAGGCACCAATTGTCCGTTTCAAAACCTTAAGCAAGCTCCCACCGTTTGGTATAATATCTCTGGTTGGGACAAAAACCTTTAATCCTGAGCTTCCGTTGTCGCATCCTGCCTTGTGGAACGGACCTCTTGCATCGAATCCACGACATCAAAGCCCTCTCCTCCCACACCTTCAATAAGTCACACGGAATTGGCGCGTGTACTCAAATAGACAACAATTACCACCGAGAATTCTTTGACCGTTAGCTGCGTCCGCAGCCACGCAGCCTTATCGGAGCTTCCGCAGCTCCACCAACACTAAAGGCAGCTGCAACACCCAACATGTGCGAAATCCAAGAACGCCACGACAAGCGATGTGGCCACCTCGTCGAGATGTCCTATGAGTCCTGTAAGTTTCTTCGCAAAAAACATTGCCTCCGTATCGCTCATCACTAATCTCCGTCTTCTACCCTCACAGGCGAAGATGCATGCGGCAACTGGGAGGTCTTCAACTGGCACACACACCTCGTTCGCTGCGGGATGCCCCGGTGCGTGGAGCTCCGCAGGCAAATGAGGAGGTTCCAGAGAACACAGCGACGGATGGCGATCAATCAGTTTTCTTCCTCGCCCAGGGCTCAAGAGTTGCGATCTGATGACACGAAGATGGAGGATAAGGAGGAGCCCCAAGTCGAGCATAAAGAAAAAAGTATGCCAACGCCAAAATCCGCGACTGCGACCGAGAACCAGGAGAAGAGGAGGGACTTTTGGGGTGTTATATAAGAACCGTTTCTCTTGGTTTTCTTGACGTTTTTTGTGTTTTGTTGTTCTCTTCTGTGTGGAAACAGATGCTTATTAGTTCTTAGTTCACGCAGATGTACGAGCATGGAACTTCGAGAAGATGAACATCGACTAGTACAACATCAGTTTGTAGCATGAAATGGCTTGGAAACGAGGGTTTTGTCATGAACACTGACGTGTAGTTGATTGAACTGGTGTAGGTGAATAATTACAGATGGGCGTGCCCGAGAGTCTTCAGTTAGTGGCATAATGATATTGGAGCATTGCCTTTCTTTTTGGGCACATAACCCTCAACTACAGCCTCCTTTTGATGTCACGATCAGTGGGTATCACCTACTTCCTCCCAAGCTTCTTCTCCTTCCAGTCCTTCACCCAGCCCTCTGCCTTCCCCTTGGGCACCACGAAAATCTTGAGTAGATCATCCACAATCTCCACGTTGCCACTGCTCAACACTTTGAGCAGTGATACTTTCTTGCCCACCTTTGCCAACCCTCCACTGACTGTCTCAACGTAGCACTCGACATTGTTCGCCGTGTATTTGTTTTCTCTGTCCCATGGCAGAGGGAACACATACCCAAAATGCTGCTCCAAGCTCTCTGTCTCGTTAAACGCCTTGATGAAATCGCTCTCATAGTCGGCAGGATACAGCAGCATCGTCGGCACCGAAAGGGAACTCTGGGGATCCAGCGGGTCGGGAACAAGCTGGACATGCGCGTCCTCCATGTCAGGCGGCTTCCCGGTCGACCTCGTCTTGATGTTTCTAGCCTCCAGTGCTGCTTTCAACAGCACCTCCTTTCTCCTAGCATCAGCCGCCCTTTTCTCCTCGGCCTTCTTGTGCGCCGTCACTGTCTCGTTCTTGGCGATGATCTCCTTGGCCAGCTGCTGCAGCGCCGCGTTCGAAGAGTCAATCTCTAACCCCCTCGCGCAAGCATCATCCGACTCGACGATCTTGTTCACCGCCAACAGCGCCTTTGCAGACCGGTAAAAGGCCTTGACGTTCTTCGGATTCAGCCTCAGCGCAGCCGCGCAGTCCAACGTGCAAGACCGGTAGTTCTTCAGCTCCAAATGACAAGCCGCCCGGTTGACGTACAACTGCTCCAACAGCGTCCTCTCCTTTTGCGTTTCTTCGGGGTCATCCTCCACCTCTTCATACTCCTCTTTTGTCGCTGTCTTCTCATCCTCCTTGACAACCCCCGACCCATCATTCCCCGCCAACCTCTTCTTCTCCCTCTCCTCAAAAGCCTTCTGCTCCTCCTCGCTCCTCATCGCCACCTCCTGCTGCTTCTGAACCTTTTTCTTGATCCCCTTACTCCGTCTAAACTCCTCCGCCTGCAAGATCTGGACTCCCTTCCCGTAAAACTCCTTCGCATCAGCCCACTTCTTAGCCTTGAAGCACTCATTCCCCTGCTCCTTGAAGTTGAGGCCGTTTTCCAAAGGCGTGCCGTCATAGGCAAGAGACTGCAAAGCGGCAAGCTCCTCGTTCTCTTCAGCGTCGTCCAGCTCGGTCATGAACAGCGGGTGTTTGTTCAAGTCGGCGATCGTCTCCTCGAGCGTCATGCCTGTGTTGACCTTGTAACCGGCTGGCAGGCCGGGGAACATGGTGGAGAGGTCGGCTCCTGCCGGGGGAGGGGCAGGGCCGATTGGGACATTGTTGTCATCCAGCTTGAGGTCTCTGGTGTCGTTGGCGAGATTATCCATTTGGGGCGGTTTTTCCTTTTTTGGATTTTTTTTGGAGATGACTAAGTGAGAGACTTGAAACTGAGCTATTTGCGACCCAGTGAAAAAAACAGCCAGTCCCGCTAAAACGGGTATGTTGGGTTGGCCGTCGACAGATAACCGTAGACAAAAGTCGTAAGCTATACAGAGAAATGTACAAATAAGCGAGCCGTTTGTAGAGAAATTTTTGAGGGACGTATTTCTTCTCTTGCCCAACGCGAGATCGGTTTGTTTCTTCCCGCTCTGGTGGAGTGGCAATAGTGAGGTTGGAAAAATTAATAACCTTAGGGTTAGGGTTCGTCTCGAGCGGGGAAGCTCCTTGAACCATCGTCAACCCTGACACAACCCTGACCAAGGCACAAGCAAGCAGAGTGTCAAGTTCGAGAACAGAATAACAGAAATCTACATTCGTGACCCATATCTACAGTTCCATCTATGGTATAATCCCAATGCTCACCATATTATGCCAGTCGTCGGATATCATAACCGTTGTGAGCGCAGCGCTGTGACGAACAGAAAACAAGAAAGAACCCAAACGCCTCGCCTCGCTTCTATAAATCCCGACCCTTTTCTATCCCACCGCCCATCCATATCACTATCCCCCTGAAAAATATCCCCCATTATAACCACCCTCAATTACTTTAGCATCAAAAGCTTCGCCCACCACCTAGGGTTCAAACCGTTCCTCCTCCTCAGTTTTCCGGGCCGGATACCTCTTTACAGAGAAGCACTGCACCGCACCAAAAACAGCCACAAGGGCACTCCCCCACCAGGCAAGCGCTGTGCAATCCACCCTCTTCCCCATGGCATAAAGATACCCAGCAACGGGTGGTGCGATCATGCGGCAGGCGGCACCAGCACTTGCCGCAAGACCGTTGACCTTGCCCAGCACTGACGGGCTGGGTGTGGCCTCCTTGATTAAGATAAGAAGTAAGGGGTACAGAATAATCGACAAGAAGTTCCGGACTCCGAGGCAGAAGTAAACGGCTGGGTAGAGGAGCTGATCGGGGACGTAAAGAAGGCCGGGAACAATCATGTATGCGATCGGGTGGAGAACCGTCACAATGATGAAGAGCCTATGCACACCTATCCGCTCGGCCAGTGGCGGAAAGATGACGGCTTGAACGACCAACGCGATGATGCCTTGAACTGCAAGAATCATGCCGACAGCCTGGAGAGAGAGGCCCAGGCCGCCGGGGGAGTAGAGCGGGTTGACCGTGCCAAACAAGGCGTGAATAGGAACTCGGTCGTCCTCGAAGAAGATGGGCATAAGGTGATCGTAGGTCATGGAATGGTAGGTGAAGATAGAGAGGGAGACGACGACAGCCATAATTCTCTTGGAGAATATATTGGTGTTCTGCTTCTCGATGTCTTTTGGCTCCTTGATATCTCGATCCCGCATGGTGCCATAGTTTTCGTCTCGCATGTCAACAGCCGGGCGCTTGATGGCGTCTGACGTCTCGATCAGGGGGGTATTCTCGGAGAGGAACGTGTGGTCGGGGAGGGAGATGCGCGGCTGCATGTCGGGATGTGTCTCTTCCAGCAAGAAGTAGCCCATCGTGATGCTGACAAGAAGAAGCGCAGCACAAATAAGATTCGGTAGGAGGTAAGGGAAGCGCTGGAAGAGAGAGCCCGTGGGAAATAGGTGGGGGTACGACTCGTGGGGGTCTGCAAACAAACCCCCTATCATGGGTCCAATGATCGTACCGACACTCCAAACAAACGGCACTGTTACTAGTTAGCCCAGCAAAATTCGAAACAAGAAAGCTTGCGAAATAACGTACTGATAGAGTATGCCTTCGGCTCGTGCTCAGGCTTTGTCACCAGCTCGCCAACCATGGTCTGGATGACGGCAATATTGCCGTTCAAAAGCCCACCGATGACTCGCCCAGCCAAGGCGATCCAAATGTTGTAAGCAAAGCCCACCATGATCATGCTAAACATGGTTCCCACGCATCCCAGTAACAACACGGGCTTTCGCCCAATGCGGTCCGAGAGCCCTCCCCAATACATACCCATCAAGGCCTCCGCAAGAGCGAAGGACGAGATGAGGAGGCCAGCATAGAATGAAGCATCTTCTTCATTTCCAATCTGATACCGTTTGATCAAGGCCCAAGCATAAGGGAAAATCGAGGTGAGCGCAATTGGCTCGGCAAGGCGGACAATTGCTACAGAAAAAGGTTAGATATTCGAAAGCCCCATCTCAAAACGTGGCGGAAAATGAACCCACCGAGAATGAACAGCTGAAAAGCAGGGAACTTCTCCGGGTCGCGGCGACTCGGTGTCTTCAGTGTCATCGTGTGCTGGTGAAGCTTGCAATTTCACAAAGCCAAGGAGACAGGAAAAGAGAGGTTGTCAAGCCGAGAGATTAAGAATGATAGTTGCGTGCAAGGACCCTGTAAACTAGGGTAAACTTCGTGTCGGAGAACAAGAAGGTAGAAGAGAGACCACAGAGAGAGAAAAAGTGGCAAACCTCAACAGCGAGCATGAGAGTGGTAATATATCAGTGGGAGCAACTCTAGCCCACTCACTGTCTTCTGAAAGCTGTTGACATGGCAAGAAACCAAGAGCGGGAAAAAATTATGGACCCTTTGGCGCATTGATACGTCTGGGACCAGGCGTCGAACATTCCATGATGGCTGTAGTGTTCCAGACACACGGTCCGGCTACTATCAGTTGATAGCTAATATCCTACCTTGCCGCGTCTTCCCTGGGGGGTGAATATCGAAGATCACCTTTCTGCAAGCGGCAGTGACAGGGCCAAGACCGTAGAAAAACGAACGCGGAAGCTCTTCCGGTGCATGTTGCGTGCTTCACCCAGCCATCGGAGAAAATGAGCAAGGTAAAGACACGGAACGAGCCAAAAGAGGTTGCGCAGGAAAATATCGATTGAGAATGGTCGGTAGCTCGGACCGTGGGTGAAGAAGGCAAACTGAGCAAGCTTGTGAACCCTGTGCTGATCTGCTGGGATGGACAAAGGTGAGCCGAAAGCTGTCTCCACAACCGTTGGTTGGCCCTAACGTCGAACATGCTGGTGCTGTTGAGCTCTGGCCAATCAGAAGCTTTCAGCTACTGTGGGGAACCCTTCCACTGCAGCACTGCAGCGGCGGCAGGCCACCGCAAGGAAACTCGCTCCGATATCAAAGTCTTTGTGCGCTTGAATCCTGCAAAAATCTCGATTTCTGTGAATCATGGAAATCCTCGCATTGGTTGGCAGCCAGCAGCATCACACACACCATGGCTTCTTGGGCTTGCTCTCTTGTCAGAAATCAGTTCGCTGCAGTGATAAACCGATGGGCATCCATTACCTAGGTGCTCGTCGAGAGAGACACGGCCCGTCGTCCGTTTCCTTATCAGTTGGTGATCTGATAACGTTCTTATCTCGGTCTATCTCGCTCGGCCACGCACGACAATCCAAATTCTCTCACAACAGCCTGATTACTACATTGCATACAGCCAGTCAGTCCATGTTACGAATACTCTTCCTTTGGGTCATCTCGATGATGATCTATTATCGGCCGCAACTCGGCAGCTTCGACGGCGCCAAGGTTGACAGCGGGAAGCGGTGACTCGGTCAAATGTTTGTTTGGCCTCCTTAACGCCGCTTAGAAGAATGCGACAACGCCATCCGGCCTTTTTTTCGTCCCAATCTTGTGGGTGTCATCCACCACCCGTTGAAGCAACCTAAGCGTGCGCCGACACCGGGCTACTGTTTCGGTGGCCGTGCTGTCAGGACAGTTGTCGGTGAGCAACTATGAACCCCTGAGGATTGGCACAAGCTACACAAGCAAGCGGCTTCCGACTGCAGTGCTGTGACGCTGCAAGACAACCCTTCGTATGACGATTTCTCGCCCAGGCGCAATGGCGAGCCAGAGCCTTATCGGCCTGCATCTCCTCGCAAGCCGGATGAACCCTAGCTCTCTGCCTGCTAGCCCGTCACCTCTCCTGCAGGTCACATCGACTCGCATTGTCTCCTAAGCCTTTGCATATGCCATATGCCGGCTTGCATCCACTGGGCTCAACTCGGCCAGATCCTTCGACTCACTCATCGTGAACATTATGAGGACGTACAGACTGTCCTACTTGGTACGCAGGAAGTCACGAACTAACAACTGGACATATGGAAGAGACGTCACACCAATGTCCCCCAGATAAGATACAGACAACACCGCAACACCTTGCTTCTGAACTTGCAGAAATGGCAAGCAAGAGCTTTCATTTCCGAGTAGATACTGATCTATCATGACGGAAACCTGCATCAAGCTTGCTTCGCTTGAGCTACATGCCGAGATAAGGAGGGCCGCTGTAACCTCTGATCGTAGTGTACCCATCGGTGCCCAAGCACCGGACTCACGAAGCTACCGGCCTCGTCTGCTCCTTGTACCCGAGCAGCACAAGCTGAGACTGACTGCCGGGTATGGCCAGGGCAAGTCTAGCTAGGTTTCATCCCGTGTGTCAACATAGGAGCCCGTTATAAGCCTCCCGTTCTCCCATGCTCCTACCTGGCAGGCTAGTAGAGCATCAGGATTCTCGGTACTTCCAAGGCATTGAGATGTCGGCAGCCTCTGGCTCAGGTGGAAGGAGCCCGAGATGCTCTAAGCCATGAAAGACTCGACTGATGACGTCGTCGGAAAAAACTTCGTCAGCGTAGGCCGGAACGCGGAAAAATGTCGCCGGAGGTCTTCTCCATTTACAGCACTTTTCTCCCTCTTCAAAGTCACTGATCGCAGCAGAAGCATGCAAACCTTCGTCGGCTATCCTTTGGTCGAGTTCGGTGCGTCTAATACAGGCTTTCTGAAGCGTCGACGGCCGAACAAGACCCTTTGCGGACCGCGTTTGCCAGCTGCGGCTGTTAAAAAGAGCGGCGATGCTAATGACATAACAGTACTTAGTATCTCCTCTCTTGACCATGTCATCGGATATGAAACTCACTAGTCCACGCGTATGGAGTAATGAGCCCTGTACCGCGGCCTCTTCGTATGATAGTCCCAGTTCAAGCACTGGCACCATGCGATACCGTCTTGAAATGTTGGGTTGAAATGCCACCCAGGAGTCCAGTTGACTAACACCGGCGTCCAACCTCCAAAAATTGACGCGATCAAACTGTCGCCCAGTTCCATTTCTAGATCCCCCCCGTAGAACGGCTCGTATAAACGTCTGTTCATAGCCCGGAAGTCCTGCCAGTAAATGACATGGGCAAGTCTGCTTCTTCGTCAGCACGTATTCACTGGATCTGGGCTCTCCCTCCGGCCCGACTCACTCATGAAGCATGGTAACAGCAGCCATAAACGCCGTCCTGCAGTATTCCTCCCGACCTCGTCCCCCCATCACCCTCAGGTCATACAACCTCCTCGCGAACGGCCTCATGAGAAGCACCGTCAGAGTCCTCCCCTTTTCCCCTCTCAACTTGGCTAGCTTGTCATACTCAATGATCAAGTCAGGCAAGTCGATCTTGTGCTTTTCCCCAGGAGTGTGAGGATACCGGGGTGTATATCCATACGCCCGTTTGGTGTGTACAATGCTGTCATCTAAACTCCATCTAACCCGGCTGGTGAGCTCCTCGCTCCGAAGCTTCTCGGCAGCAAGCTGACACCAGTACTGGCGCATTGCAGGTGTGGCCCAACGGGCTTTGTGATGGCGGACAATGACCAAGGGGGTTTTGTCTTGGTCCTTTTGCCGGTCGTTTTCGACAAAGGGGCGCAGATAGCCGGCGTAGGAAGGGGAGAATATATCCTCTATGAAGAAGTCTGAGAACCAGGGCAAGGCCTCACGCTCGAGGATGCGGCTGGCGAGTAGCAGGGGTTGGTGGAGTTCCGGGATGAGGACCTCATCGGAGGGGCCATCGTCGCTGGGTGTTGATGGTGCTGGGATCCAGTTGCTGAGGATGGGATGGACTTCGCCAGTGAGGTCACACGGGGAGGTGATGTTTGTTCCTTTGACGAGTCAGCACTTTTAAGCTCGAGGGCAACGAGAGGCAACGCAAATTCTCACGAATGGCACCGCACAGTTCCAACTCGGTTTCGTCCCAGTCTTTGCCTTCGCCGTGGTTAGCTGGCCCCTCGTCGGAGCCATAATCTTCTTGAATGGCCTCATCAGGCGGTTGGTAGTATATATGTGACATTGCAGTGGTGATTGCTAGACATCTTGGTGATCGGCAGGGGGCCTGTCAGCTGTAGATTTGATGTTTTACAAGACGGGCGGAAGTCATCAAGGTTCTTTGTTGTCTCGGATAGCCCAAATCCAAGTGGAATGTGAGGTGCGGTCAAACAATGCCGTGCGCATCTCTAACCGTTGGCTCACCAAGCGAGCAATGGTGGCGTTGATCCCTCCTTGTTCTGAAAACGGAATCTCCGTCTCTAGTAATTTCTTGATTATCTTCACCACACCAAGAATGCCATTGTCTAGGTAGGTATTACTCGATATTTTTGACTTTTCTCTCCAAACATCCACCACGACCTAATGCTCGTACTCCATCTCCTTGCCCTTCATCAGCGCCCAAAACTCCTCCACAATCTTCTTCTGCTCCTCCTCCCCACCTTGCCTAACAGCAATATACTTCCTGTCATCCACCGCCGGATCCCACACCCCCGGGTTCCCGCCCGCCATCCTACCGCCCGCTTCCTCAAGAATACACCACCCAGCCGCCACATCCCAAGCATAACACCCCCCTTCCCAGTAAACATCCATCACCCCCGCCGCCGTATAGCAAATGTTCAGCGCCGCGCTCCCCATACTCCTCACCGCACCAGCCATCGCACCGCCCGTCGCCTTGGAAGCCGTCAGCTCCTTGTACACCTCCAGCTTCAAGTCAAAGTTATGCCCGTCCCTCTGACTCCCGAACTCAATCCCCACCAACGCCGTCTCCAAACTCCCCAGCTTCCTCCCAGGCCTCAACGGCAATTGCTGCGGCTTCCCCTGCCCCTGACCAGGTGCCAAAGAAAAGTTGTCCACCATGAACGCACCCTGTCCCTTGATCGCAGAGAACAAGACATCAGAGAAGGGGTTGTACACCACGCCCACCTGGGGCTTCCTGCCCAGGGTGAACCCCAGCGAGATGCAAGCAAGCGGGAAACCGTGGATGAAGTTTTGGGTCCCGTCGATCGGGTCACAGATGAAGGTGGGCGCGTCGGTGACCTTGGTTACCCCCTTGACATAGGACTCCTCGCCGACGAAGGAGAAGGTGGGGTATTCCTTTGTGAGGATCGAGTTGACGAGGTCCTCGATGCGCTTGTCTGTTTCTGTGACTACGTCGACGGCTGAGACGACGGGGTCAGTAAACGGTGAATAGTGCTGTAAGTTGACAGAGGCTGAATACCGTTCATCTTCTCGTCTGTCTCGAGTTCCTTGCCGGTGGCATTGCGCATGATCTCGCCTGCCTGGCGGGCGATGGCAATGAGGGAGTCATGGATGGCAACGAGGTTGATGCTGTCTGCCATTTTGAAGGTGTTTGCACTTGGACTCACTAAAGAGAACGAGCTTTGTATAGGTTGAGTAAGTGCCCCTATTTGTGTGCTGAGACCCAAGTGACCCCTGGAGTTGTAATGTGAGGTGAGGTTGCGGGGGTGGGGAAGCTTCCCCAACATCAATGTCAGGGGCTCCACTCGAGGTTTGGCCGCTCAAGTCGATAAAAAGGCGGAATGGTCACTCGTCAATTGATGCATCAGAACATCAGATCAAGAGCCAATGAACCCTGCTGTTAGTCTTGTTGGTTGGTTCAAGACAAAGAAAGTGAGCTGCTCCCACCATAAAAATGTACAACCTCGGGCAATGCAAGGCAATGGGCGGAGCGAGTTGCCCAAGTGATCATACATGAGATGCAATTTAGACCTCACAGATATGCGGCTCCTGTCCAATACCGATACCACGTGGGCCTATTCTCATAGACTCGATCATTAACAACCATAAGTACAAGAAAAGGAATACAAACTACCAACGGGGATCACGAGAACAAAAGCGAACCAGCCAGCCATCCAACTCCCCATGCTTTGATGTGCCTACCAACCCATCCTTATCCATATTCAATTACTCGGACTGTACCTCCCTTCGGAGAATAAAGAGACAGATTGTTCCTTCGATCATTTCCACAATTCTCACAGTTCCATCCCTGGCCCCATTTCTCCTCCTTGAACACATTTACATGTTCTCCCGGAAAATGGATCTCCTCTCCGTGGGGCTGTTATCCTCCTGCTGCCTTCCTTGTTGCCCTTGCTGCTGCTTCCTCGCCGCAAAACTGGTGTCAACCGCCATCGGCCTCGGGGACACCCCTCTAAGCGAAATGTTGCTCGGCTCGGCATCGTCCCCAAACGGATTTGGCTTCAGCTGAGGCTGAGGCTCTCGCTGGGTCGACCTTCCTCTTCTCTCTTCTTGCTCCTCAGGATCACGGGGCACATTCATCTGATATCCCTCCCCACCTGTAGCAGCTCCTGGCGGAGGTAGGCGGAGTCCCAGTTCCCGCTCTTCTTCATAGGGGTTGTAATCGCCCACACGGGCATCCCAGGCAGAGTCATCAAGTGATCTGAAGCCTTGGCCGCCTCCACCGGAGTACCCTGCGTTGTATGAGGAGGAGCCTTCGTATGCGCCGGCCGCGGTGCGGGTGTTGCGGGCCTGCTTGATCTGGCGCAATTTATCGTTGAACCATCCCTTGATGCCGCCTGGTGCGGGAGTTGGGCCGTATGAGGAGGACGACGAGGATGCAAGAAAGGGTATGTAGGAACTCAAAGGGGGTGGTGGGAGCTATAAGACACAAGCTGTCAATGGACGGGTCACAACTGAAGCTGGAGAAACACAGAAAACATACACCTAACCGTTGCGCCCTAATTCGTGATAAGACAATCCATCCAACCCCGGCTGCTATTAAAAGCAGAATAATCACCAGGATGGCAATGCCTGCTGGGTGCATCTTGTGTGTCTGTGGTTCGGTTGTCCAAACTCGATCGATAGAGTGCGACAAACGTCGATGGTAGAATATTGTGTCGTCGTTAAGCCGTGGTGTAAGGGTCAGGCGATCGATGCAACATTGACATTGGCAGCTTCTAGAGTTTCCAAAACATCCAAAGCGACGTTGCGCTCTCACCCGGATCCAGTCGGCCGGTTTGACCAGGAACGAGACGCAGTAAAGCCGAGCGGGCGTACAAGTGGTGTGCGTTTGCGCGTTGCGTGGCAGTGGGCAGGCAGAGTGAAACAGGAAGAGCTGGCTGTGATAGAGGCAAGGTTTCGATGCTAATCGCTATGAAGGCCAGGAGAAGCAATGGTGGGAAAAAACGCAGCGCAACAACCCACAACTTGCAACGGTTGCCCTGTGTAACAATTCTTCTCACCTTTCCTTCCCTGCTCGTTCCCGTCGCTCCGCGAAAAGTCACTGCAGAAGTCTCTCGTTTTTTGTTCCCGAAAGCGCCGCCGCGGCCGAAAGCAGCGACGCAACCAGTTCCACCTTTTCCCCTCCGTTGCCGAGCTTCTCAGCTGCCCCGCTATCTGCCAAGAGTATCCAGACCGCGCCGTGGCGGAGAATGACGAAAACCAAGCCTCGCCAAGAGATGCGATCTGGGTGGATACGTAAAGACCCCTTGGGCTTCATGAAATGGAGCTTCATGAAGAGGAAAGATGGTTCGGGCATGCTGGCAACCACGCAAGCTCATTTTGGCATTCTGATGTTCTAGGAGGTTATGAAGCTTGGTACGACCCTGAAACACGAGGCCTCAACTTCAATCGCACGATAGCATGGTCCAATCTCGGACTTGAAATCCAAGCCCAGCTTCCATATGTACTGCGCAAAGCCACTGTCCTCCTCACCCTCAGCCGCACTTCACTGCCCTTACCCACGGTCCCCTATTCGTCTGGTTGTCAAGGGCCATGATCTCATACACACCATTACCATAGACTGCGACACCCAATCATGATATACTACAAGGGTATCTACGAGATATGCAAAGACAAATCATCAATCATTTCGGTGCTAAGCCCAGCACTCTCCCCATTTCCCGCCCTTCCTCGCAAACTCCAACCCTTCCACAAACTGATCCAGGTTACACCTCCCAAAATCATCAGCCTCACAATTGTGTGGCTTCACCACTCTCCCGTTAACCAGGATCCTAACCAACTCTTCCCCGTTTCCTTTCGTCCCTCTACAAACCATCTTCTCAACATATATTCTGGCCGCAAAGGCTACCGTCCAAGCAGCACTAAACCCTCCTGCATCTTCCGGTTCCTGTCTCGTATTGTTATTCAGGGGCTTTACCCCATTATACACTCCCAGCGCTCCCAAAATCCCCATCATATCATTATCATGGCTGAAATCGGCATACAGTTCCCTATCCAACGGGAACGTCTCCGGGCTCTCGTCCAGCGTCGAGTTCGTCGTCGTGTGATCCTCCACCGGCCTCCTCGTCAACCTAGCAATGAGCTCATTCACCCAGCCCACCCCCTGCGTAGGACCGAGCGGGTTCCCGGGACCATAACCGTAGTATTTCCCTAGTGACTCGTAGTAATCGTACAACTTCCATTCCTCTTCGGTGAACAAATCACAAAAGGGGGACAAGACACCGGTAGGCGAGGCAACGGTGTTGAACGGGCAGAGGTCCATCAAGCTGATCAAGTCTTCATTTGTGAGGTTGACACCGGGGAGGTTGGCGTTGATGCGGGCGTTGATGGGAGGTGCAAATGTCGCAAGGTAGGTGGCCTGGGCGGAGTCGCCTACCTCGGAATATTTCCCTCCTTTTTCGAATGCGTCGCATAGGCCGTGAGAGAGGGTATTGTTGAGACCCTTGGCCTCAGATATCTCAAGGATAGGAAGAGGCTTGTGAGGGAGGTTGGACGATTCATCCTTCTTGAGAGCAGTGTTGTAACCTTGAGTCCAGTTTTTGGCAGAGACCACCACTCTGTTCTGGTCCGAGGCGCGAACAAACGGAACTGATTTGCTGGCAAGGGATTGGTAGCGGTTGTAGAACTGGAGGCCTGAGTTGACCATTTGGCGCTCGCCGAAGAGGGTGAGCTGGTCTGCGCCGAGACCAAATTTGTAGGTCTTGAGAAACTCGAATCCCGATCCATAACGTTCGGCATTCTCCTGAATCCGGTTGACGAGGTAGATGTACTGGACCGACTTTCCAAGAGTTGGGTCCCTGGCACCATGGCGAGAGAGGACCTGCGCAAAGGTCAACTCGCAGTCTTGGGGAATAGCTGGGTCGATCTCGGAAGGGACGGCAAAGTACGGCGAGTACTGTCCCCATGAGTGGGAAATATTGGCATCACATTGGAATCCCAGATCTGGGGTATCGCACTTGCGCAAACGACGCGGTCGGCCGTTGGAACCGTCTGTTGCCTGACTGTTCAACAGTTAGTGAGGTTTCTAGAAGAAGTGGATTCCCGACTTACATGAACAGCAGGCCCAGGATCGCCAGAATAGTCACAAACATCGCAACTATCAGCAGTCGCAGTTTGCGTTTGTGCTCATGCTCCCGGAAAACCCGTCTCTGTCCAGCAGATAACTCATCCTCCGGAAGTGAAGTATACTCAGGCCTTCCACCCGGAAATAACGAACGAATCCAATCCATAGTCGCAGTCAAAGTAACATGAGCTCAAAGGTTATAGGTTGGGGTCAATGGGTAGACCGGTCGAGATCCATCACGAGAGCCTCCTTCCGAATGTAGATCAGGTTGAGATGGAAAGATACATTTGGAACGTTAATGAACGACCAAAAACCCTGCCACGTGGTTCAGGCATCAAATTCCAGTGGTCGGTTGCCAAGATGTCGAAAGAACGACAAACCTTCTGTGACGTTTCAGACCATGTGGCCCGTGCACAGCAGCTTAATCCCGGTATAAGCCACCCGCTGTCAACTTTCGAGAAGTTTTCCAGAACACCATTCGGTAGGGCATCAATAGGTCCCAACCCGCCAACGTCCTCGACCGAGATGGCTGGCTCATCGGCGACCGCTAGGCTATGCGACTAGGATCTTTGGAACCTTCGGACGGATTCGTCGAACCAATAAGACCTGTGACCTTCTGGCTCCTCATCACTTGATGGCCCTCCTTGTTCCTCCTGATCTGACACGACGCAAGTGCGCACATACCAGGTCCCACCCAGTCAAGCGATGACCGAGTCACCAGCTGCTCCCAAGAAGTTCGCCTTACGAGATGGAAATGTCAAGCCTTGCTTTACGGGAATCTGCTGTCCGATCTTAGGTCATATAGGCTTGACGTTCCCGTCAACACCCACCATGAAGCTCAGCGGCCGCCAAAGGTCCGATCTGGTGGCTCACAGCCACTTGTCAACAACATGATCATGGCACTATTTTCTCACCACTGTATAGCCACCACTTATGTTGCGTAGGTCCCTGCCTTCTTGACGAAATATCACCGCTCCTAAAAAGCAAACTTGACTCATAGGTACCTGACCTTCATACAATGCATTCTGTTGCCCTGTTCATGTAGCCAATCATTGTGTAAATCATATTACGAAGAGGTATAGCAACCAACAGGACGGTGCAATTCAGCTCTCTTCTTGAATTCTGGTTCGGTTTTGAGTTTAAAACTATGATTTGATCAAACATCCTCTCGAGGACTTTTTGATGGCTTTTGTCAAGTGCCACCCTCACAGCACCCTCAGTACCCCCACGCCGCTCGATCAGTAGAGTTAGGAAATTCCCAAGGCTCTAACTCCAAACTGTCACGGCTGTATTGCATCAATTAAACTCCGATGCATCCTCACGGCGTCTGTCTCTTTGACAGCGCACCTCTGCCTCAATTGTACATTTCCATTAATATGTGACACAAGTGACCTACCCGCCCGGCCAAGAAACATGTCGACAGGGGGCGGCGGCAGGCCGTCACGGCGACCCAAAAGTGTCTGATATTGACGCAGGCGTCTATTCTTGCATCACACAAAATTATTGTAACAACAGCGTCTAGGGAAATTACACCGTCTTTTCGGATTTCCAGATCCAGCCCTCAAGGTGCGGTCAAAAATGCTACCTAACAAACTATACCTAATATCACAAACAGAGAAAAACAAGAATGGTATCATAGAGTTCAAGATAGTAATACAATGGAATCAATCATCCCCCATTAAAACCCCTTTTTTGTTGTCAAAACCACCCATTACAAAGTATTCCAAAAGGTCTCCCAGGCTCTGGCCTCCCTACCCCCACCCCCCCCAAAAGTTGCCTATTCTGTAATGTCCAAATGCAAATGTGAATTGAACCGATGCAATAAAATTCCCCAAGCCTCAGAACGCAACACCCACACTCAACGGCCTGTGTCCCTCCATCCCCATCGGAACCCCCAGCCCAACCGCAGGCGCAATTCCCTTCTCCATCTTCATCTTCGGGGGTGGTGGGCTAGGTTGGAATGTCCTCGACTTGGCTTCCTTCTCCTCAATGTCCTCCACCGCAAACCTCACCCGTTGACTGAGCGGGGGTGTCTGCTTTGGCGTCTGTGTCTGCTTCACCCTCGGGCTGGAGCCAGGTGACCAGTTTGTGGTGGGGGCAGTCTTGGTATCTTCTTCCTCGGAAGTCGTCTCGTATGTGTAGACTGAGCTGGAAGTCTCCATGCTTGTTCGCGGCAGGCCCTCGGGCGGGGCGACGCACTGGTAGAAACCATCCGTCTCCTTGATGGGGCGGGGACTGGTGGTGACCAGGGTTGACTCATCGATGCTTCCTTCTCTGGTCGCGGGCTTTTGGAAGTTGTGCTGCTCGTCCGGGTTGAATAGCCAGCTAGAAACGCGGGAGAAGGACTTCTTCTTGCGAAGGGGAGGGCGGAGAATAAGAGGAAGGGGTGGCGCCAGAGGTCGGTCGAGATAGCTGTAGTCAGTTTGGTTGTTGTTGTTGTTGTTGTTGTTGTTGTCGGTAACCTCCTCATCATCGTAACGGGAGGGGCTATAAGGGGTATGTGGTGGGTGGGAGTTAAAGGCCGCTTGGGCCAACTCCATGGTTTTTCTCTGTGTATAAAGGTTGGGGCCGGTGTTTGCAGGCGCGGTGCTAGGCCGATCGGTGCTCAGTCTCTCGGCAAATGATGGAGCAGCAGCGGGCATCGCAGGAATGGAAGGAAGCGGATACAAGTCCTTCGGATCGATAGCCGTTGATGGCCTGCTGCCCAGGTAAATACTCTGTCTCTCAACAACCGAGTTGATCTCCGCCTGCAGCCGCTCCTTCTCTACCAGGGCGCTGGCGATGCGCGCCACGATTCTCTCGGTATTGGGGGCCGTGGAAGCACGAGCTCTGGACTTGGGCGGGATTCTCGGCGCTGTCATGACGGTAGACACATCGGATCCGGCAGAGCTTTGACGAACGTGCTTCCGCGGAATGTGAAAAGACATGACTGAGTAACTCCGTTCTGGGGCACCAACTGTCGTTGTGCTACTGGCATCCCACCGTGAGCTATTGGCCGTGTGAGCACGCGGCGGTGGTGTGATGAAATTCTCTCCACGCTCAAGGTGAGGTAGGATGGGCGTAAGTCGGTTCTTTGGTGCGTAGATACTGAGCTCGAGTGGCCGAAATGAACGAACCCGCTGACGAGGAGCTGGCGGTGGTGTTGGTGTCGGATATTGGAACGACTCGGCAGTTAGATGTCGAAAGTTTGTTGGGCCCGAAATTTGGAGCCGGCGAGTCGATGATGAAGTTGATGATGATGCGGGCTTCGAAAACCAGTTTCTCATGGAAGCATTATCCCGGCTGTACCTGCGCCCGCGGCTATGGTCCCTTTCCCTCTCCAACGTCCTTTCGTATGTCTTCTCGCTGGGCCACTGTGGCCCTGCTGTTGGTGCTTGAATGGGAGCAGGTTGATCTCGTAGCACGACGATCTTCCTTTCTGCGGTGCCTGTTACGTTTAGCATCCTGTCTGTAACTATTCCCAAGCCTTGATTCGACTCACTCGGGCGATCCTCCTCCTTGTCCTCAGCGCCGCAGCAGAGTGTAACGGAGCTAAACCACGAGGCAACCATGATGTAGATTGTGGTACTGAAGGTTGTAGAAAAAACGGATATTATAGAGAATGAGAGCTTCTCATTCCCGCCTCACAAGGGAAGAAACGAATGACGACCAGCGACCAGCGTAACACGTCAACTACCGTGACCCAGAAAAACAAAGGAAAGATGAAGGATGAGAAAAGTCCATGACGGGACCCAAGGTGAGGAAGAGAATGGAAGGGGAAAAGTGTTGTACACCAACGGCGCGAACGGCGGTGGCCATCTTTACATATGTTCCCGTTCCTACAGCAAGTCTCAAGAGTACATGCAGTACACAGTAGTAGGCAAAAGAGACATCATCTGGCAGGTCCGTCTTTCTCACTTCGGCTGAGTTTGCGCTGACCTAGTGGTGCGTAGCGGCCAGAGGTGAAGTTGCAGGAGGCGGCATCTGATAGGCTGAGATGGGCCAGGCCGAGGAACCAACTGGCGCTTACAAAACCGGGGTTCGGTCATGTATCGGATGGCGGCGCTACACACCAATACACATTGTGGGTGTAATGTCGTCCAGTCGCGTGCCGTTGTGAGTGCCGCACTGCGCGTCAATGTCTCGGTCTTTTCTTGGATGTGAGCAAAAGGTGACCAAGGTAGCAACCGCATTGCCACATTCTATCACGGCCTCGCGGGAAAAGGGGCTTGAGAGGAGTGCTTGGCCTGGTCTCGTGGGTCGCCTTGCAGTCTGCAATCGACCCGGAGGAACACAACCTATCCGAGTCCGTCATATAAGAGGAGGCCATCTTCACCGGGCAGCACTGCTATTTTGTTCTCGGATTTGTCGTCATGAAACTGAGCCTCACGGCACGGGTGAGAGTCGATCATCGTTGGCCCGGGAGTGACCTCGATCTCAGGCCTCCCGTCCGGGTCCGAGATGCTAATTTTTGTTGGTCCTATGCTATTTCGACAGTCTTAATCATTGTGAACTCTTATGCCTCATGATCAACAAGCAGCTCGAGACGCCTTACGCTGCAAGGCACCGTAGCACCAAACGGCTGGGGCGTTTTCCTTTCCACCAGACACATGCAGCTAGTAGTTGCTATGGGGGAGCGTTTAACCGGGGAAAGGAAAACAATAGGGCTTTTTTGCCCCTCGAGAAGGAGATGGCCTATCATTTGCTTTCCGTCGCATCTGTCGTGCGTCCTTGATGCTTGTGTGGAATAGAGGCCGAGCGAGGCAAACACGGAGAAATAGCACTGGTGTAAGGACAAAACTATATGTGGCAGACAGTGTAGTGCCCGTTGGGATAGCATATAAGGTAGGCGAGCTGCATGAAAGAAGCACCGCAGAGAGAGGAGGGCTGTTTCTCTGTAAACAGATTTTGGCGCCCTGAGGCTGAACAATATCTTCAGTTACTGAAGTGATGAGGTAGTGTAAAGCGAGGGCGCCAGAAAGCAACCCCGGCCGCTAGGATCCAGTGGCTTGGGACGCTGCCCCGATGAGACAACATCCACAAAAACGGTGTTAGCGCATCAAGAAAGAACCACAACGGGCTTACCTAACACGCATGCCCACGGGCATGCAAGCTTTATTCATGAAACTGGTTGTGTGGATTGGGTTTCGGGGTAAGATGGGATACAGATAATAATCAAAAATCCTGCCTTGACCTCCACTGCTTCTTTCTTTCCCCCCTCCCCGCTTTCACCAAAATGGTGGTGCGTTTCTAAACATCGTCTTCATGCGGGGGCTGACGAAGTCTCACAGCTCAGAGCAGCCACAATGTGGCTCTGTGGCGGGCTCTTGGCGGGCAGGTCCCCAAGTCCTGGTTAGATAAGAGGAGCTGACCATGCCAATCTGGAAATCTGGCCCAAGCTCTCCATTGCCAAGGCACGGTGGGGCAGCTACTGGCACAGGCCAGTTTGAAACTTTGGGGAAGCAGGGGTCATTGAGAGATACGTGTACGGAACTTGACCTTAACCTTTCTTGCAGAACGCAAAAAGTGCCAGAACCAACATCCCACCTATTCTCCGAGAGCATCAGCACGGCATCGCAGAAGGAGCAATCGTGATCCCGACACTGGCACTTGGTCCATTGGTTTCGATTATACGAACCGTTTGAGCAATTGGACGCAAACACGAGCTCGCGACTCCCCTCCGTCACCCCTCCCGCACCGCATCGCCAAAGGATCGCAACGAGCGCAACTCGGATAGACACAGTCCACCATGCAGGCCCCTCCTCCAAATGGGCAAATGCCCATGCCCACCCCAGAACAGATCCAAGAGATGCAGAGGCGACTTGCTGCCGATGCTCAGGCTGCCGGCATGACAGTTCCAGAGTTCATTGGTGAGATTCCGGTAAACAGCTAAACTTGCGACTTGAACGAAAAGCTGACGCGAAACAGAACACATCAAAAGACAGCAATATGAGCACATGATGAGAATGCAGCAGCAGGCCCAGCAGCAGCAGCAACAACAAGGCGGCGGTGGTCCTCAGCAGCAACATCAGCACCAGCACCAGCATCAACACGGCCCCCCAGCCCAAGCCCAGCCAATTGTTCCCGGCCCTCCGAATCCGCTCGCCCTTGTGCTGGCCAAGTTCCTTCGCAGCCAGGAGCTTAAGCCACGCACAGTGATTCTCAATGGCGAGCGCAAGGACATGTTCAGAGTACGACTAGCCCAATCGCTAGTTCAAATCCCTTCAGATCGCTAACTTGGGTGGTTAGGTCAAACGTGCCCTTCGCGCTCTCCAATCCGATGCCTACAAGAAGTTGCGTACCAAGAACCCTGCTCTTCCAGAGATCACCGATCGTGCCTCCCTCGAGAATGCTTTCAAGCTCCTTCCCATGTCCATGCTTGCTCTCCGCGTCGTCCAGATCGACGAGCACGAGGGCCATGACCACGCCCCTGCCAAGAAGAGCAGCAAACGCGTCAAGGGTCTCTGGACTGTACGCATTGAACCTCAACAAGAAGCAGGCGATGATATGTACTACGTTTGGCTCTGGGAAGGCAGCCAGGTCATGCGCAAGGTCTATGCCGCCCTTGCTCTCCTCATCATCTTCACTCTCGTCTGCTACCCTCTCTGGCCGGTCAAGCTGCGCCAGGGTGTGTATTACCTCAGTTGGGCTTTCCTGGTCTTCCTGGGTTTGTTCTTCGCCATGGCTATCTTCCGTGTTATTCTCTTCTGTGTCACCTACTTCGTTTTGAAACCCGGCTTCTGGCTGTTCCCTAATTTGTGGGAGGATGTTTCTGTGGTGGACAGTTTCAAGCCTGTCTGGGCCTGGCACGATGTAAGTTTTTTCCTTTCTTATGCCTTGCATTTGGAGTAAATGCTAACACAAGCACGACAGCCCAACCCTAAGAAGAAGAAGAAGAGCAAGAAGGTCAAGGCATCAGCCACTGCTGGAGCAACTTTCTCGGCTGCTACTGGCCAAGCTGCCCCTGCTACTGCTTCTGTAAACTCCACAGCTACTCAGATCGCCTCTGGCCCGACTCCTACACAACGTAGTTACCTGGCACCGAGAGTCGAGGAGCTGGAGGATGACGAGGAGTAGATAAAGTAGTTGGGAAATACGGAGGCGGGCGTTTTGGCGTGGATAATGGTAGGATAACCCTAATGGGTGGATGGTTAGGAGGCTACCCATGGATGATGATGAATACTCAAGCCTCGGTTCAATGTTCTGAGCAGGAGAACAAAGATGTGGCTTTTCAAGTTTCTGTGACACGAATGTGGGCGGCCATGTGTGCTTTATATTACTGTATTTTTTAGTTCTGATTCTTCTTCCGTCACCACATTCACATTTGAGAGTCAGCATAATTGATCCTGGGCTGTCACCAAAACATTAGTGATCCATTTCGTCGGTATCACCAATGCGCCTACCTACATCTATGTAAGCCGATCCGCCGCTCTCTAATGACCACTTGCAAGTTCCTATTGCGGTAAAGGCCGGTCAGACTGCCTCAAGCCTGCCAAATCCTCCCCATCCAATCTGGCTCGGTATGGCTAGCAGTTGCCACCCAAGGAACCTCGCCCGGTCCATATGGTTGCAGAGGCAGGTCATACGGCATCCTCAAAGCCACCTCGACGACCTCATCCTTCCCGTCATAATCTTCCTTTCCCTTGCCATCTCCATCACCACGAGTTTGTTCCGGAGGAGGGAGTGCATCCTCCAGGAAAGCAGGCTTCATCACCGCATTCTCGCCATACAACCCCGGCCAGACCAACACTCCGATTTCGTAGGAAGAGATCCGGACGGTGTTCTCTTTTGCGGAGAGGGCCTCGCCCCAGGCTTGTTTGGAGAGGTTGGCTGACGTGAGCAGGGCCCAGTCGATGTGTATGTCTGTCTCGGATGACTCCGGGGTTGGGCGGTGGGAGCGGATATAAGTTTTGATGTGGGGGGCCGCGCGCTTGCGGCCGGAGTTTTTGACTTTGGAAGCGTTGATGGCTATGTTCGGGGAGGGGGCGTTAGCTGATGGTGAAAGAAGAGGGCGGGGGGGAAACATACGCAAACCAGACGCGGAGTCGTTGGCCCAGTGGTGGAACAATGGTTTCAGATACTGGAGCTGCTTGACTTGCTGAGGGGACTGGGTTTTGGTGTGAATCGAGCCGCCGGACATGTAACCGTCGAGAGATTTTCGGATCTCGTCTGGGGTGGGGAAGACGACTTTGAAAGTGGTGGCGGGCGTGTTGCCGAGGGTGTGAAGGAAGGTGTTTTTCAACCAGGAGTCAGTTGGGCCCAAGGTGGCTATACTGGAGATCTGAATGGCAACTTCTGGTTTGTGTTCAATGGTGCTGTGAATGGGGACAGCGGCGAGAGCTGACTTCATGGCTGCCCAGCCAAAATTTGTGGAGGAGGTGGACTGAGTGACCGTGTGTCGGCCCGGAACACTAGATATTAGTGAGCCATTGATGGAGGAGAAGTCGTACTTCATGAGCTTGGTGGTGATGTCTTTGCAAGTTGGTCTTTTGGTGTCATAGGCTCGAAGATAGTTTAGAAAGTCCAGTTTAAACTTGGCTCCATTGCCTATTCTGGGCCGACCTTCGTCATGTTCGGGCTTCAGTAGAGGAAGTCTAGGAGAGAACCAGGCTCCTTGTGTCATGTTTGTCCAGTCTCTTGTGATGAGGTTGGCTGTATGTATGACGAGCTGGGCTGTATCGTCGTGTCTGAGAAGGATGAACATCTTGGAATGATGTGTACCGAACATTTCGGGAAGAAATGCTGCATGGAGGGTGACATTGTTGAAGCGAGCGGCAGATTCCTGCGAATGTCAGATATGTGTAGTATGAGTATCTTGAGAAAAGGCATTGTAGTGGGACGAGATATTGTTCATGAAATTGTAATTTGTTATGATGATATACATATACACATTGGTGAGAACACGATGATGTATAATGAGGAGTAAACCTACTTGGAGCGCCAACCTATTCGGGTCCTCCCTCTTCCAGAACCCATGAACAACATGGACTTTTACGAGACTTCGAACATCCTCATCAAAGGCTGACATGAGGAAGTCGATATCGTGGAGGTAGTTGAACTCCCAACATTCTGATATCAAAGGGTCCCCCAGGACATCCCGCAACGTATAGGTATCCTTGTTCAACCCCGCGGGAAGATCTTTGATCTTTGTTAACTGAAAAGGCGACCCAACAGACTTGAACGGCGGGTGGTATTTGGCTTCGGTGGGTGTGTCTGGTAGTCGCCGTTTCTTGAGTGGGGGGCTTATGGGATGTGTAAGTGACTGAGGAGCCGACCGTTGCTGATTATCGTTTTGGCCATCTTCATCTCCATCGCTGACGCGCCTTTTCCTTGCCGATGCCATGATGCGTGAGTCTTGCTGAGTCTGAAGTCAAAACTAGCCGGTTCAACGATAGCTAATAACTGCCGATCAGAGATACGAGTTAATGTTGGAGATGGCGTTTAGGTTCGCAGGTGCCACCAGCCGTCAGCTCTGCAAGATTCGGCGGGCTTAGATAATTGGACCCGAAACTATTCAGACGAGAACGCCAGCAGAGAAAAAGCAGGGTCTATTCGGCTGCAAAGATTCATCGTCTATCCCAATGATGTTTTGATACTCTGTTTTGATGTCTTTCAACGGGGATGGCAGGTACATAATTCCACACAGTGCCGCAATATCGGGAGTGGGGATCTGTCTTTGAGGATCTGACTGGGAAGTGGGTCACGGTGCCTTGGCATTTAGCGCTAAGCCGGCTAGCGTGCTGCCTTGAAATTGAGGCGGGCAAATCGACCTGGCCAGACGCCCCCTAGCAGGTACGTGTCGGAAATCTTTGGACGGGAGACTTGTTTCGCCTCCTGAATCCCCCATTGCCCAAACCCATCCCACATTCCACGAAGCCATTCACGACGACGCTGCTACCGGAAGCATGCACTTTTTAGACCACAACCGGACCAAAATCTAGACTGTGCGACCCTTCGAGAACAGCTCAACACCTATCTGTACACTGGTACCCCTTTCACACGAAACAGGGATCCCACTGCCGTTATCCCCGGAAGCTGTTGGATACCACTCCACGCAGCCCAGCAGCAGTGCTCCAAATGTCCAGGTAGACGGGCCCTCCAAACAGAGCTTCTACCGACGACACCGTCACCGGCGCCCCTTTTTTGCAGTTGATCTGCCGGTGCCAGGTGCCCAGTTCCCGATATCAGAGCGAGCGCGACTTACGCGATCGGGTTTAATTCACAATGAGGCTACGCAACCTCTTTGTCTTCGGGGCGGCCGCGCTGGCGACCGCCTCACCACCATCAGCCGACACGGAGGAGGATATCACACGAGAAAACACATACTTCAATGGCAAGAAGGTTCCACCGATTTTGGAACTCACCCCGGCCAATTACAAGGAGGAATTAAAAAAGTCAAAGTTCCTGATGGTCAAACACTTCAGGTATTATGCCCGCCTCCTCTTCGGTTTTCTCCTGTCCTGATAAAAGCTGACTCCCGTAGCCCGTGGTGCGGACATTGCCAGGAATTTTTGCCGACCTTCCAGACGTTGTACGAGTATTACTACACATCGAAGCCAGTGGGCAAGGATGCCGACTTCACCGAGTTCTATGATTTCAGATTCGCTGAACTCAACTGCGTCGCGTACGCCGATTTATGTACTGAGAACAAGGTCGCCGCATGGCCAACAACTATTTTGTTTGAGGATGGCGAGCCTTTGGTCACCTTTAGGGGCGTCAAGCACATTAGTGTTCTCAGTGGTGCTGTCGAAGATGCGCTCGAGAAGGTGAAGCCCAACACCAGGCCCAAAACCCTCGAGCTCCCCGAACCTGGCGACAAGACATCCCCTGATTCCAAGGCCGAAACCGAGAAGACCGAGAAGGCAGATGCCAGGGAAAAGGGGTCTGAAAAAGAGCTGGTCAAGGAAACTGAGAAGGAGAAGGAGACCGAAACCTCCACCGCCGCCAGCGCCGATGCTTCAACGGAAGGGGAAGCGACACCAAAGAAGACCTACACTGTCAACTACAATACCCCTTCGCAGAAGGTCACCCCTAAGCCGTCGAACCCCAACCCCAAGGGTCTCTCCGTTCCTCTGACTTGGGAATTGTTCCAAAGCATGGTTACCCTCACCCAGGAGCCTTGGTTTGTCAAGTTTTATGCACCATGGTGTCACCACTGCCAGGCTATGGCCCCGAATTGGGAGCAGTTGGCCAAGGAAATGAAGGGCAGGCTCAACATTGGTGAGGTCAACTGCGACCGCGACACTAGGCTTTGCAAGGAACTCCGCGTCCGTGGCTATCCTTCCATCATGTTCTTCAAGGGCGGTGAGAAGGTCGAGTACGAGGGCCTTCGCGGGCTGGGCGACTTTGTCCAGTATGCTGAAAAGGCCATTGATCTCTCCAGCGGGGTTCCGGATGTCGATTTCGACTCTTTCAAGGCTCTCGAAGAGAAGGAGGAGGTCATTTTCCTCTACTTCTACGATCATGCTACCACCAGCGAAGACTTCCTTTCGTTGGAGCGTTATCCTCTCAGCCTTATTGGCAAAGCCAAGTTGGTCAAGACCCGGGATCCCAAGTTGTATGATCGATACAAGATTACCACTTGGCCACGTCTGATTGTTTCGCGCGAGGGCCGCCCGACTTACTACACTCCTCTCGCGCCTAGGGAAATGAGGGATACCAGAATGGTTCTCAACTGGATGAAGTCCGTCTGGCTCCCCCTTGTTCCCGAGCTTACCCCGTCCAACGCCCGCGACATCATGGACGGCAAGATCGTTGTTCTGGGGGTTCTAAACAGAGAGAATGAGGATTCTTTCCGTGGCGCTATCCGTGAGATGAAGAGTGCGGCCAACGAGTGGATGGATAAGCAGATTCAGCTCTTCCAGATCCATCGCCAGGACCTTCGTGACGCCAAGCAGCTCCGCATCGAGGAGGCCGAGGATCGTGGTGACCAGCGGGCTCTGCGCAACGCCAAGAACATTCGCATCAACATGGACAGGTCGGACATGAAAGAGGCTACCTTTGCCTGGGTTGACGGCAACTTCTGGCAGCGGTGGATTCGCACCACTTATGGCATTGATGCCAAGGACGGTGACCGTGTTATCATCAACGATGAAGATGTAAGTTCTCTCATTAGTGATTCATGTCGAGGTGACCTTGACTAACGAGTTGCGATATAGAAACGCCGGTATTGGGACCAAACTAGCACTGGAAACCCCATTGTTCCCTCGCGCACATCCATCCTTGAAACCCTCAACAAGGTCACAGTCAACCCACCAAAGCTCAAGCCGAAGCTTACCATTGGTGTGATTGAGAAGATGTTCTTCGATATCAAGATGACCTTCAAGGAGCATCCCTATCTCAGCATGGGCTGCATCCTTGGCATCGCTTTTGGTCTCTTCCAGTGGCTCATGGGAAGAACCACAAGAAGAGCCCGCAGTCACTTTAAGCTCGAGGAGGGCGTTGGAATGAAGGAATCGAAGCCCTCCACGTTGTTTGGCGGATCAAGCAACACTGCCACCAAAGCGGACTAGATTTGATTGTGGATGATTAACGACCACCCACCTTTTTTCATTATGGGGTGGTGTCTGGATTTTTTTGGGAAAGCAAAAAGGGAAAGCGAACGATCATCATGCCTGTCTGTCTTGTGTTTGTCTTGGTTTGTGCTCTTGCTTGGTAGTATGCGGTATAAAGTTAGGTTCTGTATAAATACACCAGGGGCCCGAACGGTAACAATACCGAAAGGAAGGATACCGAATCGGTTGGTGGGGCTAGGACCGGAAGGGAACGGGGGTCTACGGAGGGGTTATTGCATATTAATCAGTGTTTATCTTCCTGGCTCATGGGAGCGTGTTTATCTTCTTGCTTCTTGTTTTTCCTTCCCTCATTGTGTGGTTTACTCGAGACTTTTGTTTGTTGAATGAGACGGGGAAAGAGGCTTCGTCCGGATTATGGCTGGATGGATGCGGCATTGTAGATATGGAGTTTCTGAATTCATCTGGGGTTACATCACCTATGGAACCACTCTGGTGATATTTCCCAAAACTTGTCAAAGCCTTGCGGTTAATGGCATTGCGTTTCGTGTGATTGTCACCATGGCGAGCTGAATTATTGAGCCGAAGACTCCGTGTGAGACTGGACATTGCAGTACATTCATAGGCATCAGCAGGCTCGACATAAGTTGTGCCCAGCGAACCCTCTCACGCGATTGGAGAGGGCACTCTCAGGATAAATGAGGGTGTGCATTCCCGAGTCTCGTGGCGATAGATACATCAAAAGAGATTGCTCGCCCAGTCTTGCCAAACCATGAAAAGTGTGAAAACAACCAAGGAAAACGGACTTTGCAGTCATTGCCTATCTTTCTTTGACACCACCCGCTGCCTTTTACGAATAATGGAACACTGGAAAAGAAAATGAAACTTCTGGTTTGAAACGAAACGTGCTGAAAACCTGGAATCCCACAGTTTTTTGGAGGGTGACCTCCGTGGTGGTACCTCGTACCGTCTCTACTGGCCCCTTCAAACCCAAGCTCCCTCAACAGCCGTAGACGATCCGCTAACCAGCCCGACCTTGCTTCGTTCAACTCCTACTCCTGAGCCCTGGCGCCGTACAAGCCTCTTAGGCACCCGCAGTCGTCCGGCTTTGCTGGGTCTGGAGTAAAATCTCCTTATAGAAGAGGGTAACCCCCCTCTTCGTGGCCGCATCAACGCTGGTCCTGCTAAAGTTTGGAATTTTGCCCACCTCGACGTAGCCGCAGCTCTTGAATGCCAGCTCGGAGGCGGAATCTGTCTCTGTTTTCGCCGTCTTTTGTCGGCGTGTAGCCAGATTCGTTAGCATACCTTCATATCCTTTCTTCTCTCCACAAAAAAAAAAAAAAAAAACCAAAAACAGTAACAAAGTCTGTGAAGAAAGTAGGGTAGGTACTCACCAACAGCGACCTCCCCTTCCTCGCGCTCTCATACTCGCACGCTTGAATCAAACTCCTCCCCCCTCCTTGCCTCCTGAACTTTTGGCCAACAATCAGCAGGTCGATGACACCTCGGAAATCACCAGCTTGCGACTGATCAAGCTCGACCATGGCTATCCCGCGGAGGTCCTCGCCCTTTGGCTTCTGGTTTGCATTCTCGGACGGAGGCAGCAGCAGGATGATGATGCGGGTCCGGGCTTGATGCTCTGCTATCCGGTCTTTCCACCAGATCAGGAGGCGTTCGAGGGACAGGGGAGGTAAAAAGGGGCCGATGGCGGTGGTGCGGTCGATGTTGATGCCTGAGGCGTAGATGGCGGCCATGTAAGGAATTAGGTGAGCGTGGTGCTCGGGGTGGAAGACGGATGTCTGAGATGGGGACGTCATGGTGACAGATTTTGTATATGATTCAAACTGATGCGGCTTGTAGTTGACCTGTAAACTCTGTTTCGGTGTGTGGCTGTTATGGTGCTTGCATCTCGGGCTATGGTGGTGTTGTCAGAGTCATAGGGGAAGCACAAGTGAAAGTGATGTCCAGAGAACTCGTGAGATATTTACTGATGCTGTGGGTCAGGTTAACCAGGGGGGAGCACTTAAGGTGACAATAAAGGTAAGAAAAGAACATTTAAATATCTCAGAGAACAAGCATGCTGAGATGGGCAAGGACAGTCGAGGTATAAAACATTGCTTCTTCCTGGGAGAAGATGGGGGGGAGGGGGGTGTGATAGGGAGGGGAGGGTGGGGGGCATCACTGCTTCTTGAACCATGGCTCAACAGACGGGAAAGCGAGAGGTAAACGACGAACCTTGGGGGGGCAGTATTTGGTCGTGTGCACTCGCAAATCTGGATTCACAGGCCATCAAGCTTCACCGGTCCTTCGTGATAGGGACGGGATGTTGGGAGCAGGCGGGAAAGGTTCTTTGCATCTGCATATGCGTATGCATGCAGATGTATAGTATTGTTCTGTTGAGATGCGGTTAAGTGGCTTGTCCGTCATCGGGGAATGGGAAGCTGCTCCCCCTTGCTGCCAGGGACACAGCACCATCTACACACCATTCCCACACTTGCCAGCCCAAGATATGGAAGGTCCCGTCACAATGCTGCAGAAAAAAAAAACCTAAGAAACAGGGACAGCCAGGGGTTCCCGCTTGGTTTAAGGCTGAATTAGGACCTTGTTCCCAGTTCGCAGTGGCTGCCACATCCACGTTAGTGCGGGGGTTCTCTTCAGCAAACAGGGTCTCTTATCATGATTTCTTCGAGTCCCATTCTGGATTTCTCTCCTGCTGCGAGGATCCGAATGTTTTCCTCTCACCGAATTGCAACACCTTAACAAAAACGGTCTTCCACAACCGATGCTTGTGTGACAGGTGAGGTTGTTGATGCAGATCATTCCGGGCCTGGCATCGGCGGCCACTTAGCCCGCGGGTGCGTGGGCTTCCTTCGGCAAGACGCGCGCAGCGACCTCGGGCCCTTTGCTTACCGACATGACGCCCACTACGACTTACCAGCCACTGGACCGCCAATACAACCTCACCACGCTCACTCCCTACGGGTTCTTTGACCAGGAGCATGGATTTCAGGAGGCATGGAAAGTGTGGCACTTGACCGCTGTCATGATCATTCTTTCACGCTTCCCGTTGCACAATCACAGTCACGGCCCCGATGAGAATGCTGTGCTGGGTTGAACATCGGGCAATGCCGGCTTTACTTCACGACGTCAACTCTCTGATGTACGCTTAACCGTCGTCACATGCGGTCCCACCACGACAACTTCATGCTATTGCTTGGTACGGAGTAGATCAAATTCACCGTCCCAATACCCGCCACACAGCCGCAGAATGCAAGTCAGGATCAGTGAGTGGGCTTGCGGATGGGGATTCCCGCTTCCGGACCGGTCTTCAGCCCTATCAGACTGGCAGTTGCTGTCGCATCTGCTTCATGCTCGATCAGATGGGCCGTTCCCGTCAGCGTAGCGAATGGCCTCCCGTCGTTGCAAGACCACTGTTGACTCCGAGTACGACGGCTTTCCCATTGGCAGCCCGGCAGCCCGGCATCTCGGCGGACGGCGACACAGTCAGCTTGATCCTACCTGCGATACCATTGGGACTTCTCGCAGCTCTAATGGGGCCAAGAAGGCGGCTGGTGATAACACCATATCGATTACTGTGCTGATGAGGGGCATCCTTGCCTCAGCTCAGCTGGCCATTGACATGCGCAGTCTTGGAGACTGGATACCATTTTTCTTGCCGTTTCTAGTTTCGGATTGCATTGCTTGGGAATATTAGGTGCAGATTCCGTCGTCTTATCCACTTTCTGGTTTTATCGTACGGTATTTTCTCCCGTCTTTTTCTTCCTCACTCTGCTGTCCTCGTGCGGTCGTCGTCGGCTGCCTCCCGTTCTGCTACGTTGAAATAGTTCCCGTTCGGCCCCGCCCCCGCCCCCGCAACACCAACACAACATCAACGCACGCTGTTGATCATTACTGTGAACCGCCTGTCGACAGCTCGTCACTAGCCCTTTTGGCACCATGGTTATCCACTCCCTCCTTCGCAAGGCCAAGCAGGGGCTCAATGACATTTTGCCCGGAGAGGACAAGCATTCGCACACGCACGAGGGTTACCAATGTCGTGAGAGCGAGTGTGCAGAATTCAGCGAGAACCGCCATTGCTCGTTTGCCCCTCGGTCGAGAGGGAATGCGAAGTGGTATGTGGATGGCGCAACCTACTTTTGGGCCATCTCCATGGCTATTGAAGGTTCATAACACCCCCCCCCCCCCCCATGTCTCATCAGTCACACTCAAGACATCCGCTAATCCGATCCAGAGGCCCGAGAGTCCATCTACATTCTCGATTGGTGGCTGAGGTAATGCCGACCCGTCCTCACCGTCCCAGAAGGAATCTTGTTTGGGTCTTGTGACAACCAGCTGACCGCTTCGTATTTGCACATCACAGCCCCGAACTGTACCTGCGCCGACCCCCGGCCCAGAATGAGAAATACCGCCTGGACAGACTGCTCAAAGCCGCTGCTGAGCGAGGGGTGAGGGTCTATGTACTCGTCTACAAGGAGGTCGAGGCTGCTTTGACTCGTGAGTTCATCTTGACACGGACACGCAGGGGTATCCATACTCATCACTGTCATAGTAAACTCGGCTGTAAGAGACAATGCTTACCCGTTGACGCTAAACCTGACTTGATCAGAAACTGAAACCGTGACAGCACACCAAGAATCATCTTCAGGGACTCCATCCCAACATCAAAGTGTTCAGATATCCCGACCATCATCCAGCCAAGAATGTTGTCTCGGGCCTCCAAGACCTCCACACAAGTCTCGTGAGCCTCGATCTCAAGAACTTCAACCTTGCCAAAGCATCACAGAGCGCTGTTGAGGGTCTGTATGGTACCGCCGATGATGTGGTTCTTTTCTGGGCACACCATGAAAAGCTCTGTCTCGTTGACGGCAGGGTGGCTTTCATGGGTGGCTTAGATATGTGTAAGTCCCAGTGGTAACTGCAAGACCTGAATATCTGCTAACAACATGTCAAGGCTTTGGTAGATACGACACGAACAGTAAGTCTCGTGTGTATAAATAGTCCAAGGACATCAGCTCACCATAATAGGCCATCCCATTGCCGACGCGCACCCAGGTAATCTGGACAACATCATTTTCCCGGGACAAGATTTCAACAATGCGAGAGTGTATGATTTTGAGGAGGTCAACAAATGGGAAAACAACAAGCGTAAGTGGAAGCAACACTTGCCATTCAGTTGGTTGATACTGACAATTCTAGTCGACCGGACTAAGGCATCGAGAATGGGGTGGGCCGACGTTGCTATCAGCTTGTCTGGGCCGATTGTGGACAGCTTGGCCACGCATTTCTGTGAACGATGGTTCGTTGCAGCCTCCCGCGTGTTGCCCGGTGTACTAACCCAAAGCTAGGAACTACATCTTTGACAAGAAATACTCCGGTCGTACTAACTTGAAGGTCCACCGTCTCACGGCCCCTGGAGTTCAAAAACACTCCGATTATGGCGCCCATGCCTTGATGGATCAAGGAGAGGAGCTCCTGGGCGGCGTTCAGTCCAAGATCACTTCCAAGCTGGGCAAATTCTGGGGAGGAGGCGGAGAAGAGGCCGGTGTTTCTCAGGTCCAGGCGCCGCCTCATCCTCCTGTCTGCAATGCCAATGAGCACGGCATCGCCAACATCCAATTGGCGAGAAGTGTCTCGAAGTGGTCGCTTGGTGTGAGAACCGAGCATTCTATCGCCAACGCCTACATTGACGCCATCACGAACGCTAAGCACTTTGTGTACATTGAGAATCAGGTACTGGTCTTGTTTATTGTTCAGGGCTATATCGGGCGCTAACCTCTCGGTAGTTCTTCATCACAGCCACCTCCAACAAGCAGAGACCGGTTCGCAACAAGATCGGCAAAGCCATCGTCGATCGTGTCTTGCGTGCTCACATAAACAATGAAGACTTCCAGATCATTATCATGATGCCTGCGGTTCCTGCCTTTGCTGGCGATCTCAAGTCTGAAGGTGCCCTTGGCACCCGCGCGATTATGGAGTTCCAGTACAACAGCATCAACCGCGGCGGCAGCAGTATCATCGAGACACTCAGAAGGGAAGGCGTCCATGACCCTTACAGGTACATCAACTGGTACAATCTCCGCAACTATGACCGCATCAACAGAAGTCAGATCATGACCCGTGCCGAACGCGAGAGCGGGGTCAGCTACGAAGCTGCCCATCGCGATTTTGAGGACCGGTACAACTCCTCAAACTCTGGCGGGAACAATAGCTACTACCGTCGCTACCAAGCGACCGCGACTTCCCTGACCGACCAGAGCTGGGACACCGTCTCGCCCTGCTACATGGAGAGCGGCCTGTCCATCCTCGGCGTTCCATGGACTGGTAGCCCCGAGGATGAGCTCGATGCCTTTGTCTCTGAGCAGCTTTACATCCACACCAAGGTCCTCATCGCTGACGACCAGCTGGTCATCTGCGGTTCTGCCAACCTCAACGACCGCTCTCAGCTCGGCGACCACGACTCCGAAATTGCCGTCATCATCGAGGACCCGACGCCGATCAGAACTTATATGAATGGCCGCCCGTACACAGCTTCCCAGTTTGCCACCTCCCTCCGCCGCTTCCTCTACCGCAAGCACCTCGGTCTCGTTCCCCACCAGCATCCCGACCGTCCTGACATCAACTGGACGCCTGTCACCCACGACGCGGTCAATCATTACGACTGGGACTCCCCTTCGGACCGCCTCGTCGCTGACCCTCTTTCGCCCGACTTCATCAACTTGTGGCGTGGCACCGCCCGCCGCAACACCGAAATCTTCAGCAGGGCCTTCCACCCTGTCCCCAACGACAAGGTCAGGACTTGGGAGGATTACGACAACTTCTTCTCCAAGCACTTTGTCATCCCCGGTGAGCCGGCCGAGCAGGCAGAGGAAGGGTACAAGAACGGCAAGGTCGACTACGGGCACGTTGTCAGGGAGAACTTTCCCGGTGGTGTGGGTGAGCTAAAGATGTGGCTCAGCGGCATCAGGGGCAACCTTGTGGAGATGCCGCTCAACTTCTTGATTGACGTCCCTGACATCGCGGAGGATGGGCTGGCGCTGAACAGCTTGACGGATGAGCTTTATACCTGATGATACCTTAGGTGGCTTGGATAGAATGGTCTGATTTGGTGCTGGCTAGCTGGTCAGTTGTCGTGAAGCAATACATGTTCTTTCTCGTTCTCTACCCTCTTCGTTCTTGTGGCATCAGTCTTGTGGCTATGCCTCCAGTAAAATGTCGCCAACACGGAAGCATAGTCTCCCCGCCGTGGAAAAATGATTCGCCTTCAACATCAAGAAAGGTGTCGAGTCCAATTCGTACTGAACAGACCAACCAAGACTGTCGGGGGCAGCACCTTCCAACGCTCCCTCTCTATCCTAGCATTTTTGCTGCGCCGGGAGAGACAGACAAGCAGGTGGCCACGCTGGTAGAGAGGTCCGGCTTCGAGTCTCGGCGCCCAATTCTTTTTCGGAGCTGGTCTTTGACCTACTTTAACCCTATATTTTTGTTTAGCCAATACACACATGAACATCTTCTCCGAAGCCACGCAAAGAACAGCACCTCATTTCCCAAAGCCAAAACATGCTATATAAATCTAACCCCCCTGTTCACTGAAGAGGTATATCTATTCGACCCAAACAAGACCGACAATCTGAATACAAGACACCAAACTCTCGCTGATCATCAAACCTCTTACACATACCCCTCCCTACCCCCTAGGACACAATACCTCCCCAAAAACGCCCAAAACGACCCAGGCAAACCACCCTCTACACAGTTCGTGATCTCACCCTCGTCTTTTGCTTCCGCGGTGGCGCTCCCGGCACCGGCAGATCCGGCTAATTCGGCAACGTGAAGGCCGGGTTTACCGACATGTTAAAGTTCGCAGCTGCGGGTGCGGGTGCTTGCCAATAAGTAGCTATGGCATTTTGGAACGCCGTTGGCGTCAATACTATTATGATTGAGGTGTCAGAACTTGGGGCCGCATGAACCTGAGTATTCACTGGCGTCGTTGTTGTAGCTGGGGGAGTCCTCCTCTCAGCCGGAGCTGTGGTGTGATGGAATCACATGCCAAAGAGCCATTCCCAACAAAAGCTAAAAGATGGTGAGGAATATCAAGAGAGAGGAGAGGCGGGCGAGGGGCAATCTGAGGGCACGAAAAAGAATGTGAAGCATGTTTGCGTGAAATAGTTGAGTGACAGGGTGCGCAGCTCGGTGATGAACTCGTTGAAGGGTATGAATAGATTTCCAATGATTAGATGACAGCTCTTTGGCGCCAATGTTATACCTCTCGCGATATAATCAGCGGCGGTGCATCTAGTTACCGCCAACAGCCTCGGGTTCCTTGTTGGCGTCATAGCCGTACTTGGTCTTCATCTCCTCAATCTTGGCCACGTACTGCTCCTGAGCCTGCTCGGGGGTCAAGCCCTTGTTGTCAACGTCTTGCCAGGCGTTGTACTTGGCCTTGCCCTGTTATGGTGATGTCGGGTTAGCGGGTGCCGCGGAGGGAACATAGAGGAGGAGGTGGACGCACTTTGAGGTCGAACATGCCAGGCTTGGCGGCATCGGCAATCTTCTCGCCAGTGGCGACCTTGTAGAGACCTGAAGAGCACAACATGTTAGATGACGCTGACAGACTAGTGTAAGGAGTGACTGGACGTACCATAGATCTCGAGGAGATCCTCGTTGGAGGGCTTGGAAGTCAACTTCTTGGAGTCGACAACAGCCTTCTGGAAAGCTTCGCTCTGAGCCATTTTTGCGGTAGTGTGTGAAGGGTTTGGAAAAGGGAAATCTCTAGTGCCTGCTGTGCTGAGTGCTGGTTGTATAGTTAGGGAATCTGTCAAGTGTCGCAAGTGTTGAGGAGAAGAGATCTGGACCTGTTTGTTGGGGTCATGGCGGGGTCAGCTAGGTCAGGCACGGGGTGCTTAAGCCGGAAAGCGCGGGGTCAATTGCTTGTCCTGACCATGTGGAGCACATGCGAGCATGTGAGTGGAAGGGAGGTGGGCCGTGAGGTCATCCTCCATCCAAATCCGAACACAAGACGGGCTTGTCAGACGGGAACGGAGTTTTCGAGAGAGAGTCTGATAGCGGGAGGCAGGTGGAAATAAGGATGCTTGTTGAGAGGGCATTTGAGCGTTCCCACAATACCATCGTACGAACACGGAGCCTCAACTTAAGGGCCATCGAAATCTCCAAGCACCGGTGCACTGGCAGTCTCTCCATCTTGGTGTGAGATCCATCAACACAATGACCTCAAAACGATGACAGGAAGCAGGTTTGAGAAAAGTATGTTACCGGAAGGATACAGCCACCATCATACATTTCCAGTCAAGAAATTTGGGAGCGGCCAGTGGTGGCTTTATGTTGGCAACGTGACAGCAAGGACAGACTCTTAAGAGCTTCGAATCTCACCACCCCAGGCTTCATGCAATGCATTATGCGGCCAGAAAAACAATGTGCAGTCGACACGAACAATCAGCCACTTATCGACAGATTCTCGTAGGTGTCTTCCAAACATGGCAAAACATGGGGTGCTTCGGTCCCGAGCAATAGACAACGTTCAGTCAGAAGAAGGTTCGGACGACATCTGCTCTTCCAGCTTTGTTCGGCTCATCCAGTGACCGCCCGAGCCGCCAAGCATTGGTGCATCTCACAGGGGTAGGGCTATTTTGGGATTAGCTTTCTTTTCCCACCACCGTCGGCACATCGGTGGCAATTAGCTCCGGGGTTGGGGTTTCGGGCCCGTCCCGTCTTGTTTATCGACCCCCTGGCCATCAAGGCTGTGATGACAGATGCTATCGTGCTTTTTGCACCTGGATTTCCAATTTTCATGTCATCAAGGCTCCTTGATGACTGATGGATGGCGTTTCCCCCCCGTTTCTTTGCTCTCCCTTCCACGTGGTCCGTTATTTTGTCCAAATACCGGCACGGGCTGTTGATGAACCTCTTGGATCGACATCCAGAATCCCGTCTTCTTAACAAGGGAGCGCAGCCAGAGGGGACACGAAATCAACAACGTTGGCTGTTGGCTAGCAGCATGCATCGCCGTATCATCCCAGGAACAAGCCACTGGATTGTCGTCTGACGGTGCTAATATCTCCCTTTTTTGTCGCATTGACACAAGACTATCGATAGTTGAGCTGAATTAGGTAGCATCATGCTGTGTCTCTGTATCTGAGACCGAGCCATGCATATTCAAGCGACAGCTCGCGCAACACGCAGTCACCCACCGTCCGTTTGAGTTCGTCTCAGATGCCGGGCCCCAAGTAAAATCCATAGCTTGTACAGTTTCGCTGGGTATAAGAGGGAAGGGGCTCCCGTCACACTCATCCGTACACCGTTTCCTTTCTCAAATCTCCGAATCTGCAACACCTGCAAACCAACAACAAGATAACAACCACCACCACATCACCAAAACAATGGCAGACAATAAAACAGTCGTAATTCTGGGTGGTTCCCTCGGTGGACTTCACGTCGCCCATGCACTCCTCAAGAAGCATCAACAATACCCCAACTTACGGGTCATCCTCGTCTCCAAAGCAAGTCGCCTGCACGTGACCCCCCTCATCGTCACCACATGTCCTAACCCCCCTTCACCTCTAGAACACTCATTTTTACTGGAACATCGCCTCCGTCCGCGCCATTATCCCTGGTCAAATCCCAGACCAAAAGATGCTCCGCGAACTCTCCGAAGCCCTCCAGCCATACCCCAGCAACATGTACGAGCTCGTCATCGGCGAAGCCATCTCCTCTGATTTCACCGCCAAGACCGTCAAAGTCCAGCTCAGCAACAGCGCTGCCGACGCTCAAACCCGTGAAATCGTCTACGACCACCTCGTTCTCGCCACTGGAGCCCGCTACACAAACGACACCCCCTGGAAGGCCAACTCCGACTATCAATCCCTGATCAGCCTCCTCCACGAAACCGCCTCCAGGGTCGAGAAAGCCGGCCATATCATCGTTGCCGGCGCGGGAGCCACAGGTGTGGAAGTAGCCGGCGAGCTGGGGTACGAATACGGCAAGACCAAGACCATCACCCTTTTGGCTTCTGGCCAGCACGTCCTCCCCGGCGAGCAGGAATCTCTCAGTACCGCTACCGAGAACGAGCTGAAGAAGCTGAACGTCACTGTGCAGAAGGGGGCTCGTGTAAAGGATGTTGCTCGCTCTGCCGACGACAAGTACACGATCCAGCTGGAGAACGGCCAAAACCTCGAGTGCAACCTCTACCTGCCCACGCAGGGCATGGTGCCCAACTCGGATTACGTCGATACGAAGCACCTCGACCCCAAAACCAAGACGGTGCTCGTGGATGAGTTCCTTCATGTGACTGGTGTGCCGGGGAATAACGTTTGGGCGGTGGGGGATATCGTCAGTAAGCCGAGAGCTGGCTTTATGATCACACAGAAGCAGGCCTCGTCTGTGGCCAAGAATGTTGAGTTGAGCCTGCTTCAGGGCAAGGAGCCTGTCCCTGCCAAGGGCCCACCAGTTGACATTCTCGCCTGCGCGGTTGGCCGGGGGAGAGGCGTGGGCAGGATGGGCTCGATCAGACTGCCTAGCTTTGGCGTTTGGTTGGCGAAGGGGAGAACGTTGGGGATGCAGTTGGTGGACCAGTACATCAGTGGCAGTATTGCTTAGGAGCGCGGCTCCAGAGCCGGCAGGCAAATCAGAAAACGGAAGAGAAAGGGCGGACAGACGAGCAAGCAGTTATACCCATGATGAACTTTGGTGTGTGCTTTACAGGCGATGGACGGAATGGCTTTTGTTTTCCCCTCGATACAGAGAATCAACCTAATACCATAATGAAGAACCCGAATACATCAATGCCAGGAAACTCGCTCGTCATTGTGAACCACTATACATTATTACCCGCCTTGCATCACCGAGAGATCTTCTCCTCCTCAATCTCCCTCCTCAACTGCTCAAGAACTTCCTGTCTCGACCTCAAATGCGACTCCAATCCCTCCACTTGCTCCCTCACGGTCTGGAGGTCTTCGCTGACGCTTTTCAGGTTGCTTCCTGTCCTGCTCTTCCCCTTGCCTTCTTCCAAGTCTCGCAGCTCCTTTCTCTTGTAATCCAAAAGTTGCTCCAACTCCCTCTTGACCAGCGCTGGCTTGGAGTCCCGCTTGCCACCTTTCCTCGCCTCAACCCCTTGCTCAATCCTGGCAAGCTTGTCCTCCAGCTCCTGCAGCTGCTTCTTCAGCCTGACCTCCTCCCACTCGGCATCGCTGTTTTTCGTCGTGGTGAAATCCGTGCCCTTGGATGTGAACCCGCTTCTCCCCAACCGAGTGAGATATTGGTCACCAAACTTTGCCTTTCTGCCTGTTGATGTCTCGTCGTCGGCCTTGGTGGCCCACCGCGACTTGGCGGCTTGGTTGTCGACTTGGTAGTCGATTTGATTTCGCTCAAAGCTCGCTCGGAGGGAGGCCGGGACGGTGCGCGGGATGCGGTAGCCCTCGTGTCGGTAGTTGAGGATGTGCAAGAACGCCAGGCAGGCGTCCTTGTTGATCGTCTGCGAGGCGTTGGGGTTGATGAGGTTCCACGCTGATCGGACGTCTGTGTCCGGCACGTCCAGGCTGTTGTAGAGATCGCTGAGGGCCTCGACTAGTTCTCATGTGTTAGCATCTCCTCAACCACCCAGTGGGTAATGAGACCAAGTCAACACTAACAATTAATCTCCCCCCTCATATCCCTCCCCTCCCTATACACCGCCTCATACCTGCTCTTGTCCTCCGGGCTCATATACCAATCAAATCCGTCCTTCAACCCCTCCTCCTCCTCCTCATCCTCCACCCGTTCCATCTTTGGCTCCTGTCCCCTAATCGCCTTGTTCGCGCTCACCAAATGGCTCTTGCTCTCCGGGACCAGCCAGTCCGGCAGCACTTTGGGGACATCAGCGTACTCCCCGTTGAGCAAATCGAAAATAACCCTCATCGCGACGCAAAACTCCTCAAAGTCAAGGTTGCCGTCGTTATCCACATCGGCGAGATCCCACACCCGCTCGAGCTGGTCGTCGCGGAGCCCAGAGTTCTTGAGGACGGGCGCGGCCATCTCGCCCGTGAGGAACTGCCCTCCATTGGTGCGGGTCGAGAAAATGTTCCAGTAGGTTTCGATTTCTTGGGGTTCGATTCGGGGCGCCATGGTCGGTCGATGCTTCAGTTGGCCCGGGTTGGGAAACTTGTTGTACTCGGAAGGCGGACCAAATTACGGGGGACTCGGGGCGGTCGAGCGGTTACAACGGCCGGTACGACGAACGTTCGGGAAAGATGGGAGCTGGAATTGACAAGTTTCTGTAGTTTGTTCAAGAATTATAGTAAAAGACTGCAGGCCTTGTCTTTATCGACGTCGTGGGGTGCCGATGGCGCAGCAGGTTGCAGAGCGGGAAGCTTGGAGGTTGGACCGGCCACAACCAAGAGCTGACGTCTCTCCAGCCCAGCGCCAGCCAAGTAATTAAACTGCGCGCGAGCACTGCTTGTGGCGCGCCGCAAGCTGATCCCTGTCAAAACGCCCCCTTTTCTGGAGGCAGACTGTGGCACGCGCACGAGCACCTTGAGCTGTGCGTTGTATGCGAAATGTCTTTGTGATCCGTGTTTTTTTTACTAAGGTTCTGCTATTATTTGATATACAAGCTTGCATTAACTAAATAGTTAAAATATACCTTTAACTAAAATTTAATGGCTATTAATATTTATACTGTATGAAAAAGGGTACTAAACGTATAGCAATATTAAGCTATATAATATACTATATTTTTTATTACTTTAATTATATTTTAGCATATATATAGCTAAGAGTATGTATTTTAGGCTAGCATTGGCTTTTAATTGGAGGTACTATTCTTAACACTAAGCGGCGGTAACTATAACTTTGTAAAAAGGTAATAGCTATATATTTAAACTATTAAAATTATTAATTTAACTATATCGTTATCACAAAAGTAGTCTAAAATAACTTTAGTTAATAGACAATATTAAATGTATTAATTAGTATATACTAGCTTGATTATTAGGCCCTTGTATAGCTTTTCGTAGCTAATTGAACGTATTTTAGGCCTTTAGTTGATATTGAGTTGGATAGTCAAGTCTTGGGCAAAACGCACGGATTATCTGGACGTTTCGTATGCAACGCAGAGAGAGCCTCACGATATTCCACACCTCACCAAGCATCACGACTACGTTTATAGAAATTTATCTTTATCGATGTTTACAATTATCATACATCTTCAAGGCCAACTCCCCGCCCGTCATACAAAACCCTACAGCTAAAATATTCTACAAAATCCTACAGTCGAAATAGTATCCCGCAGACTCTCGAAATGCCTTCGCAATCGTCCTCTCCAGCCAACATATATAGCAGAAAGAACCGGGTATCATGAGCCACACCAGACGCCCAGAGATCCAGATGCAAGAACTAGCATCTCAAAATACCGACCCATTAACACCATCCATGCTGGATGCCATGCCCAAACAATTCCCCCGCCGCCCTGTCCTTTCCCCTGGGATGCAAATGTAAACGCAAAAGCAGTAAACACCCAACCTGCAACCCAATCCTACTACCGGTATAAACACCCAAATCGCCTTATCAAAGAAAGGCAGGAAAAGAACGTCGAGCGCGAAATTTGTCAAACTCCTGATCCAAAGCAACCCAAATTCTGGCGCTTTTCGTTTCCTGGACCAATATCGAATCCTAATGCATGCCAGTCGTAATATGCAGTTTGTTGTACAATAAACCCAACAAAGAAATACCCCAATCGCTGATTTGTGTTGTCACGATGCTAATACTGGGGAAGCAAATCAAACATCAACACACACTCTTGTCCTTTTGTTGTGTTCGCCCTTGCTAAGAAGTCAAGGCGATTGCTGAGAGGACGCTTTTCCATGTTGCCAGTCATCTTGCTCGTACTTGAGCAAGTGTATCTTTGCGTGTCGCGTCTCAAGTCCTGTCATTTCATATCATTTCTCCGAAGGTCCTCCTTGCCTTTCCGGGGACGAAGAGTCCGGATAGTCATGAGACCGCCTATGGCGCCTGTGCTGGCTGGATCCTGAGACACATGCTCCTCGGTGCCAGTATCCTCGGTGTCAAGCTCTTCCGGGGTCTTTTCGGCAGGAGCCTCTGTTGTAGAAGGCTCTTCGCTCGCAGACTTGCTGGTGACCGGCTTCTTGCTAGGAGTCCCTTTGGGAGAAGAGAAAGAGTCGGAAGATGAACCCCCGTTACTCGGAATCAGACCAAACACAGAGCTTCTCAACCTTGTTGGGTATCTCCCCAGCTTCTCAATTGTATCGAGTGCTGGTGGATTGTCCAAGTCGAAGCCTTGGTTCTTGAGAACATCTGGGAGGTCGTTCTCCTTCGATTCCCCAGCTTGGGGGTTCTGCTGCTGAATCTCCTTGTGGACTTCTCCGGCGGACTGTGGGGTCTGTTCGATGGTATGGCCCGCTTCTTGGTTCCCACCATCAGACATCTCCTGGGATTTCTCTAGGGATTCGTGCCGAGGCTTTTCCTGGGTCTCCTGGTTTCTCTGTGTCCCCTGCGTCTCCCTAGTACTCTCTTGGAGTTTCTCCTGGATCTCCTCATTCTGTTGGCCCTGTCCCTGTGTCTGTTCGTCTTGAGACCGGGATACCTCACCGCCCGTTGATTTCTGAGTGGCTAGATACACCTCATGCTCGGCGCGTGTCTGGGTTGGGATGTAGTTATCCAGGCTCTTTCCCTTGGGAGGGGATTGGGGAGTTGGCGCACCGGGATGCGTCGAGAACGGCGGGCCCAGCGCAGAGATGTAAGCCCAAAACAAAGAATCTGTCTCAAACTTCTCGCGGGTGTAAAACCCCCTGGACGACAGGAGTTCCTCAAAGCTCTCGCCCTTTGGGGCCATGGCTGGACTGCTGTGCCCGATGGTAGCTGACGAGTGGGTGATTTGTGACGACACTATCTTGGAAGGAGAGGGCGTGGCTGCTTGAGAAGCCAGCCGGATAGTCTTCTTGACAGCCTGAGTCGTCGTCTTTGTGCTCTTTTTGGTTGTCTTCTCTCCGGTCCCGACAACCTCGGCCCCCGACGCGCAATTCGCCGTGGCTTGATTTTCAACCACATTCTTCCTGCATTGTTCTGCCGGATTCACGGGGAGCCACATGATCCCAGTGTCCTCTTCCAGCCATTTTCCACCGCCGAACGATCCGCCGGGTCGGTACTTGGTGTTGGGCAGGGCAGCTACATCAGAACGCTTCATAAAGCCACCCAGGCCGTTTGTGAACATGGTGTTGGCGTCTCCCCAGACACCCCCAGGCTGGCGCCTTCCCCTGACTGGTTTGCTCTTCTTCCCCTCATCATACTCCCCCCCATCGGAAAGATCCTCGACAGCGGGCGCAGATTTCCTCCGCAGACTGCGGCTTGTGCTGGAGCTAGCACGGGTGGATGATGTTTCGTCATTCACACGACGCTTCTTCGGACCGACCTGGCTCTCCTGAGTCTGCGCTGCCTTTCTCTTGTTGGTCGCTCGAGCAACAGGAGCCACCGTATTGGCCGACTTCTTGATTGCTGTGTTTGACCTCTTTCTCGGTTCAGCGGGCGCAGATGCGGCTGAGATAGCCCTCTTTCTCGACGGCAAAGATGCCCTGGATCTTTTTTCCTGCTTGTTTTCCTGGATTTCGTCCTCATTGGGGAGAACAAAGTCGTTGTCACTGTCGTCGTCCTCCGGAATTTGCTCTACACGCGTAGAACGGGTCTTCAAGGGCCGGAGAATATCCTCTTCATTCTCTTCTGGCTCCGACTCTGACTCTGAAGACGAAGTCCAGGTGTTCTGAAACTTGTTTCTCAACTTATCAACCTCCTTGCGCAACCTGGGATCTCGCTGCTGGATCTTGGGTCGGGGATAATTGAGAAGGGGTTCGCTGAAGCTTTCTTTCGGCGGTTGTGCGCTGGACGCTTGAGCATCCTTCTGTCTCATTTTGCCAACATGTCTAGCTTCCTCTAGACCAGTTTGTCTACCAAAGACCGGGATAGGATAGTTGCCTTGGAGATGGGAGAGTTGACCCGTGCCAGCTGAACGCCCTACATAACCAGCAGTGTGGTGCAGCGTCCCCCTTGATGGACGGGGCTGATCATATGTGCGATACAGCAAAGCCAGCTGGGTAGTGTTCATAAGTGGCATTTCAGTCCCGCTGCCACTGGCGATGTTCCGCCTTGACAGCTCCCCGGATGAGACATGGTCCTGAGGAACATGGCCCATCCCGGACGGGTAAGCAGCAATCTGGGGAGCAGCACGGAATGCGTGCACACACTGACGCGGATCAAATGCTTGGTTGCTTCGGTCGCCACGATCATGACTAGGCATCTGCTGTAGGCGATGATCCATTGGTTCAGGGGCACGACGATGAGGCAAGAGACCTGCAACATCGGGATGCTCTCTGTGGTTGCTGCCAGGTACTACTCGACTGGATGCATGGCCAAAGGCCGGGCTCAAGGTGAGCTCCCGGTGCATATCGATATCCGGAGGTTGTTGAGAGTGTGCGGGCGGCGGAGGATAGCGAGTCCGAATGATCATGGGCGGTTGTCTGAGCTCTTGGTCTTCTCCCATTGCCATTGCGAAATGAACGTTCGCTGGCTCACGGTAGCGGTCCGGTAGGCCCCACTGCGTCCCTCTGTCGTGGTAAATATGCTGATGCTGAGGCCCTTGAGGGAATTGAGGCTCGTCCTGCACTTGCAAATAACGCTGCCAGCCACCGTGTTGGGAATGTCTAGGACTGCCAGGTATGCTTGGGGGAGGCATGCTAGCGAAGGGGTTGATGGGAACACCATAGCTTGGGTCCGGTAGAAAAGCTGGAAAATCATGCTGTGCAAAATTAACAGGCTGTGCTTGTTCGGCATTACGATAACCTGCATCCACGGAATGCGGTTGGCGTCCATGCAGTCCTGGAGGGAAAGAAGCCGTGGTTGAACGAAGTGGGAGAGCAGGATTCCGAATCGGAGCGTCGGCAACAGAGGCATCACCAGCAAGATGATATTGGCCGGGAGGCTGCCGGGCAGATGGGGCGGGCTCTGGGTTGATGAGGAGTCTCCTTGGGTTGATCGTACCAGGCGGAGGATCAAGCCTGACCAGCATCTCTGGAGTTGACAGGCGTGGCGGGTGCTCTTTCTGCACCTCATCCCAGGTGCTGGCCATTTTGTCAAGCTCCTCCGAACAGAAGACTTTGAAATGGGGTGGTAGGTCTCTGAATCCATCTCCCCAGAAGTGGTTGAGCGAAATAGGGAACCGCCTACCAGCGCCAACGCCTACATATCCACCGAGATTGGAAGCAATGTCCTCAAAGCCCATGAAAGTCATGAAATCCTTTGCCAGTCGAATCTCTTTGGCGGTAAAATGGTCGGTGATAAGTGGAGCGTGGGTTTTGTTGTACTCGTCCATCCAGGTCAGATCAGCAGCATGCAAGTGTTTCTTGATCTCCTTGTCGAAATCATCAATCTTGCGTTGCTCTTCACCGACCAAGTTCATCAACTCGGTGGCCTCAGAAGCGCACAGCCGAAACGTGCGGATGAACTGTACAAATGACATGCCAGTCTTGGTCATTTCATAGGTAATGATGTATTTCGCGCTGTCTGACAGACTCACCCAGTCGGGGGCTCTCTGGCCGAGTTTACGCAGCTATCACTCAAAGGTTAGTCTCTACAGTCTATATCTTCAGAAATGAAATACGTACATCAAAATTGCGCGTCTGGTTGCGCTCAACCTCCTCAGCCCTTCTCTTGGCGGCATCTCTGTCGATGTGTACCGTATAGGGCCGCCTTAATTGGGGCTGTGACTGCGAGACTCCAACCTCGGGAAGCGCATTGCCAGGCACCTCGGGGTGTGTCACAAACGGGTCCTCGTGTGGAGATGCTGTATCAGGAGGTGACGGACTGATGTCAAAATGATACTCTGATGAGGTCTGAGTCCAGTCTCCGACATCGTCATGATCTCTATCTCGGGGATCCAGCCCAAAACTTGGCAGTTCCGGGTCCACTTGATCTGCCCCGGACAAAAGGGCATCAAGATTCGAATCATCGTGACCCCCAGGTTGGTTCGCAGCAGCAATCCAGTCCTCGACTGGTGCGGAATAGGGAAGGCGGCCCCAGTGGCCATGGTTCTGAATGGCGGGATTGGGCCTTCCAGAGATGGTTGTTTGATCCCGGGTGATAGGGTTGATGGATGTATTCCTTGTTTGATGTGCTTGATCTTCTTTGTTGGCCTCGCTCTCATGATCCTCTTCGTCCTGATAATCACCACTGCCGTCATGACCGGTGCCAGCGGAAACTGCGGGTTGGTGTTGAGGAAGGATCGCAACTCCCCCGTTTTTCCGCTTCTCGTTGAGGATGGCACCAGAGGGGCCTGGGCCAGGGTGATTGAATGGCAAGGTAGGGAAGGCGCACTCTCGGGCCAACTGGTTGTCGAATTGGTAGACTGGGCGAGGAAAGTTCGAGTTGGGGTCGTCAGTCTGTGGCACCTGAGAACCGATGTGATTCTTTTCGCTTTCCCCGTCCGGGTCTCCAAATCGGGCTGGAGCCCTCCGCTCGGAAGTGGTGCGAAGCCGCATGCCTTCCGGCATTGTTTGTGCCTATGCAGGGTACTTTCAGATGGTTGATATGTGCAGGTGCTGAACCGAACAATAGTTGATGACCCTGTTGAGCCAGAGAGATAGTACCGAAGGTAGCCGTTGGCTCTTTCCTGAAAGATGAGGTCAATATTCAGACGAAAATATTCTGTTGAGAGATAGACGTCATCAAACACCCATACTAGTCTTATGACTTACCTTTCAGACGAAAAGGAGATTGCCAGAGGTCGGCAAGATATGCCAGCAGAGTGCTGACTAGAACAGGGCTGTGACTCCTGATAGCTGTTAATAGGGGTATACAACAAGTACAGGATGTTTGTTCGCACAACTTACAGACAATATGAGTGCAGTTATGTGCTGCATCTCAAAGCCAGACGACCTCGAAGGGCTTTCAGCAAGTTGCTGAAGTCGGTACAGAGAGGCCACCGGAACACTAGAGGTACTACGCAACAATAGTCGAGCTGGTTAGTAGCAGGTTTCTTTCGTCCCATCTTTGGGGCAGGCGACTCACTAAACCCAAGACTAGAATTTCTAGATTTCAGACAAGCGACTTGCAAGACAACTCTGACTAATACAGGATCTGTTAGTAACGTAGAGATATTAAAAGCCAATACTAATTGACTTTTATTGGACATAGTGGACTTACCAAGTGCACAAAAGGGCCAAAAGGTCGCAAAAAGTCGCGGAGACTCGCGAAAAGTCGAAAAGAATCTCCCAAAATGGGGTCTTTCGACTCGACTCAGGACGACTTGCCACAAGAAAACCGAAACCCAGACGATACGATTGGCAAGGTGGAAGGCGATGTGGTTTACCAGACAGGAATAGCGAAAGGGATTGCAAGTTGATACTTTTCAACGATATAGTATCCTTGTTTGATCTGATAATTGGTAGTGGTGAAGAGAGGTAAGAGAGAAGAGAAACCAAGATTAATTCCTTGGGAAATTTACGTGGGCTCCAATATGGCAGGTGGATGGATCGGCCCCGCGTGTCCAGGACCCGCGTGTACAATATTTTGGAATTGCACGGAAAGCTCAAGTAAAGGAGGGCAGGCAGAGCAAAGTGGGTGGGAACACAATGTTGTGATCTTCATGCTCCCTCTCAGCATTGCTGGCTTCGATGTCCATGAGGCGACAAGGGACCATGTAATGGTGGATATATCTTCAGAGTGTCACTGTTGCTTAAGCCGGGCAGCGAGGGAAGAAAGCCAAGTATGTTCACTCAATGGGCTTGAGGAAAGAGGACTGGAGATGGAGTGTGGTCCGTGCGTGGTGGTTGTCACTCAGGGGTTTATTTACATCGTCATCAAAACATCACGTAGAGGCCGAGATAGAGCAGGCTGGTTGCAAACCAGATACACTGTGCAGGGCTCTAGACACATGAGATGGTCGTGATGGTGTAATTTTAGATAAGGCACAATATCGTAAGATACACAAATCAGGAGACCAAGAATTTGCTCTTCAGGGCTTGCAACCACCGCCGATTCCCTTGCTAGTGGGGCAGGCCAGCCGCAATGATTCAGAGGTAGAAACTCAACATAGAGTTTCCTTTTGATAGCCCGATACAGCATATCTAGTATATTCGGACTGCCTTAGCTACCGGTCTTCTTGACCTGAAAGGGCAACAGAATCACAACGAGCGGTGCATGTTCAAACACCAGTTTGAAACTAGGACGTCGTTGATTTTAATCGCTGGTTAATTAAGCATCTTATGTGCTCTGACAATACACTTGGGCATTCACTCTTGGAACCCCATGAAGCACTGAGCGCCATAACATCTATGCAACTCAAAACTCCCATACCAACACAATGACAGAGTCCACATCCGACTTCTCCTCCTCTTTACTACCAATTCCCTTCTCATTAACATACGCCTGCCAGACTTCCTTGCCATCATCACGCACTTCAGCGCTAACAAGCCGCCAGGTCTTGGTCTTTCCACCCCTCCAAGCTATTTTCTGGCCCTCACCAACCGACGACGTTGAATGGACGGCGATTTTGTCAGCCACTTCGCCTCCACCACTTTTGTTCTGGAATCCTTTTTGCTGTGTCATCTTTTGGGAGGACATCTGAACCTCGATTCTGCGCGGGTAGGCTGTGATACTGTGCCCATTAATGAGAGCCCAACTGTCTGCGAACAAGAACCTTTGAAGGTAACATTCCTCGCCGCAGACATTGCTGACAAGATGACCTTTCGCTGAAAATTTGAAAGGATCCTTGTCCGTGCGCAAAACCAGTGGCCGGCCACTCACCTTCTGGCCTTGGTTTCCCTCACCAGGAAGATAGCCACCGCCACCCACAAGGACCTGCATCTTGAGGTATCTTTCTTGCTCCAAACACTTGTAAAGTGTCTCCCCCCAATTGCTGTCAGCCTTCACCTCATCATTCCCACCCTTTCCACCAGCCTGAAAGCACATCAACTGACCAACTGTATCTAGTGCTGAAGGACTCATCACAACTGCCCCTCCTCCATATGTGATCTGCTTCCCATTTTCATCATCTGCCCAGTCCTCTTTCTCGGTCGGCAATCCCACAAACCACTCTCCTTCATCCTCAAATCTTGTATCCATTTCCCAAACCAACTTCCTCAAATTCGGTATGAACACCTTCTCATCCACTACCGCGAACCATCTTCTCGTCTTCCCAGCTCCAACCTCCCCCTTTCCAAACCTCGACATCAACAGCCTCTGAAACAACTGCGCATAGACACCCCCTTTATACCGATCACTATCTTTCCCTTCCCTCTGCTCGACAACAAACACCGTCCCATCAATCCCAGCCTGCCACAACCTAGCCTTCACCTCCACAACTTCCGACTCAGTTGCCTTGCTCAACACCAATAGCAACCCCGCTCCATTTGACCTCCTCTTCTCCTTCCTCTCTCTCTCCGCACTATGATTTGTCAAAAACCCCGCCCAGTCCCTCACAAGCCCAAAATCATCCCTCGACACCCTCTCATAATCCGACGCAATCCCAAACAGCACCTCCCCCGGATCCCCCATGTCGTCCCTGGGAACGTCAACCGGCACCTCCACCACCCCCGGAACCGGCAACCTTGTCTCTTGCTTCAACGTCTCCCCGTTGTCGTTTCTTCCCTCCCCAGCAGCCGGCGGCGTCAAATCTACCCTCGCAAACCCGTGCCCCTCCAAAAAACCCCTGCCTACCCTCCTAATCTTCCCCTCCCCCACCACCCCCTCCTTGCTTTCCACAACCCTAACTCTCTTACTCAACACCGCCACCTCCCCTTGCAACCCAGGCAAGCCCCTTACATACTCTAGCATCTCCCTCCCAAGCTCCTCCCTGCTCTTGACAGGAACAAGCCCCTCCTCAGTCGTCTTCCAACCCGGTGAAGCCCCCTGCAACAGGTGATGACGATGTCCATCTCGTCCACGGGACCACGCCCTCCCAATTTGCATGATCATCACCAGCGTTGTGCAGGCTATGCAAGCCAGCACTGTCAACCGCAGGATTCTGGTTCGGCCGTAGGAGACCGCCATGCGGGGGAGGCGGTGATGTGGTGCCATCTTGGTGGATGGGCAACTATCAAATTGATAATGATGTTTTAAAAGGATGAATAGCTTGGACGTAAGCGGTCAACCAGACAAGGCAAAGAAGAAACCGTGCTGCCGCCGCTGACGAAAAGAGGCCGGCAAGTGCATCAACGATCGGTAACCAGCGATTGGATGGGTATCATCTCGTAAGGCCGAATCATTGGCTGCGAGTGCGATGGGACTTTGTTTTGGCTACACTGCAGTTGAGTTGCAAAAGGCACGACGTCTGTCTCAGTAGGAAATTCTGCTCAGATTGAAAGAAATGGCTGTAAAAGTGAAGTCACTTGCTTTGTTTGACCTCGTGGCCGCTTCGAGCTTGGCATTATCAATGACGGAACGTTCCCCCCGTTTTGGGGAAATGGTCTTACAGCGGGCACCTCCTGAGCCTGGAAATCAGCCTGAACTTTGCAGAATCACGGGAAGAGCATGAAAAGGAGCACATAACGTACATAAAATCGTGTTGACAACTTTCAAGATTACCCTCCCGATTATAGCAGCTCGCTGCAGAATATCTATACCTCCAACCAGTTTCGCATAATAGCTTCAACACAGACAAAAAACAAACAGTCTCAATTTCCTCATCACACAGATACCTCCACTTAGGCCTTCTCCTCTTCAAATACATCTGAGAGGGCACAAATTTCCATACATTGCCAAATGCCCAACATATGAAAGACAATCACTAACATGCTTCAGGATATTTGTAGCAGTCTGACATCCCCACCTCTCTCTGTGCAGTATCGCAAATACACGCCAAAAGGACCCGATAACTACTGCTTGTCCTGGCTCGGTTGCGACTGTGGTTGAACCGACATGACAAAATGGGCGGACGGATCAGGACATATCATCGGCGCTTTTTCTCCAATCCATGGTGCTGCTTGGGTCGTGTAGGACTCGGGCATGTTAGCCAGGACAATGGATTTGGCTTTCTGGTATCGTGCAAAGCAATCGCTGAGAATATCGTCGACGGTCTGGTGTTGTTCGACAATGCCCGTATCAAGGAGTTCCTGTCACCAAACTGGGTTAACCAAGGGCTCAAGACAGGCAAAGCGGCCACAAACCTTGAGAAAATCTTCAACCTTGACGAACTCAACTTTGTCCAAACGATAGCGATCAGGCAACCCACTGTTGTGCATAAGAGCGAGTATTCCAGCATCGACAGTGTTGATGGCGGCCAGCACAGTAACCGGGGTGCCGTCGGTCGTCTGGAACGAGCCAAGGGCTGTCAAAACAGCTCCAAGGATGATCTGAAGAAGCATGAGAAGCCAGCGCAGGACGCTCAGGATGTGATAAGAGTAGAAGTATTTGGTTCGCTGGGTGACGATATCTCGGTAAAGGCCTTCTGGAAGACCCTTCGGCGGCCAATACCAGGAAGAAGGGTGGACGACCTGGTGCGTTTCTCCCTCCCTGATTGCCCCGAGTCCATGAGCTACACGAGCCCACTCAGCTGGAGTCAAGAAGCGGTGCGGAATGTTTGTGCCTGGCTTTTGGCGTCCCTGTCCCTGTGGAGGTCTCGAAGTGACCGGGTTGCCACTTCCGGGACGGCCCGTAGCAACTGGGATGCCAGAGGGTTTGTCGGATTTGTAAAAGCTCTCGCCTGTTTCTGATCGCTGGTCGCCTTTCAGGCCGTGAAGACTCAGGCGACTGGGGTCTCTGGAGAGAGAGGCCATGCCTTGGGAAATGGACATGGAAAGGAGGGGAAAATACAAAATATTAACAGAGTCCTGTTGGAGAGAATCAACAAGTCGCCAAATGCCCAAAACAGCTGGTTACAGCAGAGGTAGGAGGTCGAGTGTAGTCAAGAAACCAACCTCTGGCAATCAAATCAGTCGGGCGTGTCCATTTTGCCCAGGCATGTTTGTCAAGCACAGCTGGCGACGGAAACTGGACAAGAGGAAAGCGCGAAGAAGGGACCATCTATCGCTTCGGAGCCGACGAAGGGAAGTGAGACCGAAAGGGAAGGCTTTGAAGTAGGATGTCGAAACACCACAGTTCAAAGGCGGCTCCTTCTAAGTCTCAGAGACTCAACAGACGGTCCAGCTTTTTGAGAAGCAACCACCAGCTGGCGGGAGAAGTTGCAGGCGCGTCATTGCATGATCTGATCTGAGGAGGCAGCATGAAACAAGCCCAGATCTGACAACTCATTTCCCAACCCGTTTTTAGCAGCAGTATTGGACCTGAGGTTAGAACTGAGGTCATCAAGCTTCTCGGTAAAGCAACTCTTTGGACTGCTTGCCATATGATGATGATGGCGACAGAGGCAGGAACCTTGATGGCTGGTTAGAAAGGGGAAAGTGGGGTGGAGCTTGGAATCAAGGTGGGATGGCTCACCGCCTGGCAGAATCACAAAAATGTTGGTGGCTCAGGGTCCAGGCAAGTCTCTTGTCAGAGGAATAATGAATTGACAGCTCCGCTCGCGACTTACATGGCAGTAACTTGTCACCGATGCGCCTGAGCCTGTTCTCGGCCTCCTACCGATCCATAGTCGGCAATTTCTACCGACCACGACGATCATACTACCTGCCTCACGTCTCGGCCTTCCCCCTGTTTAAACGCACCCACAGCGTTCTTTGCGCCATGTCCGACGACGAGCTTCCGGGCCTCGATGCCACGCCGGCCAACGGCCAGAGAATCAAGCACGACAACGTGATCTATACCACAGTGAAGGAAGGGCTCGCGCATATTCTCGTCCCCGAACAGAAAGATGTCAAGGATGGCCAGGAGGTGCAACAGGTCTTTTACAACCCAATCCAGCAATTCAACCGAGACTTGACAGTTCTGGCGATGAAGGCATATGGAAAGGAAAAGGTGAAGCAGAAGAAAGTCGCGAGCGAAGCAAGGAGTGGCAAGTTTGCCGAGAAGAAGAGAAAACGAAAGGAGCAGACGCAGAGCGAACGGCCTGCAAAGTCTCCTAAACTCGGTGATGATGCTGGCGCCGAGGAGGCTGTCGACGAGTCTGCAGTTGCGCCAGCGGACACTGAGATGCCGGATGCGAAGGAGCCGGAGCCCGCAATCCCCGAACAAGATAAGGAACTGGGGGCTCAGCCAAGCAATGGTGCTGATGCTGCGAAAGAGAAGAAGAGCTCTGGCGTGGAATTCACAATATTGGACGCTTTGTCTGCCAGCGGCCTTCGTGCTTTGCGCTATGCCCACGAAATCCCATTCCTCACCAAAGTAACCTCGAATGATCTCTTGAAGGTGGCCACCGAGTCAATCCAGCGCAATGCCATCCACAATGGCTTGGCTGACAAGATCAGTGTTTCCCACGACGATGCCCTTGCTCATATGTACTCGGTGGTTGTCGACGAGCTTCGCAAGCGCAGTGGGCGTGCTGGGAAGGCGATTATTGCCAGCAACAAGTACGACGTTATCGATCTTGACCCTTATGGAAGCGCTGCTCCGTTCCTTGATGCCGCTGTTCAAGCTATCAGGGACGATGGTGGGCTGCTTTGCGTCACCTGCACAGATTCTGGCGTTTGGGCCTCCAATGGCTATCCTGAAAAATGCTACGCGTTATACGGCGGTGTTCCGGTGAAGGGTTGGTACAGTCATGAGGTTGGGCTTCGTATTGTCCTGCATTCTATCGAGACCGCCGCAGCCAAGTACGGCCTCGCAATCGAGCCGCTCCTCTCACTATCAGTCGACTACTACATGAGAGTGTTTGTTCGCGTGACTAGGTCGCCAGCTATGGTCAAGTTCCAGGGAGGCAAGAATATGGTGGTTTATAGTTGTGGTGGAGGATGCGGTTCCTGGACCACCCAGCTTCTCATGAAGAATAAGCCAGCACCAAACAAGAAGGGAAGCGGCATTTTCTACAAGCACGGGTTTACGAAAGCGCCCACAGCGCCACCCCTTTGCGATCACTGTGGCTCGGTTACCCATCTTGCAGGGCCGATGTATGCAGGCCGGATCCATGACCCTGAGTTCGTTCAAAAGGTCATCGACGAGGCCAACGAGGCCTCACCCGAAATTTATGGAACACTCCCTAGAGTGAAGGGTATGCTGTACACAGCACTCGAGGAGTTCTTGCCGACTCCCCAAGAAGTCGAAGCTCAAAAGGACAGCGGCAAATTGGGCAAGGTGGTCAAGAAGAAGGTTACGGAAGCTGAGCTGGCTGCCATTGACCCTTATCCTTTCTACTTCTACCCTGCACAGGTGGCAGGCCTCATGAACTGCCAAAGCCCCCCAGAAGCACATTTGAAGGGCGCTCTTAAAGGTCTCGGGTATCGCGTTACTCGAAGCCATTGCAAGGCTGGCAGCATCAAGACCGATGCGCCATGGTCAGTCATCTTCCACGTCTTTCGAGAATGGGTCCGTCAAAAGGCACCTGTCAAGGAAGCCAATATCAAGGAGGGAAGTCTTGCCTGGAGACTTTTGCGCTTGGGGGAGAAGCAGGAGACAACCGAAGGGGCCCCGCCGGAACCAACGAAAGTGGACGAGGCGGTTTCCAAGATCACCGAGGTGGTCTTCGATGAGGAACTGGGCCGCGAGGAGAATAAGCAGAAGCTTGTGCGATACCAAATGAATCCGAAGGAGAACTGGGGCCCGATGAGCCGAGCCACTGGAAAGTGATGATGGCTCAGCGGAAGTTGCGGACAAAATAAATTGCATCAACAAGCAGCGCGTGGTTGGTGTCACCGCCATGTCTGACATGTCGGAATCGTGGCTTGTGTTGGACACGGAATCGCGCAAGGAATACGACATCGAATGGAATTGGCGATGGAGTGGCTGACTGATAGAAACCAGGGGGGTTCCAACTTGCGACTCCTTGATTGCCAACTGTTGGTGTCTGGAGAATACTCCGTACTCCACTACCGTTGACCCCACCAAGGAACCACCCGGCAGGATGCTTGATAACGCAATCGGACACCCGACTCTCGGTTGCGGACGTCGTTGCTTCAAAGGGGTGGTTTGAGTGCAGCTCAAACCCTCTTACACCATCCATCAGTCTGGTGAGCGTTAGAAATCAAATATCCACCTCACAATTAAATTGTCAGTCATAAATTCCACATTTTGCTTGTTTTCGCCCATTTTTCCAAGGTCAAAATGTCGTTCCTTTGCAGGCTCATGCCCCGAGCCTTCAGAAGGCGCACAGGCGCCAAAATGACTGCCGTTCACATGCCGAGAAATGCTGCCACAGCGACCCAGACGACAACAGCAGCCACATCAACACCAGCCAACATCACCAACAGCGATGATCTCAGCCAACTCAACCATGATCAAATTGTGTTCATTCTGCCTGCCACCAGAACAAAAGTCCCCAGTGGCGACGGTTACTTGATCTACAGCCTCATTGAGGCGTCGCCTGAAACCATCAAAATCGACAATAGTGATGGTGTGGATGAAAAGCAACAGCCCTTCAAGCTCGAGGTAACACACGCCTCGCAACTACCGAAGGATCCGGACCTCGCCCAGCTCTTACTACCACAACACCCGACAGACGGGGAAGGATCCCAGCTCCCGCCGCCACATCTCCGATCGGACACCCACATCATCGTTAGTACCAGATCTGGCATCCGACTGGCTGTTCCCTTTTACGAGGTGGTGCTGAGGCCGTTGTTGGATGCGCTCGGACTTGAGGATGGCCCAAAGTCCGAGCAGGGTTATCGATATGAGGTGACCATCACGGAAAACGAGCACACAATTCGGGATTTTGCCTCGACACATCTCACCAAGGATAGGACGAGAATGAGGACGATTGTGCTGCTGAGTGGGGATGGAGGGGTGGTGGACTTGCTGAATGGGATTGGGGAGGCGCAGGAGCATCATGATACCAATGAGGTGCCCACTGTTGGGATTTTGCCGTTGGGAACGGGGAATGCGCTTTTTCACAGCTTGCACAAGCTTGAATATGGGAGGTATCCAGAGGGGAAGGGGCCAAGCTCGTTGGTTTTGGGGCTGAGGACTTTGTTTACGGGGCGGCCGGAGAGGTTGCCGACTTTTAGGGCCGAGTTTTCTAGAGGGGCGAAGTTGATCGGGGCGCCCAAGCCGATTGTGAAGGACGGGGAGGTGGAGGATGAGGGTGGGAAGGGGTTGAAGGAGGTGGATCATCTTGTGGGCGCGATTGTGGCTTCTTATGGGTTTCATGCAAGTTTGGTTTGGGAGAGTGATACACCTGCGTATAGGGTTCATGGGGATAAGAGGTTCGGGATGGCGGCGGGTGAGTTGTTAAAGGAGTCGCATGCCTATGATGCTGATGTCGAAGTGCGGCTGAAGGGTCAGGAGGAATTCAAGCCGTTGGTGAGGAAGGGGAGGGGTGAGGAAGGTGGAAAATATGACTATGTGCTGGCAACCATGGTGTCAAACTTGGAGAAAACGTTTACGGTCAGTCCGGATAGCAAGCCGTTCGAGGGACAGCTGAGGTTGGTGCATTTTGGGGATGTGGGCGGGGAGAAGACGATGGAGATTATGCAGGCGGCATACAGGGGAGGGGAGCACATCAAGATGGAGGAAGTTGGGTATGAGGAGGTCGAGGCTGTAAAGGTAGTTATCAAAGAGGAAGATCCTAGGTGGCGGAAGGTGTGCATCGATGGCACTATTGTAGAGGTTGAGAAGGGGGGCTGGATGAAGGTTAGAAGGGAGAGGGGGGAGAGACTGAAGGTTTTAGTTGCATAAGATGCTCCGTCTACTCAGGGGAGCAAGAGTTGCTCTGGATGAGAGTATATATGGCTGTAACTATGGGAAGTGGTAGGTTCTCAGGAGGCCTGTTGTGTGTTCATACTAGATACTGGAGTTATTAGCTATCCTCGTGTCAAGTGCCCCATTCGTTCAAGATTTTGGCTTCCATGCTTGCTAAGGTTTGGACTAAATTGCTTGTGTTGTCGTTCGTCTCCACATATATACCAATTTCGCCATCTGATGTATCAACAACTAATGGTTTCGTGGTGTAGTTGGTTATCACGTCAGTCTAACACACTGAAGGTCTCCAGTTCGAGCCTGGACGAAATCAACCATTCTTCTTTTTCAATTTCTTTTTCATTCTTTCTGCACCTCAGAAGGTGTCGCTCTGTTTTATGTTTATTGCAGCTACAAGATTTCACGTAAATTCCATGGTGGTCATGTTTGTGGTATTAAGATTCGCTGCAGGTTCAGCCATACGAATAGGTGGTTCTTTCCCTGGGTGCAACCTTTCGCTTCCACTGCGGGGCAGGCTCTGTTTGACAGAAACCTTCCAAATTGCTGCTGGCCCCTCGTAGCCTCTCTGGCCTGGGTGGTTGCAACTTGAACTGTATTGAAGACCTCGAGGTTGGATGTCCATAACTAGGCCCCACGCTCCAACGACCATGGCCAGTCTCGCATACACAGACAAGACAACGACGAAAAACATGGCTGATAATCTGATGCCCTCGGGAAGCAACCAAAGAGCAACAACATCGAACCATAACCCTTTCCCGACCCTCCTTTATGAATGATGGCAATTGTATTGACCTGATCTTCACGATCCAGATGTCGACAACCGCCTGTGCCACCCCATCCGATGATAGCGCAACGGCGCCTTCCCCATCCGTGCTCGAACTGTCCGTCGTTCACTGTAAATCGATCAAACCCACAGCGGCAGCTAATCGAGTCCACGGTGTTTGGGGGTTTCTGGTGACGAAATCGAGACGAAAAGGGGGATCTTGTGAGGCTCGGCCCGAATACAACCCTGATGTTGTGGATAGGGCCGGCAGGGTCGCATCCCATCACGGCACTCAGCAATTGACGATTAACGACGATGCGATGACCCGCTCGCATCCGCTATCATCGGGATCCGTTTTGAATGACCGACTCGAGAGTCGACAACAAACTTCGTTCTTTGAGCTCTTTATGGCGAGATTGGTGACAAAGAAGCAACCAAAGCGGCTCACGGAATCTGCCATTTCGGACGATCGCGGTTTCTCTCGTGGCACGTGGAGCTGCAGTTGCAGCTGCGGAACAAGCCTCACAAGGGAGGTCTCGGTGTGGCTTTGTTACAACCTGCCAAGCCATGTCAGCGTTGTAAGCACGTGAGCACGATTGGTCACGAAACCACGGCGACCCACGAGGCCAGGAGCGACCCCGAGACAATTGATCGCGGGGTATGGCGCCGAGAGAAATGGCATAAGACTTGCGGGTAGGAGGACACTAGACGACCAGATAGTAATTGCACCTAGGATGGTACCTATAATGCGGTATCTTAAGCGAGTTGGATACAGTTCCCCAATCAGCTCGGCCTATTACTTAAGAATTATTTAGGAGCAGCGAACTTCCCTCGCTGCTTACACCAGTCCTTACCTAAATAGCTTTTAATCTAAGTCTTTATCTGATTCTCAGAGGAAGAGGCAATACGCCTTACGCCGCCTTTATTGCCCAGTTACAGCCTGACTTTCTACCAACATAAAACCTGCACCAACAAAGAGACCCTTGCCCTATGTACCAGAGTAAGAGTCTGGGCGTAACAGGCTCTGACAACCTCGTGGTAAACGGTCGACGAGAGGTCGCGACATCTACGCCAAGATAAGCATACAACTGATGATCAACAAATTCATGATAGGGACCGTGCTGAGCCGCCTGTGGCTGATCGACGTACGCGATCATTGGCGGTCGATCATCCTGATGATTGGGACCGATAAGCTGATGGATAAAAAGCGATCAGTGCTTCAGAGTGTGCATGCCCCGCACGCTGTTTCTACCTGTGTCTCAACTCAACTAGTATGTCGTTTCCCGGTCCAAGTTGCGGCTCAAAGCCTGGCCAAGCCCTCAAATGGACAGGCTTCAAAAAGCCACCAAGCCTCGAGACGGAGTGGCGCTGCTTTCCAATCACCAATCGCGGCAGGACTGGCACCACGGCAGCCTCACCATCACCCAGCACGCTCCCTATTCTCTTCCGTCTTGTCGCCCAGCAAGATCGACACTGCATAGTTGCTTCTTGTCTTGGTGAGATCTCGCCCGATTGGGTGATGTGGCGATACACAGGATTTTATTGATTTTGGCTGACGTAGCATGGGGAGGGGAAAAGAAACGTCGGCGAAAAGACCAGTCAGAACGCAGCCAAGGACAAGAAACTGGTTTCATGGCTGGCCGTCAGGGTGCTGAAGAATGCAGGAGGGACTGAATCCCCTTCTATCACTTCAGAAGCAACCTTTACTGCGAATATGCTGGCACGTCTGGACAAACAGGTCAACAGGAAAAAAGAATCCGTGGGGGTGGGCCTGCATCCTTTGAACGGGTCATCATCGATCAGTTGATTTTCGCAAGGGACCGCGGGTCAGGAGCTTTCTGTCCAACCCCCTGGCGACTTGACGAGCTTAACAGTTTCTTCCCCCCTGTACCCCAATTTCGCAACCCCTGTCCATGGATACCGCCAAGAAACCTTAAACAGATCAATTGCTCCTCGCGATCTTTTTCTCCATTTGTTTGAGGCCTCGATGTCCACAAAAGTTTCACCGTCTTCCTCGTCAATTGGCGTTATTGAACAAGGAGATTGTGAGATAAAAGTGAATCGTCTCAGCAAACTTCTCACCAGATAATATGATCGACACGCTCTCACACCCTCACGACACACCGATCCCACGAACGCGGGGAGGGAGGTGGCCGAATCCAGGGTTGAAGGACGTTGGGATGGTGGTGATGGACGCCAATTGGCGGGGGCGTCTGACCACTGCTCCTAACAGCAGGAAAATCCAAGTTGTGGAACTAGCGTTGGCTGGTAGGGGTCCCCGCGAAGACGCTTTGGGAAACGATCGGACTTGGCAGCAGCTGGTGCCTTTGTTCTCTCGCAATGCCTCCCCTTTGATATGAGTGCTTGGGCGCTTGAGGAAGCAACTTGACCTACTTTACCGGTCGCCATGATGCCATGAAGGAAGAGGCATTCTTCATGAGGTACGCCTGGTACGGAAGATGAAAGCCGAGCAAACGGCTGGCATGAAGGGTTCCTGGAAGTCTACCTTACGGACCCAGCCGCTAATGTCGACAAGAACGCCGGCAACAGGGGTTTCTTTCTTCGGCAAGTATTTGTCGCGAAAATACGGAGGCCCGAGAACTGTGTGTCACTGCAGGTCATCCCTCCGGTTAGCCCAGTGCCGACAGACACCCCTTTCCGGGAGCCGAAACCTGATAGGTCGCAAGTGCTACTAGCCAGTGCTAGCAAAGCAAAGTGGACGCTCCCTCAGCTGAAGGAGACACGCGAGACTCCCACCGCGCTCCGCTGGGAAGGATTCGAATATGCCAAGGCCGCTGTCAGTGGCCGACTGCATGGCTACAGGGAAGGAGGCTGGGTTTGTGCCTGCGTTGCCCCTTTGTTGTGGGGAGGTACGTAGAAAGAAGTATATGGGGTCTCTCCCCAGGCTTTCTATTACATCCTTCCATTCCCGTCCGTCTCTCTCTTGACGACCACGGCTTGTCTTTGTGTTGCGCCGTCCGTTGCTAGCGTCTTTTGTTGCATCTTCGACAACGGAGATGCTTGTATCGTCTCAGGTCCAGGCCCCCAAAGAAGACTATTGCTTGTTGGTGTCCTAGGGTTTCGCTCTGGCTGGTCCCCCTTAGCCGTGCTTGTCGCCTGGTCTCTCCTCTTTCCAGCTCTCACAAAAGACTCTCTCCCAGCCGAACAAACCCACTCTGTCATCATCGACCCGCCTCTTCCCTCTTTTCTTTCTTTCACTCGTTCATATTATCCTTTTCCCGTCAGGGGCCAACACACTTTTTGGGTGACCACCCTTGCTCTCAACTCACCAACACACACACCCCGACGTGAGGGCAGTTGTATCACCATCAAACAACACTAGGTATCTCTAAACACAACACGCAGGATGGTGGGCGCGGTGGTATACCCGCTTTCGGGTACGGCCGATTTGTCCAGGATCGAAGCTCCAGTGACCTTCAAGGCCTATCTACTCTGCGGCTTCGCAGCGTTTGGTGGTATCTGTAAGTCTGTCTGCCCTGTAGTGGCATATGGTCGAGGTTGGCTAACTCGAAGGGCTGTGCAGTTTTTGGATATGACACTGGATGGATGTCGGGTGTGTTGGGGATGCCTTACTTCATCACTCTATACACAGGATTGCAGTATAACTACGAAACCGGAGAACCAGTAGATGTCCCCAAAACCGAGTTCGGTCTTCCTTCCTCTCAAAAGTCTCTCATGACATCGATCCTCTCCTGCGGTACCTTCTTTGGAGCTCTGATTGCCGGTGATGTCGCCGATTTCCTCGGCCGCCGTCCTACTATCATCATCGGGTGTCTCGTCTTCTGCGTCGGATGCATTCTCGAAATCATCTCGACCAACCAGGAAGTGCTATTTGTCATGGGCCGTTTGGTATCAGGTGTGGGAGTCGGTTTCATTTCCGCCGTTATTATCCTGTACATGGCCGAGGTTGCGCCTAGGAAGGTTCGTGGTGCTCTTGTGTCAGGGTATCAGTTCTGTATCACGCTTGGTATTCTACTCGCCAACTGCGTGACATACGCCAGCTCGAACCGAAACGACACCGGTTCCTATCGCATTCCAGTCGGCGTCCAGTTCCTATGGGCCATCATTCTAGGCATCGGCCTCTTTATCTTGCGTAAGTGGCCTCGTGTGGGCGCTGAGTGTGGGCGCTGAGTGTGGGCGCTGAAAAGGTCCAACTGGCAGACTAACTTGAATATCAGCCGAGTCCCCCCGTTACTATGTCATGAAGGGCAAAATCGATCTTGCCGCCAGGTCTCTCTCGCAAGTTCGTGGTCAGCCACTGGACTCGGATTACATCAAGGATGAGTTGGCGGAAATTGTCGCAAACCACGAGTATGAGATGCAGATTATTCCCCAGACTAGTTACATCGGCTCGTGGATTGCTTGCTTCCAGGGTTCACTGCGCAAAGGCAACAGCAACCTCAGACGTACCCTTCTTGGTTCTGGCATGCAAATGATGCAGCAGCTCACCGGTAAGCCAAGGAGATTTTCGTTGTCGTGGGACTTGATGCTGACCCAGAAAACCAGGTATCAACTTCATCTTCTACTTCGGCACCACCTTCTTCCAGCAGCTTGGCACGATCCAAAACCCATTCTTCATCTCCCTTGTCACTACTCTCGTCAACGTTCTGTCCACGCCGATTTCCTTCATTGCTGTCGAGAAACTCGGCCGTCGTGTTCTTCTTAACTGGGGGGGTGTTGGCATGGTCATCACACAGTTCATTGTCGCCATCGTTGGTGTAACCGAAGGCCGCCCGGAGGCCCAAAACGACGCTGCTGTCAAGGTCATGATCGCCTTCATTTGCATCTACATCTTCTGTTTCGCTTCCACCTGGGGTCCGGTCGGCTGGGTCATCATCGGCGAGTGCTTCCCGCTGCCCATCCGTTCTCGTGGTGTTGGTATCTCGACAGCCTGCAACTGGTTCTGGAACTGTATCATTGCCGTTATCACCCCTTACATGGTGGGTAACACACCCGGCTCGGCCAACTTGGGCCCCAGGGTGTTCTTCATCTGGGGGTCTCTCTGCATCGGCTCGACACTTTTTGCGTACTTTTTGGTTCCTGAAATGAAGGGTCTGACACTCGAACAAATCGACACGATGATGGAGGAGACTACACCAAGGAAGTCGAGAAGCTGGAAGCCGACGTCCACTTTTGCCGCGCAGATGGGACGTGTCAGGGACGAGAAGGGCAGTGCGAACCAGCAGGAGTTTGCTCCCGAGTCGGAGCCGTGAGAGGCCTTTGATGAGTGCGAAAGACGATGTTATGTCTTATGAGACATGACGGGCTGGTGGCGGCGGTTCGGGCCGGGGCGGCTTGGGTGTTGGTCTACGCAATAATTCGGATGAGGGGGGATGTGTATGTGTGATTGTGGGTGAGGTTTGGTTGGATACCCGGTGGGCAAAGAATGGAGCATCGAATCTTTCAACATCACTACGATACTATACTTTTTTTTACTGCTTTTCTTTTCTTCGTCATATAGCACCATCTGACTCGGTCAGTCCAGCAGACGCTGGGTTCAAACTCGACGACAACAGCAGACTTCAAATTATATATTGCCGACTTCTCTTTCTTGGCTCCATGTCTTATTTCCCGTCTTGTTGAACAAGGTTGCCTTTTTTGTGCGCAGTGCGACATTTATCACCGTCACGTGGCAGTGGAACGGTATACTGCCTGCCGATGCAGGCAACCTACCTACCGACTCCAAGGCATTCTTTCCCATCTAGTGAGCAATTTCAAAAGAAGCTGTCGGCACTGACGATAAGTTCACTATCGACTGGTCTCCTTACCCCAACCTCCAACACCCACAACGACTACAATTTCCGCAATTACATGGCACCCGTTTCAAACAAGAGAACCAACAAGATGAGCAATGGAAAGCGCGATGACTCCCAAGAACCGCTTGCGGCTCGGTTCGCCAAAAGAATAAAGCTCTCACACGATGTGCCAGTGACGAGTTCTTCGGTCAAACTCCCAGCTGCCTCTTTGAGGATTCCTTTCCCCGAAAAGGTGAGTAACTGCCACCGCTATCTCAGTCCTAGTTTGGGTACCCTGACCGCGTTGCTGATCTGGTATTAATGTAGCCTGCAGTTATTGAGGAACGAAACGGTGAAATCGAATTCCGCGTGGTCAACAATGACGGCAGCCGAGAGCACATGATCATATTGACAAGCCTCAAGTGCCTGTTTCAAAAGCAACTTCCAAAGATGCCCAAGGACTACATTGCCCGCCTCGTCTACGATCGCGCCCATCTGTCGCTCGCCATCATCAAGAGACCGTTGGAGGTCATAGGCGGGATAACCTTTCGAGAGTTCCGCCAGCGGGAGTTTGCCGAGATTGTGTTTTGTGCCGTGTCGTCCGACCAGCAGGTCAAAGGATATGGAGCCCACCTCATGGCCCATCTCAAGGACTACGTCAAGGCAACCTCGCCAGTGATGCATTTCCTCACATACGCGGACAATTACGCGACGGGTTACTTTCAAAAGCAGGGCTTTTCTAAGGAGATCACCCTCGACAAGGCCATATGGATGGGTTACATCAAGGACTACGAGGGAGGGACGCTAATGCTCTGCTCGTTGGTCCCTCGAATTCGATATCTGGAGGCCGGTCGTATGCTTCTGAAACAAAAAGAAACCGTGCAGGCCAAGATTAGGTCTCTGAGCAAAAGCCATGTCGTCCATCAGCCGCCTGCTCAATGGATCGTTCAGAGCAACAGCGGCGCCGCTCTCACCCCCATCGATCCTCTCTCCATCCCAGCCATTCGAGCCACAGGCTGGTCCCCAGACATGGATGCCTTGGCCCGTCTCCCTCGTCGCGGACCTCACTTCAAGGAAATAAGACGCTTCCTGTACCAGATCCAAAACCACAAGCAGGCGTGGCCTTTTCTGGCCCCCGTTAATAGAGATGAAGTTCCGGACTATTATAAGATTATAGCCAACCCGATGGATCTCTCTACGATAGAGGAGAGACTGGAACACGATGCATACGCGACACCTAAGGATTTCATTGCGGATATGAAGTTGATTTTCAGCAACTGTCGGAAGTACAATGATGCCACGACGGTGTATGCCAAGTGTGCGGCGAAGCTGGAGAAGTACATGTGGGGTCTGGTGAAGGAGATCCCGGAGTGGTATGAGCTGCTTGAGGGCCAATGATTTCTGTGTTTGATTTTGGGGAGAGTTGAGGCGGGTGGTTTGAAGCTGGGTCCTGAGCGGTTTCATACAGAGTAGCGGCATGGTTCGGGCGTTTGTCTTTCTGTTCAACAAGGCTTCATAGGAGTCCAACTAGTCCAGCAGCTCTTATCCATGCTATGAGCTTTGTACTCATCATTTTCTGATGTAATCAACTTATGTCACATTTGAATGGTAGAGCCATACACCGGTTTGGTCTTCGTTGTTCCTGAAACCGCATAACCCAAGTTGGAGCCGGGGAATCTGTTGGGGATGTTGGATCATTTTGAGACTAAGCTGAGGTGGACGAAGAGGGAGTAAACAATCAATAGTATATAAAAATAATTAGCATTGTTTAGCAAGTATAGGTAGTTACCTCTATCAAAGGTCCGGCCTGGCGAGGAAAAAATATTTCAAGATCTTGTTTAATGGTCACAACAGTACGGAGTAGTCGTGATATCTCGGAGCATTCGAAAACAAGTTCCAACATGACCAATATGTCCCTCGACCGCGCTCGTTGGGGACATCATGCAGGTTCAAGAGATCACCGGTCTTGACAGCTGATGAACTTTGAAAAATCAAAAGGATACAGATCCATTGCCACCATGTATTCGTGGGCTCTGACAGATTATGAAATTCTGCTGTGGTAGGCACTTGACAGACCCAGATCACTTACAGCCTTGTGGCATCGATGAGGTAAAAAGGTTGTTGTAAGTGAGGCCTGGCCAATCATGTTACACGACTTACTGGTTTGCGCACGGTCCATCCCAGATCCCAAAGCCTCTCACTTCAGCCGGGCTCTAACATCTTATTAGACATCATTAGAATTAAAGATTGCCCTTCTAACAGAAACTTTGCTTCTCCATCATTTTTTGTCTACATAACTAACAACATGCATGTTGATTGGATTATGGCTTCCTGTTGGCGTGCCCTTACAGTGCACCCGCTCGCCGACTGACGGCCCGGCGTGAGTCACAGGCCGTGTTCACAGCCGTCCAATGGAGACCGGGGCGGGATTTGAGTGCTGTTGGTGCCGGGACAGAAATGCGTGCGGGGCAGCAGCGTGCCGTCAGTGTCCATGCAGTTGTGTCTCACTTGTGTTGGAACAGCTCATGATCACCAACACTGACTGGCCCGGCAGGCAGTGAAGCAGAAAACCGACACCTGCAATCGTGCATCTCACGCCGGCATCGAGAGAGAGCGCAGACTCTATTTGTTTAAGAGAGCCCGATTCCTCACGACTACCATCACATCTTATCTCTAAGGGCATTCAGCCATTGTTTGTCCTTGATATCGAGGTTTTTGATAACTGCGGAATTTGTTACACTCTTTGTAGAGCCTGAGCCACCTGCCTCCCGCCCAACCTCAAACAGCCTGGAAAAATGACGTCCGCCAACTCCACTTCCGCAACCACTATTCTTTGCACATGCAAACAAACCCGCTTTCACATCTCTGATCGTCCCAACTACCGCGAGGTTTGTCTCCCACCTATCACATTCGATTTTCCCACTAACTTCCCTGTAGCTTGACATCTCAGGCCTCAACATCACCATCGTGCCCGGTGCCTCTTCCCCCTCTTCAACAACTACAAAGAAAGGGAAGGGCAAGGCTGGAGCAGAGGGTACCGAGATCCTGAGCAATGCCGACCTAAAGCTCAAGGCGGGCGCACGATACGCTCTTGTCGGCCGCAACGGGGCTGGCAAATCCACTTTGCTGAGGGCCATCAGCGAGAAGCTTATCCCCGGAATACCGGAGGAGGTCAGAGTGGGAATACTCCAACAGACTGGTATACCTGACGACGCAGACGACGATGAGTGGAAGGATGGAGGGCCCGAAACAGGAGGGCAGACAGTACTGGAGCAGGTGGTAGACCGAGCTACTGCCAAGGGTGAGGTGGAGAAGGACATCAAACAATTGACTAAAGGAGTCAACGATCCTGACCCATATGGGACTCTGAGAGCTGTGCGGAAGTTGAAGTACGAGAGAATGCAAAAGAAGCTGTTTGTCTTGGACAAGGACGCCAGTCTAAGGAGCGGAGCGAGGGGGTTACAGGCCAGAAAGGCGTTGGTGGAATTTGAGAAGGAGGTTGAAAAAGCTGAAAAGATGTGAGTTTGTTCGGAGGTACCAGGACAAGTGATAGTAACCATACAACAGGAACGATCAGCCAGAGGAGGAAATCTCGGCCGAGATACTGCAAGCAGAGATCCAAGAGGCGGCAGATATGCTTGCGGAGCTGGAACTACAAGTCGAACCAACTCGGTTGGCTGACACTGAGTCCCAGGCAAAGAAAATCTTGACCGGCCTAGGGTTTACGGATGCTTACAGGGCCAGGCCCGCAAACACCCTCTCAGGAGGATGGCAGATGCGGAGTAACCTTGCCGTGGCTCTGCTTCAGGAGACAGACATCCTGATTCTGGACGAGCCGACCAATTTTCTCGACCTTCTCGGTATCATCTGGCTTCAGAAGTACCTGGAGGGGCTGGAGGATATTCACCCTACACCTCCCACTCTAATCTTGGTGTCCCACGATCGCGACTTCACCTCCACGGTGTGCACTGATCTGATGATACTCAAAGACAGGGGCCTCGCCTACTTCCACGGCGACCTGCCAACCTACGAGGCTGCCCAGACCGAGCGCAAGCTCTACCTCACCAAGATGAAAGACGCCCAAGACAAGCAGAAAGCCCACATTCAAGACTCCATCCAAAAGAATATGGCTGCGGGCCGGAAGAACGACGACCAGAACAAGCTCCGCCAGGCCAAGTCCCGTCAAAAGAAGCTCGACGACCGTTGGGGCATGCAAGTTAACGCAAAGGGCCACAAATTCAAGCTCAACCGTGACATGGCTGGCTATCACGAATCGGCAAGAGAGGCAATTGACATCCCTAAAGATGACAAGTCTGTGTCTATCTCCTTGCCTCTTCCGCCAGACCTCCGCTTCCCCGGCCCGTTGATATCACTTGAGAATGTCAGCTTCCGCTACAAGATCAAAGGCAGGCCGGCTCACCTGGTTGTACCGACGCTCCAAGACATCACCCTGTCTGTCTCCATGGGCGACCGCATTGGCATTGTCGGTCTCAACGGTGCTGGCAAGTCGACACTCATCCGGCTACTAGTCTCGGATCCTACCTCATCGACTTCTGGATCGATGTCCGGTGCAATTCAGAAACACCCGCGGCTCAAGCTAGGGTATTATTCCCAGCATGCAGTCACCAGCCTGCTATCTCTTGGCCGGGCAACACCATCTCTCACCGCTCTATCTCTTTTAATGTCCGAAACTGCTGGAGTGATGGAAGAACCAGACGTGCGGGGACTGCTAGGATCTCTCGGTCTCCCAGGCCGTCTGGCATCTAATGTGCCGCTGACAAAACTTTCCGGTGGCCAGCTCGTCCGCTGCGAATTGGCCAGGTTGCTCTGGAGTCACCCTCACTGCCTGGTGCTGGATGAACCGACTACTCATCTAGACTACGAAACTGTCACGGCCCTGCGGGAAGCGCTGAGATACTGGCCCGGCGCCGTTGTCTTGGTGTCCCACGACCGTTGGTTCGTCAAGGGTGCTGTGGAGAATCTGAAGGATGAGGATGTGGACAGTGATGGTGAAGCCGATGATGATGAGGAAGACGAGGAGGAGCAAAAAAGGAGGAGACTGGTGTATAAGCTCGTTGCTGGGAAGGAAGGGGGCAAGATGACGTTGCTTGATAAGGGTGGTGTCAGCCAGTTTGAAGAGGGAGTGGAGAAGAAGGTGAGGAAGATGATGGCCACCTAGGTTTCGAGGTAGTTTGAAGTCGAATGTATGTGAGCGACATTGTTTAGGAATGAATTTTGCTACGAATTTGGTGTTTTCTTCTTGACGTTACTACCCTCCTCCTCAACTTCATCTTGTGAAAACTAATGATACCTAAACCCTTGTTGATAGCCTGGCGAATACAAACAGAACAACCCATCAAGAGCCCCCCTCCCTTCTCCCAAGCTCGTATTCCCATCATCAAGCACCAATGTACCGCCTGTGCCTACTCTCGACGTTACACACCCTACAAGAAGCTAACGAGGATTCGAGCATGTTTTCCTTGACCAGCTCCCAGTAGCGCCGCGAAAGAGGAATCATGCACGCAATCATGATCGCCGGATCTCCGTATCCCTTTCTCTGACTGCCTTTTCTCCCTTATGATTCGCAGATCCCACAGAAGGACAAGCACCTCAAACATCTTCCCAGGTATTCCGTCGCCCAATTGTTTGCTTCCCACAACAGAGCTACTCGGAGATTGGTACGCTGTTTGTACAACATGGCAAGTATGGTACCTGCTGTGCTCGCTCAACCACTCGTATTTCCATTTAGACGGCCAACACAACCTTTACACCTCGTGACCGAGAAGCCATGCATCTGGATATTGACAGCCCTGCATGAACATGTCTTGCAGCTGCTGAAGAAAAAGCAAGCATCCGAAGATTCAACAAAAGAAGAACATGTCACAAGAAGCAGGACCAAAAATCTGTGCAAAGTTGGTATGTTACTGTCTCCAGCGTAATTATAGGACAAGAAGTCTTCTACAATCCCTCTTCTCCATTCTCTCTTACAACATATTCCGTAACCAAAAAAATCACAAAATGCCCGAGACAATCCGTCCAAGAACAGTCTCGGCAGAGTATCAAGTCGAAGAGTATAAAACAAGAAACCCAGCTGGCTTCCCCCCTCGCATCCAGTCCTGTCCCTTGACCCCTGGAAGTTCCCACACCCACAGGGCATGATGGCCAAAAAAAACAAAAAAACAACCACGCTGCGTCGTAAAATGGTTTCTAAAGCATCCCTGGAAAAATAACGTGCTCCTTTGCCCAATATCCTTTGGCAGAAAAAAACCAACCAAATCCATTTGTCGCCCGGAAACACGCAACATTCCAACTCTGCACAAACAAAGGTGATTAAGACTTAGGTGTGCGGGCTATCAGGTCGTGTCTCATGTCTCGTAAAAGCAGTGTGCCCTCGGAAATCCATTGTCCTGTGGTGTTCATGTCGAACCTCCGAGGATTTGGTGCCGTTAGGAGTTTAGAGAAGAGCGACAACACCGGCAATGAGGAGCAGGGCGCTGACGGGAGCGGCGAAGGTACCAGCGGCACCCTCAGCGATGTTGGAGACGGAAGGAGCAGGTGCGGAGGGCGAGGGAGAGGTGCCAAGGGAGACGGTGCTGTTAGACGCGCCACCGGTAGCAGAGGCGGAAGCCGAGGCAAGACCAGAGCTGGTGATGGTGATGGCAGCCGAAGTAGAGTTCTTACCACCAAAGACGATCGAGCTGCTGGCGCTGGTACTGGTAGTTGTGGGAGGAGCGGTGGAAATGACCTCGGAGCTGGTGGTAGAGGTCGAAGTGGCAGGAGGAGGGGTCTGAGAGACGAGACCACCAGTCACCTCGAATGCAGCAGCGCAGGCCTCAAGGTCCATAGAGTTGGGGCAGCACCACGTCTCACCGGCCTTGTCGGCTGTGCAGTAGTAGCCAGCGTCGCAGGAGTCTATGTTACGCGTTAGTCATGAGCTTTTCCAAACATCACGATTGCCAGCACATACTGCCAGACTGATCGGGGCAGCACGTCTGAGCCGCTTGAGCGTTGAAGCAGTGCACCTGGTTGTCGGTGGAAGCACAAGTTGTGTAGCCGGCACCGCAAGCCTCCTCGCAAGTGTTTCCCTCTCCACACACGGCCTGCTCTGGCTGGTACCCGGGGGCATCTTGACGGCGACCGATGGAGAACAGGGAGCGGGTCGACATCTTCACGAGCTGAGGCTTGTAAGGTTGCTCGGCAGCGACATTGACGGCGAAGGCGAGAGCCGCCAGAGCGGTGATGGATTTGGCGAGCATTGTGATGGATTGATTTGGTGAGTTTTGAGGTATTAGGTAGCGCGTTCAAATCGAGGATCGAGGAGGACGGTAATTAAATTGGCGGACAAAAATATGTCGTTCGTAGCCGATGTTGCAAAAACGAATGGATCGAGTACAGGACTCTGGAAAGGAATGACAATTTCTTCAGGTGAAGAGGCGATGGGTGGCCAAACAGAAGCAAAAGGTGAGCAGAGGGAGAAATGAGGGCGACGGGGCGGTTAAAAACGAGCGCGAGGATCTGGGCACTCTGGGGGGGTGCTGGGGGTGGACGGGCCTCTTGACGATAGCGGGAAGGTATCGCTGCCGCAGACTCTTGCGGCCAGGGTACATATTCGACCCTGCCAATTGGCAGCCAAGCAACCAGTTGAGACCATCTCCTTAATTTTAGCGTTGGGCATTGCTTCCCTGCGCGGCACGGTACCTGCGTCTGGTTGTGCGGTGTTCCTGGCAGACAGCAGCAAGCCAGGAACCGGGCGCCAATGACAGATGGGCGGGCAAGCTCATCCCAAAATTCCCAATTCAGTCAGGAAATCAACAGCTCCGTTTCCCAATGGCAGCTTCCACCTGCTCTTCCAGTTCAGATGAGTGATTTCCCTGTTTTCCCCCCCACCGCTCGCTGCCTCACGCATGAAGCAAGCCTGACGTGGTGGTCCCATCTTCCACGTCGCGTGCGTCTGTGTCGGCGCGCTCTGTGGTCGCCGTGGACAGCCAAGAGGTTGCCAACAAGGCCTTCCCTGAGCAACAGTGGATGTCAAGGGCAGTTCTGGGCCAACAAGGAGGCCAGCGGTTTCTCAATCTTCGATTGTCCGGCGACCTTGCCGTGGGAAATTTGTCGCTGGCAAAACCCTGGCAGGAGTTTTCTGTTTCGATGCACACCAAGCCGGAGCAAAGCAAATGAGGCCAAGCAACTCCCGATACACCTCACCGTTAATCTCGGGGGATCTTCAGAGAACAATCTGGATTGCGGTGATATCGATAGCCTCATACCCATTCTCCACAAGCTCTCTCTATCGAGCATAATAGAACAAAGATTCCCGACAATTCTCAAGCGCCAACGGACGGCGAAACGCCATTTCCGCATCTGTCTGTTTCGACCGAACTGACTTTGCCAGCTTGCGCCGTTCAAGTTGGCGGCAGCTTTTGGTTCCATCATGAGGTAATTTGACTGGCTGTCAGTGCACGGTTCATCTCGACTGTTTCAAGCGATCGACATGGCCCGAGCGTCTCTGGCTATCAACAGGCGGTAATGGTGGCCGGTCCCACTTTCATGCCGGCCCGTAGCCGCAATTTCGGTCGGCCTTCTGCAGAATTCTCGGCTCGGGGGTGGTTGAGACCGGGGCAGCTGGAGTTTCGGCGGCATGATCAGGGACCTTTGAGATTGGGGACTTGTGAAATCTGGGGAAGTGTTTTGGAGCTCACCACTTGCTTCTTGTCACCAGCCACTCCAAAGCGTCGGTTTCGAGTTACCCCTGACTCGCTCCACTCACCACAGTAGCATAGTGTAGTTTTCAAGCTAACGAAGGTTGTGCGAAACAAGATGTACCATATATGATGGACGTGGGATACTCGATACATACATTTGTATATAAAATCATCACAGGGATAGGTTTTAGGGTGAGCAATGAGCTTGGTGAGGGGGCGTTATCTCTAAGCCTTGTCCAAGGGTTCCAAACCCCAACCGCCGCAGCCCACTCCCACAACTCCACACATAATCCCACTCCCGAGTCAAGAACAACACGACAGCAAGCGGGTTTAGCTCAGTTGGGAGAGCGTCAGACTGAAGTCAACTTCAGGAAGTCAATCTGAAGGTCATGTGTTCGATCCACATAAACCGCAAGCAGCATTTCTTTTGCTTCTCTTAACCATCCCCTCCTCCCTCCCTCTGAAGGAAGATAATATTACCTTTTTGGCATCAATTCTCCCGGCCTCCTTGTTGACCTTGTGTGAGGAGGATGAGTTTGGCAGCTATATATCATGTCGAGATTAGGCCGCTTTAAAATAACACCACGTCGTGCTTTATTTCTCTAACTCGTGTAAATAAGATAACTACCAAGAACCAACCAACCTACACCCCCATACAAACCCCAAAGACAACTAAATCACCAAACATGCCCGCTGTTCTGCTTGCTAAATTTAAACTCCCCACCTCCCTTCGCAATTCCCACCAGCCCACCAATCCCCCAACATTACAAATTGATATTTCCTTTTTTCCCAACCCCTTCCAAAAAAAATCAATTCTAGTTCCCTAAATAAGCCCTGATGGCTCCCTGCAACCTCCCAGCACCCTCCCCAAGCAGATGCGTTAGGTTCTCGAGGTCGTCGCCAGCAGTAATGCCGAACCTCCTGACAAAATCCTTCGCGGCGCTCTCCAAGTCACCATAATCATCCATGCCGCCGCCGGGCATATCGTCAGACTCCTCACGCCCAAAGTATGCATTCGAAGAGATAGCAGAGGCACCCTCAAAACCGCCCAGGCGGGACTTGGCTTCAGCCTGTGCCTCAGCGTTGAACATGCCCTTGCCGAAAAATTCGTCTGAAGAAATGGCCTTCTGAGTGCCGAACTTCTTGCGGGCGTAGTTGTCATTGTCATCATCTGCAAGGGAAAGCTGGATTAGTATCACGCCTCAACAGCCCTAAAATGATAGCAGAACTCACCATCAACATTGCCCTTGATAGGTCCAACAGACCCGAAGCCACCAGCGTTCTTCTTTGCTGTGGAAGCAGCGGCGGCAGCCTTCTGGGCACCAATCTGCCCGAATCCAAGTCTGCCCATACCCATACCCAAACGCTCCATCTCCGAAGCCGACTTTTCCCTTGTGTGAGAAGCCGAACCGTATCCACCACTCCGAGCCGAGCTCACAGGTGTGGGAGATAAAATGGCAGCACCGGTATCCTTCTTGGCAGCGGCGGCCTTGGAGCTCTGTTCTTCAGCTTCGGGATCATAGCCCAGCTTCTCGATACGCTCAGCCTCCTCCTTAGCCTTCTTCTCCGCCTCGTCAAAATCAATGACCACATCGCCACCCAACTTCTTTGCGCCGAGCTTGGTTGCGACCTTCTTCGCGCCGAGGACGTTGGCCTTGCGGGGCCCAGTAGTTGTCTTCTTCAAGCTGGAAGAGGTGACGATGCGGCCGGCAGCAGGCTTGGACTCACCATCGGTCTTAGCCAGAGGGGAGGCGGTACGCGAAATATCCTTGCCGTTCTGGGCTGCGCTGCTTAATGGAGAGGCGGTGCGCCCGACAACGGGAGGGGTGGCGGTTCGTGAAATTGGCGGTGTAGGCTTCTTGATGGCCGGCTTGTCCCAAGATGAGAAGAAGTCATCTTCCTCTTCGGCGGGTGCCTCGGCGGCGTCGCCACCTTCCTCAAGAACGACCTCTTCGGGGAACTCCTTGGCGTCCCTCGCGGCTCTCTTCTTGAGTTCCTCCTTGTACTTGGTCGCAGCAGTGGAGCTGTACTTGGTCTTGGGGTCCTTGCTGTTCAGCGCGGCAGACCCGCCGTTGGACTGGAAGAACTTGGTCGCGGACTCGTTTCCGCCAACTTTCATGATGCGGAGCTGGTCCCATTGCCACTCTGTATTATAGCAAGGTTAGTTATTATGGGCTCTTGTTGTCGGAGGCACGCGAACGCGAAACGGGGACATACGGTCGAGGTTAGTAGACCGAACAAAGGAGATGTGGACACCGAGGTTGCGATGGTGGGCCGAGCAATCGAGGCAGAGGTAGATGCCAAAAGGAACGGAGGTCCATGTTGGGTTCTTTTGACCGCAGTCGAAGCAGATCTGTCACGGGGGAAGGAATCCGTAGTTAGTAAACCGTTTCCATCATCGTGGGTGGGCGTGGCCGTGGTCTCGCGACCGAACTCGGCACCTTGCTGGCAACGCGAGGAGGGATGATATGGATGGCTTGCCTTATTAGCCTGCTTGGACTTGAGCTTCTCAAAGAGCTTGAGCGACTGCTGCTTGGTAGCGAGGCCGCTCATTGTGTCTGGTGTGTAACGGTTGGCTCTGTAGTTAAGTGTGCTGGCGGTCTCGAATAGTAAAGTTCAAAGGGTGAAAGTGCGGTCGAGGCTCGTGAACGTTCAATGGTGATCCAGTCAGGGGACAACGGGCCACAATTTCGCTGCCCAGGAATCCATCCATGTGGCATCAAGTCAATCCACTAACCCTGAACTGGCTTAGTGCTGAGCTGCCCCACGTCTGCACCCACGGGCCACCTTGAATCTTTCCCCCGCCGAGGAAATGCCGGGGCGGCAGAAGCCTGGGGCCCTGCAGCTTGAAGCTCCCACTTGACCTCACCTTGAACGAGGCGGACAGCCTTCGAATCACGATATCTATTGCGTGGAGCAATGGATAATTCCCAACCGCCATGATGATCAAATCCCATCTGACCCCAGTTCTTCGGCTTCGAACCCTCCCTTCCACCTCCCCAGTGGTCAATCTACGTGCCCTTCAACCCCGCCATTACGCAACCCACCACCAAACTTCGTCCTCCAAATCCGAACCAGAAATTAAACGCCGCTCCGTCACGCCCTTCAACGACACCGGCTCTGTCCCATGGTCCTCCCTTTCGATCCTTGAAAAGGGCGCTCGCGCCAGCCAGCAAACCTTCAACTTCGGCCTCGTTATCCTCGGTTTGACCCTCACCTCTGGCGTGCTCTACGTGCTCTACACCGAGGTCTTCTCGCCCTCCTCCCGAACAGCCTACTTCAACCGCGCCGTTGACCGTATAAAGGCCGATCCGCGCTTGATTGGGCTCCTGGGAGATGGCAAAAAAATCGAGGCATTCGGAGAGGAGACCGGCAACAAGTGGCGGAGGGCGAGGCCGATCGCCTCGAGTGAAGTGACGGATCGGAATGGGGTTCAGCATATGTACATCAACTTCAACGTGCGTTATACAGCTAGTGAGAAATGACTGAAGGGAACATGCTGACATGGCATCATAATAATAGCTCAAGGGACCGAAAGGTACTGGCACGGCTTTTGTACACCTTTTCAAGCCGGTTGGAGGGAAACAGTGGGAGTACAGGTACTTTTATGTTGATGTAAAGGGCCAACAGAGGATCTACCTGGAGAACGCAGAGGCTGCCGCCACACTGGCTGCGAAGGAGAGGTCCAAGACCGATGGGATCAAGTTTCTCGGTATCAGGTGGTGAAGTCATCGCCAGGTGCGAGAGCGGTGTATGATAAAGGTATGTGTGTACAATATCAGTTGGCTGTGATGGAATTTCAGGGAAACTATGACCAAGGCGTTTTGGATTTCGACAGAGCTTAGGAAGAGAAGCATATTATCAAAAGGGATCTCACATATACCCATCAAACCATATTTTAGCCAACTAAACTGTTGGTCAAAGTAGCCGCTTTGCCTCATATATTCATTGGTGAAAACTAGCAGCTACTGAGTGAGCTAGGGCGCGATCTTTTTGGCCGTAATTTTCGCTGAAAGTCTTCATATGAAGACTTTCAGAATGTGTGATCTTCTTCGTCTGAAACAGTTCATCAGCCAATTTGGATGGAAACCCGTTCCTGAAGAGAAGTCCGTGTATTTTAAACTCTGACTAACTATAGGCCTTTAAAACTCCACTTTCCCATGAAAGTCTTCATTAAAGAAAAAGGTGATGAAGACTTTCATACTGCACAGTATGGTCAATTACAGGGCTTTACAGCAAGCCATATCCACCGTAGGCCACCTTCTTCCAGGGCCTTTATCTTGACTTCGACCGGTCTTCGATAGGGCCTTGGCACGTACAGGCCAATACGTCAAAAAATACTTCATCAGGGGCACCCAGGGCCTTGATGAAACCCTTCATGGAAATTCTTTCAAATGGCTGCTGTTTGGGCCAAAAGATCACCGCCCTAGTTACTGAGAGCGGACCATTAACACCCCTATGAACGTACACTAACCGTCATGATTCCAACCTGTAACCTTCTCTTCTTTCGTCTTTACCTGTGTTCCATCCCAACAAAACCATAAAAATGAAACGCGACCTTTTGGTTTCCCTCCTCCCCACCCCCAAATTATCATTAATAAATGGAAGGAAAGCCAGCCGCCAAGACCCAGACAAACTCCTGCTGACAGTAAGAGACATTTTCCCTTATCTTACACCATGCCACGCTCTTCTTCGTCTTTTGCTCGGAGGTGCTCGTCCTCCCCCCAGCCGCACAGTTGTATTTTTTTTTTGACGTTTCCTGAAACCGGAGCTAGAACAGGTGAAGCGCTTGAATAGGTAAGCCGGCACATTCCGAAGCTCAGTACCGGAGCCATTCTAATGCCCCTCATCCCCTTCCATCTTCGCGATCCACTTGTTCATCTGGCTAAACTTGTCCTCAAACGACTTTTGCAACTTCTCTGCCGCGCCCCACATGGGATCAGTCTCATTCCAGTACTCATAGCAGTTCGCAAAGATTTGGTTCATGTCTGCCAGGAACTCCTGTTCGTCATTGTACTCCTTGTTGTCCATCTTGTTCTTCATCGTCGTCAAGTCCATGGGCTTCTTGACCACGTTGAAGTAGTCGGGTACGCCATCGCGCTGGGGGTCGACGGGATCCTTGAAGGGCCCAACGACACGGGTCCAAAAGCCTGGTTATAGACGTTAATATCAGTTCAAGTAATGTGAGAGGAAAGGTGAAGCGGGCTTACCAGGACCAGAGAGCATCCTGGCCAGTAGGTCTGCGCAAAAGTTCAGTTTCTGGTTCGTCGAAAACTGCTGGCTCGCAATCGCAGCTCCACTAGTGCGGCGCTTAGGGCCTGGTTTAGACGAGGCTTTTGGCACAGAAGCGGTGGCTCCCTTTGTCACCGTCTTGCGACCAGAAGCGGTCTGAGAGACAACAGGAGGTGACCCGTTGGCACCAGCTTCCGACACACGCTGCTTCTTCGCAGGTCGTCCTCCTTCCTGTCCCCCTTCAGTGTCACGTCGCTTCTCTGCGGCCGGGGCAAGGGCGGCAGGATCGGATCCAGCCCGCTCATCAAGGGGGGAGCTGTTCTCCAGTGAGCTCATAGCTACCACCAACTCACTCAACACCTCCTGCGGCAACGACCTCGCAAACTCTGTCCGGGACTCCGACGATCTCATATACTCGGCAGCCCACGAAAGGAGCAGCTTTCGTATCGAAGAGCCCTCGGGAGTATCTTTCCACACTTGTACAAGAAGTGGTGTTGCGGGAATGTGTTCGGTGATGCGTCTGCACTCAATCATGGCGTCCAGTGTCGCATCGCAGAGGCCGTCGATGCCGAGCATATGGCCAAGCTTCCACACGCCAATGAGTACATCATAGCTGGGAAGGTTATCCAGTGATGGGAAGACCTGGCCCGTGTAGAGATAGTTCTGGCAGTACGCGAACACCTCGGTGGGTGTTTCTGGGAGTCTGACAATGTTCTCGATGGATTCTTGGTCTGCATTCTCGTCGAAGAACTTGCGGTAATAGGAGGACTTGGAGCACAAGAAGTCTTTTTGGATACCGAACGGTATCTCCTCGGGTCCGACTAAGGCGATGACAAATATGGGATGAGGTTCCCTGGGAAGATTGTCTATGTCAGTACGTGTGATGCTAATCATGCGAGGATGCGACTTACAGCCAGGAGAATGGTCGGTGTTCTTGTATGCTATTGGCTGGGCGCGCTACTTCAACTGGGGCGACATCACTCGCATTCTTGTCGGCAGCTTCTACGATAGTGACTACCTCAGCAGCGACGGCGACGGCATCCCCATTGGACTGTGGTACAGGCTCTTCTGCTATTCTGCATGTGCGATTATTTGCGTTAGCCCATCGTCTCCTGGATCTTACATGGCGGGGATCATGGAAACTACACGTCTCATGTTGAGATGAGAGACGTGATTCACCATGCCGGCAAGATGGTGGTGGCTCATTTGATGGAATGATCAAAAGAATGTGTGCGCGAGAGTAAGTACTGTATGATACATCTCAATTGACATACCTATTATCCGTAGGCTCCTCCATGACTTCAAACATTGAGCCGAGTGAGACCAGTGTTGACCTCTAGTTGTTGATGAAGCAGTTACTGCCAGGCGCCGTGCGCTTTCTCAGACCAAGGATCAATTGGTGAGCGGCAGGTAGTTAATAATAATAGAGAGATGAGTGCCACCACAAATTGATGGCATATGATGTGCGAGCTCGGTTTGATTGTTTGAGACGAAAAGCAATGAGCTGTGTAAAGTCAAAAGTAAGATGAGCTTTGGCGAATGAACGTGAGATGTGATCCAGTCCAAGTTGCGGTTCGGTGACCCACTTTCATACTGTGCGGAGCAGCGGAAGGAATGCAGGAGGGCACTGTGTCAGCCAAACCAGCACGAAGAGTGGCAGGTACTATCAGGACTTGGTAGTACTGTGGATTGTTTTTTTTTGGATGGTAATAAAATGTAAGGATATCGCTTCATACTCATTATTTGCTCTCATTTATGTTGATATCTGGCGGCATTTCACTTTTATAATTGTTACATCCAGTTACCACATCATCAATCAGCAGGTGATTCCTCTCAGGACGAATAGCTCAGGGGTAGAGCAACCGGCTGCAGTCCGGTAGGTCACGTGTTCAAATCACGTTTCGTCCTTACCTTTTGCATCGTTTTTACGTTCATTTATGTTTTGCTATCATTTAGTTTTCGTCAGTCAATACATCATTTTATTTGTTCTCGGCTTGCTGGTTTCTCTGTGGAGTGTTGTTTCCAAAATATCCTCTGTATCAGTGGTTTAGGGCTTTGTAAGAGATTCTCATACCACGCCTCCAGGCTGCGAGTTTCCATCTTTCGGAGAACCAAGAAATTTAGAGGCGACTAGTTTGCATGAAAAGATAATAAATCCGTGCGCATAGTTTTTGTCAATACTTTGAGTACTGCCTTTGTCATCATCTCAATCCATTTCACTTGGGGGCAGGATCTGTCTGTTTTGATAATGGCTACTCCTGCTTCTGATACGAACAGGACTTCGAAATGACCACTGAGCATTGCTTATTGTATGGTACTTTGGATTTACCGGAAGACCACGTAGCAGGCTTTGAGGGTTACGAATAAATAAATAAAAGGCTGTCAATATCGTAGAGTGGTAGTTGCTGGTGCCTGTCCCCAGATCCCTGACGAATCTATACCTCAATATCTTCCTACTCCCCGGTAGATATTACTCCTTTCCCTCTTCATCAGTCTCGACCACTATTCCTCTCTTACCCATCCCCTTCTCTGCTCTCCGTCCCCTCACATGCCTCTCCACCCTCCTCGCATTCTCCGTCACCATCTCATACCTCGCCTTCTCACTGCTCCCTGCCTCCTCCCCCAGTTTATAACCTGCGTACATCACTATCCTCTCCACCTTCCCCCAAGCGCCCACCCAATCAACCATATCATGTCCGCTCTTCGACCACAGCGCCGAAGCCCATAGTCCGCAACCCGTCAAGTCCAGATGCTCGAGCCGATACAAACTCTTGCTCAACCGGTTCAACACCATGATCGCCTCTGTCCAGTCGTTGTCCAAACTGTGACTGTACGGTCCCGTGGCTCCATATTGAACCACCTGCCCCTGTGCAGTGACCATAGTAGCCAATTTTGCGTTGGGGGTAAGTGATGGCTCCGGCCAAAACGCCAGACTCAAGTGCGTCAAGTTCGGCATATGGGTAGCAAAAGAAAGCAAGTGCCGCCAGGAGACATTATGGGCATATTCCGGATCGAGGGCCAGCGACAAGCGTGTCAAGTTGGGCAGCAGGGCGGCCGGTATTGACGGCTCGAGCGTTGGTTCGTCATCAGGTGCGTCCCATGAGTCTTTAGGATCAGCCGTTGATACAACAGCTGCCGCTTGGGGTGGGTATAAGAAATCTGACAGCTCGCGGATCTTGAGTGACCGCCCCAGCGACCAGGACAGGTCGAGACAGGAAAAGTCGTCGTTCACGACGCCTGGGGGGAGGAACTCTCCTTGTCGTTCCTGTTCATAGTGACTGTCCTCGTCGTCCTCGTACACCACAGGAGGAGGGGGAAGCAGGATGGCTCTCATGTCCTGCAGCGTCAAGCCTTTCTCACTATACAACCCAATATACGCTAGCAACGCCCCTCTCACGCGTGTTGGTAGCTCATAGAGAATATACCGGCAATATTCCACCTGCCAGTCCCACGTCCTCGCAAATGCCTTCAGCACGAGATCCATCAAACTCCCCTTTGCAGGCAAGATCATACCCGGCAGCGGTCTTTGAGCATAATTCTGCGCCCCACCAAACTCAATCAACGTCCGAGGGTCACTATACAGACCACTCCCCGCAGGCCTGGATACCCAGCTCCGCGGGGGCGCCGGTCCCGGAGGCAGTCTCCTACCTGTGGCATCAACCCGCACCGGACGCCTTGGTGGCGGCGCCGGCGTCTCCGGCAGCTGAAGGATCTGCCGTATTGCTGGCGGAACAGTCGGCTGAACAAACGCCTCTGCTGGACGGATTTGCGATGAGCCACCGTCCCTCAGCCCCGCCCGACGCAAGTCGGCGAGCAGCTCATTGACGGAACGGTTCTGTTGTTGGTCGTCTGTGATGACAGGAAAGAAAGTATCGAGAGAATGTTAGTTCTTGCTTAATCATCCCACTAAAGTGTATCTCACACCCTTTCCACAAACTGTTGGGTTTTGTGTATGGGCCCCCGCCCCCCAGGGTAAACAAGATCAACACACACACAAGAGGGTGTGGGCGAAAAAGAGTTCGATGGAGGGGGTGTGTAGAATGGAACTATCCAATTTACGGGCCAAACCGCCCCAAACCCGGTTCAACGTTCAACGGCTGCGGGGATACACGACGGGGAGGGGGGAAATGTGGACATCATGCGGGGCGCCGGTGTGGTACCAGCAGACAATAAAGAGAGAAAAAGAACTAAAACGAAACGCACCATGGTGGCTGTTGTGCCTGCTAGCAGCCGTACTGCTGCTGAGTGACGCTGGTGCTGTGGACTGCGGCTTGGAATACTGTTTTTGGTGTCTCTTCTTCGGCATTGATTACTTTGGGCTCTTGCTTCCTCTCTGAAATATCTAGAGCGAAACTATATAAAAACAAGGCCTTTGGGCGATGGCGAATTAAAAATAAAAATAAAAAGGCTGCCAAAGCTCGTGACTGGTGCGCGTTTCTTTTTCTGTTGACTCGAAGAAAAAAAGGCAATGACGGGTCGGTACCTAATGGACCGAGTTGCGCTTGCTTGTCTGTTTGTTGCGTGGGCGTGATGTGTGTGTTCTTCGGGAGCAAAGTAATGCAAATCGACAATCGACAATGCGGAAATCGGGGAATCGGAAACCGCTCAGCTCACAAAAGTCACGGGAAGGCGGATGGATTGCAAATATGCTCGCCGCAATCCCAATACACAGTTGGCTTATTGCTTCGCCTTCCTGCCACCTAACAAGCAGGATTAGAAACGGACAAAGTGCTCAAGCTCGGTCAAAGAGGGGCGGCCAGAACACACAAGGACCTTTCTCGTGTGTCTATGTGATTCACTAGACTAGGACTAGGAGGTTGGTAACCATACCTTAAGCACTACTGATTTCTGATATCTCAAAATGTACGTCATGTTTCCCGCTGTGACGGTGTGACTCCTCTCCGGCGGGCGGAGGCGGCGAACAAACCCATGATGGCCCCATGTCCCATTGGCCCATTGCGGGCAGCGTATCACAGCCCAGCTGTCAGCCCAAAAGAGCCAGAAAGCGCCCCCCCAGCGGAGTCGCTAAAATCATTGTCAAAAACCGTTGGCCAAAGCGTTTACATCTCCACCACGAGACCCACTCCTTACCTGCCTGCGTTCTTTCTGTTCAGTTTAGTGGACTTTCTTTCAACCTCCCTTGCAAAAGACACCCTCACACAAAGACCGTATCTTGTGCTTCCCTCTTCGGAGAGGGGTGGGCAAGTGCACCGTTGCCTAGAGCCTAAATTTTCTCCTTGAAATCTTTAGTCCTTTCAGCTTATCCAGGTGGCTTACCCCCCTAGGTTCTCCGGATCATCCCGAGAATAGAGAGCTCTCACACGAGGTTGCGAGATGCGCCTGTCCCGTGTCCAGCTTCCAGGTTGCCAGGGGAAAAAAAAGGGGGGGGAGCACAGGTTGACGGCCTCTCATTGGATTTGTTCTTTTCGTTTTCTGCAGCAACACTGCCCAATTTTGCTTCTATTGTCTCTTCGGCATCGTAAACACCTATCAGGTTTGCATGCCTTTCCATTCGTCTGAAAAGTCTGCTCTTGCCTGCTTGCACCCGGAAGGCCCGAGATAGATGACTTGAATCAAGCAGAAACAGGCGATCTGATAACAACAACAACAACCAAGGAGTCAAATGTGGGGCGGGCTAGATATCACAACCGTCATTAGCCTCTATCGTGAACGACCTGCCAGTGAGTGACAGATTGGCCATGCTTCTATCTCATGTCATACATGAACATCATGCCTCACCTCAACTCTCTCTTTGAGTTAAGTCAGTCCCTTTGTTCTGGGTCTTGGAGATGGCTGTTAGAGGCAAAGGGTGTGTATTGAGCGCATCGATACTTACTACATGTACGTCGACTACCCACACCCATCAGCATCTTGGCCATGACACACTCCATGGCATTCTCTGCCGCTGCATGTGGCTGGCTTCAATATTGACTTTCCGCAGCGAGAGGGGGAGGTCAACACGAGACACCTCACCTCTCACAAACCTGCGGCACTGTCAGGACGGGTACCTCTCACAAAAGTCGAATACATACCATCGTCCTGAGAACACGGGGCGCCGGATCGGACCATTTACACAGAACAGCGTCGGACAAGGAGGCCAAGTCGCCATCTGCCATTTTGACAGGCAAGGAGGGAAAATAGGCCCTTCTATGGAGTCGGTCCTTCCACATCATTGCCCCTCATGATGACAGTGCTGATTGATGATCATGACCCCCTCAGCATTGCTGCTATTCTTGGCGTTTGACCGAAAGGCCTTTCGATGGCTGTGAATATGCCCTTTTCTCACGAATCGGGTCACGTCTTCGGGGTCAGGGATCTTTCCCGCTGGCCGTTCGGGGCCGAAGTGATATGGTAGCCTCTCCCCATGGTTTGCTATCATGGTTCAGCTGGCTGCAAACTCTTCCCTGCAAACTTTGATTGCTCTACGGTCTTTCCGCACCCTCCGAGGGGCTGCATGCCATGTTGAACAAGACAATCCCCTGTCCACCACGTTTAGCTGGCTGATCAAATGTCTTGTATCGTGGGTAGGCGCGGCTGGGTACTGACTTGGAACCCTTCGATGAGACTTCCTGGGCGTATCAGATCCTGTCTGTCTCTGATGAGTGGCTTGATCAGAGAAGCCCAGAGCCCCTGTTTTCCATCTTCACATCCTGGCTTCGGCCACGTGAGAGCAACGACAACGGCCGGAATGAATCCACCCCAGCCCCTTCCACCCCCAGCACTGGGGGGGGGAGAGGTGGCAACCACGGATCCTGTTCTGGGATCCATCGAGCCTCGGCGCCGCCCGCATCCGTCTGTGAGACCACGCAGTTCCTTGACAGCACCAAGCCGATAACATGTGTTCGCACGAGACAAGAAAGCCCATCCCTGAGCTTGTCAGCAGGGAGAGGCCAAGTAAGCTCTCCAACATGGCCTGTGGTACGATGCCACGAAAAACCTGGAGAAAAGCACCTGGCGGTGGTCGTCCCTCCTCTTGGACGCCTCGTCCCGGCAGGCCGAAGGGCTCGATGCGCGTGATGACACGCTTGTATGACGAGCAGCTGCGCGACGCGGTCTTCCAGACAAATCCTAAGCCAGTCGTCCGTCGCTCGCTCCGCAATCCCTGACCCCTTATATTGCTGTTTTGCGTCATGTTGCCCCTGTAAACAAGCGCTTGCCACGTAGTGTATATCGCGTCGGCGAACCGGAGACCATCATCACGTTCTTCCCAGAGAAACAGGTGCCAGCCACCCAGCGCTTGCCAATCTCCGCAAATCGATCGCCGTGTCCGCCTGGTTAGACTTGATCACGGAGCTTCTCTCGTTGATCACCGCATGAGACGCGCAGTCGTGCCATGGTCAGTTTCGACGCGGTGTAGGGTCTTGTGGCAAAGGAAGCGGTCCATGCTGTGAGAGTCTGGGCCTGACCGAGAAGAAGCCTGCCGGACCCGATTTGGACTGAGTTAGCGAACAAAACCGGAAGCAAGGTCAAACAAGAACCTACATTCGGAGAGAGGGAGGGGTGTTGCGCAACCTCAGTCGAGCGCAACCTACCTGAACGAGACTCTCCCAGCTGCGAGTCCTCGTCCACCGGTTCTCCTTTGGGTAGGAAGCACACTGGCAGCTTGCAAACCATCTGTGGTGGGAGCTCCCGAGGAACTGGATCCAATGTAGATATTTCATCTGTTTGAGACCGGCTGGTCACTCAAAGGGGGGCTTCTTCCCGTCCGATTGTACATCGACACGCGTGTCGCCGCGTTGCCCGTTGTTGTCCCAACATTATTCCGCCTACCTTCCGACGCGAACTCAGCCGATCGTAGTTCTTAGCGGATGATATCGCTGAGGCACACCTCACGACCGCTGATGTTGACAACTGGGGATCTCAATGGAGGGAAAAAAAAAAAAAAAAGGGTGCACGCTCTGATTGGGGGCCTTGTATGCACTCCAGCTCCAGTGCAGAATGGTATAGCCCCTTTTCTTCCTCTGAAGAGGGAGAGTTTCTGTGTCACCTGTAGATGGGGGCCTGATTGGGTGGGACTCTCCCTCGTTCCTTCCGAACATGAACCGAAAGGGAAGGAGGTTCTTCGTTTTCAGAAGACAGATGGAAGGAAGGCTGGGCTGATAAGCAACGTCTAGATTCTCGATGTGATATGTCAGATGCACTTTGTTGAGCCTCGAGTATGCAGTCGTGGACATGACCTGGGCACGTTTCAAGGGCACTACGTTCGAGCCTAAAGCTCCGAGTTCCGGCCACACTGAGAGGTATGACTGCCTTGTATCAGCATTCGGTCAGGCCCGGGCTGGTCTGCTGCATAGGTCTTTCGCTGGGCATCATCCAGGCTCCCTTGCCATACTTCGTGAACTCAAAGAGGGCCCATCAACTTGCGTTCTGCCAAGAGACATACGAACATCATGGGCGTTAGTATTTCCGAAAGTTACTGGTCCTGAGGTGTGAAGCCACGAATACCCGGGGCAAGCAGGTTGAGGCTTACGAGATTGTAAGTGAATTTGAGGACAGGCCGAGAGAAGTAGC